TCCTGGCTACGCGTCTGCCTCTACCTCATTGTAATATTTATTTATTTTTATTTTTAATAGTTTCCCATGAGCTCACCACCTTTAAACTTCAAGACTATGTTAGCCAGCCACAAGTACAACTTGAATTGCCTTTTGAGAAAGAACAAGATGAAGACATCTGCAGTTGGTTCCAAAACATCAAAACAAATGGAAATGTTGAATTAATGTTAAATCAATTTGAAACTATTGCAAATGCTTTGGACTTCTTAAATTACATTGAATGTTCGAATCTTGCGAAAAAAGTCACGACTGTTATTTTCAGCATTGAGGAATGCATCGAATCTATCAGTCAATCTGAATTAAACATTTTGGGAAACAAGTTTAGCTCAAAGTCATTAATTTTCATAATTCTAAGCAAAAAATGTAAAAGTCCAATAATTTTTTGGAAGTCTGATGCCATCGGATACTTTTTATCCTTAAAAGGCTTCAGTAGTGCAGCATGTTGGAATGACAAAAAAATTTATGAATTTGTTGGAGATTTTTTAATAAAATCACTTGAAGCTGGACATTTAGGTATGTAAAGAAGGATCCGTAAAGAAAAAACCAGTTAGAACCAAGAGACGGACACTCCAATGCATATTAATCAGCTTATCACATTTAATTTTATTTTACACAGGAATCTTCAAATTTATATCAGCACATCAGGACATAAAAATCATAGAGCTTCATTTTCTAGCTGACAATCGTGACTACAACTTATTACTAATTGCTGCTGAGGCAGGAGACATCCAGTTGTGCGAGATTCTTTTAAAATTAGGTATCAATACAAATTCAACATCTAAGGACATCAATGCACAGTCATTAGCTTACAAAAATGGACATTTTGATGTTCTTTTAATGTTTCTGGAGAGTAATTTAAGATACCCATCCACAATAGACATCAATAGTTGCTCTAGTGACATAATACAGTTCCATAGAGTAGCTACTAGCCTACATGCTGCGATAAAAAATAATAATGAAGACAAAGTAGTTGAAATTATTGCTCAAAATCCACATCAACGTCACTTTTACAATTCAAAAAATCAATCAGCACCAACAATTGCCTTGATCAATAAGCAAACAGACATGTACAAGCTACTAATCGCTCACAATATTCATTTTGGTCCACATGAGAACACTGACGCAATTATGAAGAACTTTGAGTACCACGAGCGTCGTGACTTGCGAGAATTTCACAATCAACATGCTAAAGATTTACCAGAGAAGCATTTGAATGCCTTGATGACAAGTTCTGTAGTTGCACATGATGCAACTGATGTAAATCGAAAGCCTGACTTAGTCATGGGAGCTTTCAAGCTTCTCAATGAAATTTTACTAATCAGAGTCATCCTCAAAGTCGTCGCAGCATCCAAAAAGCTTCAAATGATTTTCGACTTCAATCGCGAGTCTGTTGAGGTTGCCGATCCAACAGTTGACTCAAATACATTCGGATTATTCTACTTAACTGGAAGAATTTACATCGGTGCTGTTCGTCTACTCAATAATGCAACCAAATGTGAAACTCTTGGAACTATGGCTCATGAACTTTGTCACTATGCAATGCACTTGACTTTTGAAAATGACGCGAATCCTTACCGGAAAGATGATGTGGAAGCTAAAGCTGAATTTCAAAAAATATCTCAACATTGTGAAGAGAACTGCAAAGCCAATGGAATCATTAAAGCTGTCTATGATGAATATCCTGACGAAGCACATCATGCTGAGCTGATTGTTCGTGTTCCTCATATTTTGGCATTTTATTCCGACGATCCTGAAGAAATTGAAAAATGTCAGCAAACTTTCAAGCCACTTTTTGATTTTTATGAGCATAAAGTCGTTCCGGAGATGGAAAAGGCACTGCCAGACATTGAAGCAAGAGTTGACCGAGAAATTGAGCAAAAGGATAAGAAAATTACGACTTTGGTGAAGATTATTGTAATTTTAATTGTTTCGTCGTTAGTTGCTGGTGGACTTTTGGTTCTGATACTTTATAAACCAGAGATTAAGTTTGATGAATTGTCAAATGCAAAGCAGGAGATTGTAAGGTCTTCAATTGTGAATTATAAAGGTGTTGAGGTTAAGTTGTGTGACTTGTTCCTTGATAATTCAACAGTTTATAGAAAGTTAAGTTCTGATCATCTACGGACCTTGTTGGGTGACGAAATTTTAGACCTAAATGACCCACTTTTGAGATTCACGGACCAACTTATCACTCATAAATGGACAAACCTTTCAAAACCATTAAGACAAAAGTTTTTAAATTCGAATTTTATTTTTCAAAATCAAAGTTTAAAATTTATTGACTTTTACAATTCAATTCCTGAAGCATTTGATCAGCTGACTTCCGATCAAATTCATAAAGTTCTTGATGGTTCTGATTTGGTCATTGGAACTCTACACAAGCCTGCTGTAGACAATTATATTGAAAGGAAATTTTCTATCCAAAATGTTGAAGGAACTAAAAATTTAACTGAAATTATAAATCAAAGTGAAAATTCTAAAATGTTGATTTTGTCAGCTGTAGCTGGTGCTGGAAAAACTGTGACTTTTGAATATATGACAGTTGAGATTAAGGAACGGTTTCCAAGTCGATGGGTGTCTTATGTAGACCTTAAGAAGCATACAAACTTTTACAAAACCTCAAATTCTATAAATCCAAAAGAATTGCTGTCAAAAATCTTAAATTTAAACCAAAAATCTGATTTTGAAAGGGAAATTTTTGAAAAATCTTTTGAATCTGGAAATTTAAATCTTTTGTGGAATGGTTTTGATGAAATTTCGCCAACTTATTCCACATTTATCATCGATATCATTAAAAATATCAAAAGAAATACAAAAAACATTCAATATATAAGCACAAGACCATCATATGCTCACGATTTGTCGTCAAATTTAACTATTAATCCACACTTGTTGATTCCGCTCAAGAAAAATGAACAGCAAAAATTTCTCGTTGACTTTTTCAAATCACAAAGTCAAAATGATTCAACTATTAATCAAAATATTGAAAAAGTTCAAAGAATATTGAAGGATATTAACATTGGAGGTTCTAGAGACTTTAAAACTCCTTTAATGTTGAGAATGGTTGCTGAGATTCAAGACGATCCAAAGCTCATCAATTCCACAAACTTATATCAAGTTTATGAATTGTTTATAATCAAAAAGAATCAAATTTGGTTCGATAAAGGTGAGCTAGCTAAAACTGCAAGCACAGACTTATTTTTAACCGAGTCTACAGTCAACATAGCTGAAATTCATCAAAAATTTGCATTACTTCAAGAAAAGTCAATTTTTGAAAGTTTAATTCTAAAACTTATGAACTTGAAAATTCTTAAAATAACGGAAACATTGGAACAGCCGCTGTTTCCCGAAATCACTCGAATTGGAATTTTACATATTGAAAATGAAAATAAGTTTGAATTTTCACACCGAACCTTTGCTGAATTCTTCATAGCTCAATACTTAATTAAGAATGTTTATTCATCTTCTGATGATGACGTAAGTCAGTCGGAAGTTGAGTTGAGATTGACATTATTCTACAAAATAATCTCAAACTATGATTCAAAGTTGATTATTAATCTTATGCATAGTCACGTAAAGTCACAGAATCAAAAACAAAGAGCCTTTTCAGAACCAATTTCTGAAGTTTTAAGAACGAAATTTAAAGATTTTATTTTCAATTCCTTGAAACTTTTTGATAATCAACTGAATTTTTTGCTAGACTTTTTCAAAAAGGATCACGAAATCTTGACAGAACTGCTTCAAATCAATGACAAAGAGACATTGTACACTAGAACATTCGATCCAAATGAACACATTTCTTGTAAAGAATCGCAAAATGTCAAAGAAATGTCACGAAAATATTTGTCAGAAGTAGAATTTAATAAGCTTGTGACTGGAGTTGATCAAAAGGGAAAGATTCTTATGGGAACAAAGGTTTGTGAAATGATGAATGAGATGGAACAAAGGAGAAAGACTAAGGAAGTAGAAAATGATTATTATGAAGACTATGACTATGAAAATGAAAGCACAGAAGACGAGAAAACAAGTGAAGACAATCCAAACTCAACTGAAGACAATCCAAACTCAACTAAAGACAATCCAAACTCAACTAAAGACAATCCAAACTCAACTGAAGACAATCCAAACTCAACTAAAGACAATCCAAACTCAACTGAAGACAATCCAAACTCAACTAAAGACAATCCAAACTCAACTAAAGACAATCCAAACTCAACTAAAGACAATCCAAACTCAACTAAAGACAATCCAAACTCAACTAAAGACAATCCAAACTCAACTAAAGACAATCCAAACTCAACTAAAGACAATCCAAACTCAACTAAAGACAATCCAAATTCAACTAAAGACAATCCAAACTCAACTAAAGACTATCCAAACTCAACTGAAGACAATCCAAATTCAACTAAAGACTACATCGAAGATAATGAACATGAAGCAGACCAAGAAGCTTCAGTAACTAGCTCAGAAGATGATGAACCTCAAGAATACGAAGAAGATACTTCAGAATCAGAAGATGATTATGAAGGATCAGGAGAAGTCAACGAGGAGACAACCGATGTTTCAGATGAAGATTCCGATGACAATTCAGGAAGTGGCAATGACAGCACAACTCAAGCATATGATCCTTTTGACTACACAACCAATGAAGCTTACCAAAAAAGCATTGAAAATAAAGACAAGAATTCCTTTTGGATGTTTATTGACAATCTTAAGCAAAATTTAACACAAAATGAAGTTAAGGAGCTGCTTTTTGGATTGACAAGTCCAAACTTTTTCGGATTTACTTACGAATTTTCACAATATTTTGACTTGAATGAATTTGTGAATGTTTGGAAGGAAATTGAAGTTTTAAATTTAACTAAAGTTGAAAAGAAGAATTTATTCTCAAAATCGATACTTAATGCAGCTAAATGTATCATATCTGGTGGACCACATTTGAATTATTACATCGACTGTGGCTTTATCTTTAGAGTCATTGCCAAATTTGCGACAAAATTATTGACAAATTCTGAAATTTATGAAATTTTCTATAATGGAAATATTTTTCATAAAGTTGTCAAGCTTGGCAATTATTACAGCGCTTCAGCTTTTAATACACTTTTTGAGTTTTTTCAATCTGTTACAAATTCAGAGCAGCAAAAACAAATCTATGAAAAATTTGATGACGGTGATGATGGATTTTCTCAAGATGGACTGCCGCCGCTTAGAATATTACATCTAAAACTGTTAAGTATGAGAGATCAAGGCGATCCAAGTGATTATTTCTCTTTAACACCTAAAGATGATGTACAAAAATATTTTAGTGAAGTGCCACAATTTTTGATTCACTTAATTAATAAGTATGTAATTTGCTTCAAAGTTGCGAGATTCTTGGGAATCATATTTGATGGAGATGAAGTTAAGCTGCAAAATATTTTAAGACAGAAAATCAGGCCTAAAAAAATATCAATTTTCGAATACTTTGATGGCAATGCCGAACATTCCTCATGTCTGAGCTTTTTTTCGGATCTTTTGAAGAAGATTGAACTAAAAATTAATACTTAGCATTCCCTCACGCTATCCTATCCCATACCCTATCCCATACCCTATCTCATACCCTATCCCATACCCTATCCCATACCCTATCCCATACCCTATCCCATACCCTATCCCATACCCTATCCCATACCCTATCCCATACCCTATCCCATACCCTATCCCATACCCTATCCCATACCCTATCCCATACCCTATCCCATACCCTATCCCATACCCTATCCCATACCCTATCCCATACCCTATCCCATACCCTATCCCATACCCTATCCCATACCCTATCCCATACCCTATCCCATACCCTATCCCATACCCTATCCCATACCCTATCCCATACCCTATCCCATACCCAATCCCATACCCTATCCCATACCCTATCCCATACCCTATCCCATACCCTATCCCATACCCTATCCCATACCCTATCCCATACCCTATCCCATACCCTATCCCATACCCTATCCCATACCCTATCCCATACCCTATCCCATGCCCTATCCCATACCCTATCCCATACCCTATCCTACACCATATTCCATACTCTTTCTCCCCTCTCCTCTCTACCCACTCAATACTGTTCCTTATTCCCTTCCATCACAACTTAATGTTCAACCAAAAACTTCCCAGACAGTAAAATCTCATTAACTCAATACCTTGTCGTTATTTACATTTACCGAACTGTAAAGCTCCTTCCCATCGATCCACATAAATATTTCAACCTACAACAAAATATATTTTGCATATCAATTTCGCATCAAAAACCTGTGTAATGCGATTATCGCAAGCATTTCATGTTCGACAAGCTTCTGTGTGTGTCGTTATTTTGTTGTTCTCGGAACTGAGTTACATGAGAAAATCCGATCAAAGTCCACAAATGAGATTCTTAGTGTTGGAAGCGGCTTTGTTATTGGGGGTTTGAGTTGCTGAATATACAACAGCTTGTGATGATGTTTTGCTTTTATTTTACATTTATTTATTTGTGTATAAAAGGATGAACAATCAATCTGGTTGATGAGATTTTTGGATAGAAGAGGTTTTTAGGGTGATTTTGTGTTGAATTGTGTTGAAATCTCGGAAGCCAAGATGTAACCAGATAACACGAAACAGATGCGTAGCCAGGAAGGGATTGTAAACCACGATCGAGATCATGCGTTTTGTGGCTTATCCCGATGCTTTCTGTGACACACAGTTTGGACAACACTGGTCTACATTATAGCTCTAGTTACAGTAATGGACAACCTTTTGGTACCACGAAATTTGAGATAAGCCTTGACAGAAACCGCTCACGGCACAAGGCTTGTGGGATTTTGCAACTTTTTTGATGGCACATTAGTGTGCCGCGGCATATGGGTTGTCACCTAACATTTTAGCTCTAGTCTGTAAAGTATGGCTAGCTAGTTTAGGATAGACTTGCGAATGGTAAAGCTTAGAAGTGGTTTTGATGTGGTGTGGCTTGGCGGAAGCTAGATGGGTTCAAGAGCTATAGATGATGCTAGAACTAGGGTCAAGTCAAAAAGAATTTTATCGAATCAAGTAAAGGTGTCTTAAAAAGGTTGAAGCATCGAGAGGGCACAGCTTTTTGAGCTGGAGGTGCTGCGATTTGAATTAAAGTGGAATCTGTACCAAACACAAAGGTATCCTAGGTAGCTGAAGAATCCTGGCTCTGGTATAGAGTTTGATAAATTTGGGTGGGTTCAAGTAGGTTTTGCTAAGCTTGAGGAGGTTTTATCAAGTCTATGGTATGACTTGGCTATGATAAGGAACATTAGGGTGAGCAAGGGTATCTTATAGCTCACTGTAGATTTACAATATGTCTGAAAATACAGTCCTAAACCTTGATATAAACCTTAATAATTTTAAATTGCATATTTTTAATAAAATACGATTAAAATCAAATTGACATTCAGAACTCACGACAACTGTAAAGTCAACAATTAGAACCAAAAGTCAACAGAACTAAAAATCTGAAATTCTGACAAAATGCCTGACAAGGAATTCATCAACATACTGTAAAATTCTTTACAAAATGCTTCATTTCGATGCAAAACTATGCAAATTAGAGCAGCAAAATTGAGAGATTATTTGGAATTTACTGATTTTACTGATGGTTCCATAAGCCTTTTTTGGGGGGTCATGTTACTTGAAGTATTATTTTGTAGATTTGTTGTTGATGAGTGTAACATGCGTAGTGTTTTGGTGAAAGATGATGAAATAAAAAAAATGTTTTTAAGGGGGAAAACAACATGATGGGAACCATTATTATGGATCTGAAGGGCCGTTCATTGATTACATAACGCTTTTAAGGGGAAGAGGGGGAAGTTCGTGTTATGTAATAAGTGAACGGCAACTTTTGCATCTTAACAGGAAATTGGTGAAATATTTTATTAAAATGTTTCTCATCATGTTGTATTCCCCCTAAATTTTTTTAAATAAAATTGAATTTATTAATTATTTTCCAATTTTATAATTATTTTTTTCTAGATTGCAAGATTTCATTCAATTCGCAAAATTTTGCAATATTAAACTAGAAATCCCCAAAATTAATGTTTCAAAAATTTATCCAAATTTTCTTCCATTTCATGTAACAAAACCTTACAAAAAAAAATCATAATTTTCACACAGATGTTTCAGCATCCCCAAAAATTTCTCTACTCATCACCATCATCATAGCTGAATTTTATATACATATGGAGCATGAGGGAATGAGACAATAAAAATAATTTCCACACTAGCTGCTCATCACACTTGAGAAAGTTGCAGTTTCATCATTTTTGCAATAATTTTGGTTATTCTTGTGGGAAAATTATTTTTTTTTGGCAGATTCATTATTTGATGGGATGATGATTTGGGTAATTTAAAGGTTTGAGTCTAAAAATGAGTGTGAATGTTGTTTAAATTTTGCAGATGTTGAATTTATTTAAAAGATTTTAAAGTTTTACTTCAAAATTGAAGTAAAATTGCTCAAATTTTAGTGAATTTTAATATTTTTTTTAAGACATTTTTTTAAAACTAGGATTGAATTTTACAGATTTGACACTAGATTTGAATGTTTCTTTACTGTTCTTTCACTCCTATGTCCTTTATGATTAGGCTGACTAGATATTTTTTGAGAAAATAGAGGACATCCCACGTGTCGACCAATTTTATTCGTTTTCTGGACGAATTAGAACAAAAAACAATTTTGTTTTTGAAAAATTGAAAAAATACAGGACTGTCCTCTAAAAAAACCAAGCAAATGGTGAGCTTAAGTCTGGCTTAGCCTAATCTTGTATTTAATATCGAGTCTTCAATTTTGATTAACTCAAATAATCCACATCAACTGCAACCTATGAATTGGTCACAACATAGTCTTGGGTCTAGTATATGTGTGGTGGAGAAGAGTTGAATTAAAGGTTTTAAGCCATAAATAGAAGAACCTACCAGCGCCAACATTAGACCACCGTGGCATGAGTGGTTAAGCAACAGATTGGACATCTACATTCCTCTTTTGTGATGACTTGGGTTCGATTCCCAACAAGAGACTGATCTCACGATTATTATGAAGATTTCTGTCAAAATGACATGGATTTGCACAATGATTAGGACTTTGGACAATAGGATACAACCCCCGAGCGACAATTTGTGGCGATGGCAGTTGTGTGATTGCCTCCAAACTGCCTTGCCTTGAACAAGTCGATTTCAAGGCACTGCCTTATACTACATTGCCTTGTGGCTACCATACGACTGCCACCAAAACAAATGTTTTTTTCTAAAATTTCTGCCTTGCTCAGGCAGTTACAAGGCTGTCATATGACTGCAACCCATTTCAGCATTGTCGCAACATACTTCACAAGTAAAATCAGAAATGACTAATATAAGTCGAAGAAATGTTTCCATACTTTTCCTAAGATATTTTAAATAATATCTTTTGTGGCATGGCACTTTCACTGATTCGTGCTCCTATCAAGACTTAAGTCGTGATAAGACTTAAACTTTTGAATCTCATTTCCTTATTAATTATAGTACAAAACCAAATGAGCTAACGAGCATTTAATTTTCAAAAAAATCAAAAATTATAACAGAATTATAACAGTCTTTTGCTGCCATAATAACTGCCTTGTAAGCACCACCTCGTCAACATCTAGGCGATTACAAGGCAAGTCGGTCAGAAGTCGGTGGCAGTTTCAAGATAGCCTTGCGCGCGGAAATATGGAGGTCAGGAGTTGCCATCAAGGCGATAAGGCAGTCGTATGGTGATTATTGATTCGCCTTGACTCAAGGCAGTTGGCAGTAGGCACTGCCTTGTGACCGTCGAATGGCTGCAATAAGGCTGTTGAATGTCGCTCGGGACCTCCTTTATGGTTTATGCCAGAGATCGAAGCCGACTTTTTCGGCTTAACTCAACTTTTGATTTTTTTGATAGAAAAAAGCCATTTGACACCCATTTCAAGTATTTAAATTGAACTTTACATGCTTTACTATGATTCTGTGTAATATATTGTCAGCATGTAGCTATAGTAAGCTCAGAATTTCAATTTAGTCGATGCTAAGCCGATCGGCTTAAATTTCGGCTTAAAATCGGCTAAATTGAAATTCTGAGCTCACTATAGCTACATGCTGACAAAATATTACACAGAATCATAGTAAAGCATGTAAAGTTCAATTTAAATACTTGAAATGGGTGTCAAATGGCTTTTTTCTATCAAAAAAATCAAAAATTGAGTTAAGCCGAAAAAATCGGCTTCGATCTCTGGTTTATGCTATATTTTTAAATGGATGGTATTTCTATAGAGAGTTATACATGTTCTTATTCACTGACTTTATCTTGTCAGATAAAAAAAAATGAACTTAAGGACAGCTCCTCCCTACTTCCCTCCTCCCCCTCCACTTTCTCCCTCCTAAACGTTGTTCCTAATAAATGAAAGACAATTTACAGATGAAAATCATAAAATAATTCAACCAAAAATCCCAAATTATTCCCAACGAACTTTAAAAATTCAAATCTCTTCCCAGTTTCATTCAGCAATTCCACAACTTCATCCAATTCCATTTCAAAAAGTTATTCAAAACAAAAACATCCAAGAAATAATATTTCAAATTTAAAACAAAGAAATGTTGTCATTTATTAAAAGATTCCGAACGGAATCAGAAGCAGAACGGTTTAATGCTGTCCGTTCGGTTGTGGTCAAAGTTGACGATGTTGTTCATCCATCACTCGCTGAAATGGGCTATGCCAATGAAGAGGAACTTAAATTCGCAATTTACGATATGCTTAGAACAATAAAAGATCCAGAAAAGCCACAAACATTAGAGGAACTAAATGTCGTGTCTGAGGACATGATAACAGTGAAAAAGGTTGAGAATGGACAAGTTCCAGTCGTGAGGATAGAATTTAACCCAACTGTGCCGCATTGCTCATTAGCAACACTTATTGGACTTACAATTCGGATTAAGATTCAACGACAATTTCCACAGACATTAAAGCTTGACATTTACATCAAAAAAGGAACTCACTCGACTGAAGATGAAATTAATAAGCAAATTAATGATCGGGAACGAGTTAGTGCTGCATGTGATAATGATAATTTGAGGAAGCTGCTTGAAAGTTGTATCAAAGAGGATGACTAATGATGGCTTGAGGTGCTGGATTGTTAAAATTATGGAACTGAGATTTTTTATATTGTAAATTTTCCACTAGATTTTTTTGAGGGTTTTGATGAATTTTGGGATAGGTTTGGTTTGGAATTGTGAGTTGGACACTTGATTTGTGTAATTGAGGTTTTTGAGGTCCAATGGCTCAAGATGAAAGTCGTCAAAGTTGACTACTGATTAGTCAAGAGCAATTCAAACCCTTTTCAGAATTCATCATAATTCAAGCTAAGCAAATACATCACTTAAGTGACTAGTTAAATGTTTTTCTAATTCCAATCAATTTTGTTGTTAATTAAATTGCTCAAGCAAGGATCAAATTCTTAGAGTAGGCTACTAGGCTCCTAGATTCCTAGACTAAATAATAAAAAAAATTAATAAAAAAAATGCTAAAGCAATTTGAAGTTTTTCTGACTGCCCTAAGAACTATTCTAGGGCATCTAGGGCTGTAGACCACTTGGAGAAGTGTAAGTCTTATAAAATGCTGATTAAAATCAAACTTTCTTAACTGCCACCAAAATATCAAATTTCAACCAGCCACACAGCCAGACAGCCAAACATCACCATCACAATAAAAATTGAAATTCTGTGCAAATATTTTCACTTTCATTGCTCAATCAGCAGTAAATAATACCGGCTTATTGGATTGACACGATGAGCAGACCATGGAAAGATGCAGCAACCTTAATTGTCCTAGCACGTGATGCAGTTAAGAACTCAAAATATGATTACAAAGTGAGAAACAATCACAAAACTTTATGATCAAGATCAAAGGTTGAAAATGAAAAAAATTCCAATTTTAGATTTTAACTTTTAAAAGAACTGCAAAATCGAGTTTTTATGCAAATTCATTAGTCTTTCCTGGTGGTGCGATGGACAAGTTTGATGAGTCCCCATCCTGGACATCATTCTTCAAGCACCACAAAGTCCCATCCGAGCAACTTCGAAGACGAACGGAAGTCACAAAACCATTCATTTATGATCCACAAGGCAACAATAAAATTGAACGTGAAATTTCACTCAGATTGGCTGCAATTCGTGAGACATTTGAGGAACTTGGCATTGCACTTTGTAGCCCAGCTTCAGACACATCCAAAAGTAGTCCATTTTCTGATTATTTTCATTCAAAAGACTGCGACATTCCATTTTGGCAGAAGCAGGTCCACAACAGTCATGAAACTCTTATGAATTTTTGTGATAAATTTGGAGTTGTGCCTAATATAGCAGGATTGTACGAATGGTCAGTTTGGTTGACTCCAAGCTTCTATCCGAAGAGGTTTGAAACTGCATTTTTTGTTGTGATGTTAGATTCAGTTCCTCCTTGTTATGCTGAGAGTCATGAGGTTCAAAGCTATTCGGTGAGTTGATTTGAAGGCGTTGTGAGCAACTGGGTTAGTTGGGGGCATGTTCTCAGCCTTTTTAATATTTTTTTGGATAAATTTATTTTTTTTTTACATTTCTTAACAATTCAGTGGCAGACCCCAGATGAGCTCCTTGCAGCCCACAGGAATAAAACGTCATTTCTTCCACCTCCTCAATACTTCGAACTCCATCGCTTCTTAAACCAAACAAAAATCGACGACATCGCAAGCTTCTCCAAAAAAGTCAGTGGATCATCAGTTCCTTTAATTCTACCAAAACCATATCAACTGAAAGAGTCAATAATGCTGACTTATCCAGGTGATGACATGTATCCAGCAATAGAAGAAAAAGGATATTACGAAGACAATCACGACACACAAAAATTCAAGGATAAAACTTATGATGAGGCTATGGAAGGAACCAAAAACTTTTGCAGAATTGAGATGAAAAATTATTTTGCTAGTCGATTGCTGTGCAATGTTGATGATGGTCTGCTGCCTGCATGCAATGATGAGTTATCGAGTAAATTTTGAAGATAGAGAACTAAAGAGTTTACAGGGAATTAGGGGACAGGAACTTCAGATTCGATATTAAAGCGCTACTAGCTTGTTGCATTTATTGCATTTTTTTCACTGTTTCTTAGTACAAATTTTTCAAAAATTATTTTTATTCAACATTTTCCACTGAAATTCAAAAATTGCAACTAATTTATTTTTTTGAAAAAGAAATGAAATTTATTAAAATTTGAAAAATATTAAAAAATCACAAATTTATTCATTTATAGCTTTTAATAATTTAAATGCCTTTACTAGGAATGTAGGCAGATAATTTTAAAAGTCCCAAATCTTTTCCCATATCAAATTCAATGTCATAAACCAGGAGCATAGTCAGGAATTTAAAGGAGAAGAAGAGGGGGGAGGGGGGATTTTTGTTTGGAAAATTTAAGGGGGGGAGGTTAGGATTTTTTTCAAAAAAATCCCTTGCAAAATGAAGAAATTTCTGTTAACGTAGCCGGATTTTCACCTGCACCCCCCCCCCCTCCCACCTGAGTACGCGCCTGTCAAAAGCAGCACCCCTCTGATTACACCAGTGATGGCCAACCTATGTGCCGCGGTACACTAGTGCGTCACGAAAATTCGAGAATTCCCATGAACCGTGTTCCCTTTGTGCTTCTTACTAAAGCATCACCCGTCTGATTACACCAGTGATGGCCAACCTATGTGTCGCGGTACACTAGTGCGTCACGAAAAAATTCGAGAATCCCAATGAACCGTGTTCCGTATGTGCTTCCAACCAAGATGTACCTTGACACAAAAAAAGTTGACCACCTCTGGACTATACCAAAGTCCCTCATTATTTTAAATATCACAAAACTGTTCACCATAAATTAATTATTTATAAAAAGAAATGGAATTAAATTGGCATAATTTTTCATCCACGACTCTTTTAAGTACCCAGAAATCTCAGCACAGCATCTAATCTTGTAGCCTCAGCATTTATGGTTTGCTAACCAATAAGTACTAAAGCTTAGCCTTATTCATCAAGCTCCTAGCTGGCAACAACCCATCATCAGTATTACAGCACATTTTAATCCCAAACATGAACTTCTTCAACTTAATTCGGCACAAATTTTTTGACTCATTCTCGAGTTCTTCAAAAGTTTTGTCCTTAAACCTCTCAGGATCATAGTTTTGCTTGTAAAAGCTCACATCTTGTGGATACAAATCATCTCCTGGATACACAAATGTGTAACTGTCTTTTAAAGAGTAGCTGACTGGATGAATTACAGGAACTGATGATCCATTTCTAGATTTTGCAAATGCTGCAATTTCGTCTATACTTTTATGATTAATGAACCTGTGGATCTCGTAGAATAAAGGCGGTGGAACCCACACGAGTTTTTGGTGATGTGCTGTTATGGCTTCTTCTGGGGTCATCCACTGAAAGTTATTTAAAGTTTAGATCCTTGAAATCTATCAAAGCTATACAAAATTTACCATAAAATTCTGAACCTCATAGCTTTCAGGATAACAAGGCGGAATTGAATCCAAAAAAGTCACAAAAACTGCAGTTTCGAATCTCTTTAAGGAAAACACAGGTGACATCCACACTGACCATTCATAAACTCCGGTTATATTGGGCACAACTCCTAACTGATCACAAAAATTCATAAAAGTTTCATGACTGTTGTGGACCTGCTTCTGCCAAAATGGAATGTCGCAGTCTTTTGAATGAAAATAATCAGTAAATGGACTACTTTTGGATGTGTCTGAAGCTGGGCTGCAAAGTGCAATGCCAAGTTCCTCAAATGTCTCACGAATTGCTGCCAATCTGAGTGAAATTTCACGTTCAATTTTATTGTTGCCTTGTGGATCATAAATGAATGGTTTTGTGACTTCCGTTCGTCTTCGAAGTTGCTCGGATGGAACTTTGTGGTGCTTGAAAAATGATGTCCAGGATGAGGATTCATCTGAGGGATCGAGGGAGCCACCAGGGAATGAGAGGTTCTTTGATCTGACGCTAGTGTGTAAAGTTCTGGTGAAGACTAAGATCTGGAAGGAAGATAGATAATTTTTAATTTTTGCAAGGGGGAAACAACGTAAAAACATTCCCATTGTATTGTTATCCCCTTGAGTTTTTTGTAAAATAAATTGCAATAATTCCAAATCAAAGCTCAAAGTTTAATTCCATTTAATCCTCACTTTATAATCATAATTGGACCGACTGGATGGATCTCTAGCAAAGACAATCAATGTTGCTGCTTCCCTCCATGGCTTGTTGTTCATGACAATTCTTAAAATTCTTTAATTTTTAATAAATTTGTACAATTTTTCTATAAAATGTTCTTAAATATTTTCAAAAAATAAAAAACAAAAAGAAAACAAAAATAAAGTTTCACAAAAAGCTGTCGCTGAGTTTTTTCATGTCCGTCTGTCAAAACACGATCAACCCCTTGCCTTACTTATCAGTTAAATCACAATAAAAAACTAGTTTCTAATCAACATAAAATTATTTAAAATTCTCAATTTGTCATGCTTAAAAAGCCAATCAGAAATGCAGCATCGATGATTGTCCTTGCACGTGATGCATCAAAATCATCAAGGTTCGATTACAAGGTAGTTAATAATAACTAAGGATTAATTCTTATTAATCCAAGGCTAATGAACAATAAAAACAATAAATTTTAGATTTTAACATTCACAAGAAGTGAAAAAACCAGCATTTTTGACAACACATTATGCTTCCCAGGCGGTCAACTTCATGATTCAGATGAGTCCCCATCCTGGACATCATTCTTCAAGCACAACAAAGTCCCATCCGAGCAACTTCGAAGACGAACGGAAGTCACAAAACCATTCATTTATGATCCACAAGGCAACAATAAAATTGAACGTGAAATTTCACTCAGATTGGCAGCAATTCGTGAGACATTTGAGGAACTTGGCATTGCACTTTGCAGCCCAGCTTCAGACACATCCAAAAGTAGTCCATTTTCTGATTATTTTCATTCAAAAGACTGCGACATTCCATTTTGGCAGAAGCAGGTCCACAACAGCCATGAAACTCTCATGAATTTTTGTGATCAATTTGGAGTTGTGCCTAATATAACAGGAGTTTATGAGCGGTCGGTGTGGCTGTCGCCGATATTTAAGAAGATTTTGAAGAGATTTACAACAGCTGTGTTTATAACGATGTTGGATTCTGTACCTGAGTGTCATCCTGAGGAGCATGAGGTTCATGATTATTTGGTAAGTAAAACGATACTCAGGAACTTCATAAAGACATCCATATGCACACTGTGTGATTGTCATGGACCCATAACAGCAATGCTATGGTTGGTTATATCATTTAGTAGCTAATGAGGTCCTGAAAGTGGCAATTTATGTTGTCAAGTGGTCAATTTGATCAGTTTGGCAGGTAAAGTTACTATCGTGAATTTAAAGGGATGTAGGCTCAATAGCTTCACATTAACAATCACCAAAGCCACAGCTACTCAAAAATTAATTTTTCCCTCAATTTTCAGTGGCTTACTCCAGACGAGATCTATAAAGGACAGCAAAATGACAAGCTGTTCCTCCCACCGCACTTATTTTATGAACTTCATCGATTCCTCGACTGCACAAGCATTGATGAGATAGCAAAGTATGCAAAACAAAGAGATGGCCAGTCACTTCCTCTTATATACCCAATCTTTTACATCCTTAAAGACAGCTTAGCTATGGTCTTTCCAGGAGATGATTTATATCCAAAAAATATTTATTTTTATGAGAAAAATTACGACACGAGGAGATTTAGTGACAAAACTTATGATGAGATTATGATTGGATGCAGGAACTTCTGTAGGGCTGAAATGGAACTTTTACATTCAAAGAGATTTTTATGCAACATTGATGATGGACTTTTGAGGCTGAAAAGTGAAGAAGTGATTAAATTTTGTTGAAATTTAATAAAAATAAGTTTTTGGTTACTTAATAAATTAGGGGAACAGTTTCTAAGGCTACCCAGGGAATCCTATGAAGCTAGTGTGGGATGTCCCAGATAGCACTAGAAAGCAACCCCAGAATTGTCAATATATTCATCAAACTTCTATAGAACCAGCTTCTTTTCAGTTCTGCTAATGTATCTGCTTACTTTTTTCTCTGTCAGCTGAGCACACATTTTTATATATTCCAGGCGGCACCTCCTGTCTGTTTTTAATCATCATATTTTTCAATAACAAAGAAAAAGAAAACTTTTCGATACTTTTTCAGCCTTAAAAAATATGAAATAAAATTGATTATGAGTCGTGAACATACATTGAGGCATGTAAGTAGGTTATTAGGTTCTGTAAAGTTTGTGCGTCGTTGCATGCTTTCAGGGGCGTAGATAGGAATTTGAAGATGGGGGGGGGGGGGCAAAAAAATTTTGTACGGAAAATTCAGAGGGAAGGGAGGGATTTTTATGATTTTTTAATAAAACTCCTAGCAAAATGAAGAAATTTCTGTTGACGTCATTAACCCCCAAATCCCCCCCCCTTGGTTACGCGCCTGCATGCTTTAGAAAAGTATATAATGATGATGGGTTCCTATTGCTCCACTTTGAAGCGTAGGGCGTCCACAAAGCATTTGAATCGCACTCGATTCTGGGCCAAAGCTGCTATTTCCTGCAAAGTTTATAAACATTAAGTTTAATTTGTTCAGTGAGTAAAATATGCAATGAACTTCATTATTTTTATGTTTTATGGTCCAATGATGATCAATCCAAGAGTGCGGAACTGATGAATTAGATTTTGATCATTTTTGATAATTTTGATGAGTTTGGTAACCTTGGATCAAAATGTGCGCTACGTTATACAGAAAAAATTCAAGAATTCCCAAAAAAAAAGTAGAAAGTTTGCAATTCATTGCCAATTGTTCATGACTTCCAACCAAGGTTCGCCTGGGTCCAGAATTCACTGTTTCAACGGTTTAATGTTCGAGATCAACTGCTTAATGTCCAAAAAAAGGAAGTCATAATTAGGACTATGAGTAAGGGGCTGTTCACTTATTACGTAACGCGAAAAAATGACTTCTTAGACCCACCCTCGTAACAAAATTTGTATGAAAAAAAAATTTCCTTGTTTGAACCGTAACAAAATCTTAGACCCCCCTCCCCCTAAAAGCGTTACGTAATAAGTGAATGGCCCCTAAGCTGTTCATTGATTTTTGCTTTTTTTGGTCCAAAAGTGGGACATGTCGCGATTTCAGCTTTGAAAAAACCGAACGGACCAAATTTTCAAGCATTTTCCAAGAACAAAAGGTTTGAAAAAGCGGGACATTGAGAATTTTAGACGGAACTTTTTTTAAAAAAGCGGAACTGTCCCACTCAAAAGTGGGCAGTTGGACAACCTTTTTATGAATTATATTGGATAAACGAACGGGTTAGAAACCTGAAATGGAACGAGAGAAGCTGCAACGGAAGCTACAAGATTGACTCGGGAAATGGAATATTGGCAGAACCATAAGCTGTATACTGTAAAAAAACTAGGTTGTTTTGATGTTTTCTAGCTCATTATAGCCATCTTGTTTTAGATACTTTGTTTAATAAATGACAGCTTTTAGACATTTTCTGAAAAACCTGAATAAATACACTTTGTTGTTCGGTAGCTTATAGGATGTTAGGAGCTGAAACTAAGGTGCGTAGAATTTTTTAGAGAGTCAGCAGTGGATTTCTCGGTCCACAACATGTTCCATACCTCAACATCTTCTTCTATTGTCCAGTCTCTTGAGTAGCTGTAAGTCTATACCAGAAAATCCATTCAAATGATCTGAAACTGAACAAAAACCGTAAAAAATTGTCAACTTTTGTTTCCTTGTCCTTTTTATTCTTCAAAATGGTTTCTCAGTCTAATTCAAGTCATGAACATTGAAAAGTCATGCTGGGATTATTCTCAATTACCCATAATGTCCACGCCTTAGTCTAATTTAACAAATTTATATTTTTTTTTCTTCAAAAATCCCCAAAAAAATGTCAATTTACTGAATATAATATTCACAAAAAACTGGCAGTTCCATATTACAATTAGCTGCATTAGCTGCAACAGTATTATGTTCCTCAAACTTCATTAATCTCAAACAGTTTCCAGTTTGTGGACCATCGAATTGAGTTCCTGGATAAATGAATCTCTTCTGTCCGTTATTTTCAGAGCTGAAATAATACCAAAAATCATTAACTTTGCGTCCATTAATCCAGTACGAATGGACATTCTCGAACAAGTTGAACATATTGAGACGACATTCAAGATGATGATCGATTGTCTGTATTGCAAACAAGTCCATTTCCTCTTTAAGGCACAGGTCATGTCCAGCTTCATAGCTCATATTTCGATTAATCACACAAACTGATTTTGAATATTTATTTCCTGAATATAAATCCATGCTGTCGGTACAAATTGGCGGTGCTTTATCCTTCGTTGTTCTCAAACTCTTTTTTGGATGAATCATGTGCTTATATACATAACGTGCTGTTGTTGTTGTTGTTGCTGGATCTACCTTCTTAATATTTGTGACATGTGGTTTTGGGGATGTTGAGGGCGTTGTAAGGATGTTTGTTGCTGTATCAATCGTTGTTGTTGTTATTGGAGCTTCTGTGGGTTCTGGTACATCTTCAGGTTCCTCAATAGCAGGTTCAATTGCCATTGGCACAATGATTGCATGCTTTTGTTTCTCAATCATGTCTTCGGTACGCTTAATTTCGTCCATCAGTTGCTTCTGAATCTCATCGTCTTCGGCTGAGTTTGGTTCCTGAGCATATTCTGCCTTTGGTGGATCAATTGTAAATCCTGGAATAAATTTGAGCTTTTTTTCTTCGGATGTCGTTGTTGTAGCTTCTGTAATGCTTGTTGTGGCTTCAGTGGTGGTGGTTGTAGTTTCTGTTGTGCTTGTTGTAGCTTCTGTAGTGCTTGTTGTAGCTTCAGTTGTTGTACTAGTTGTTGTAGGCTTCTCAGTTGTTGTGCTGGTTGTTGTAGATGTCGTGCTTGTAGTTCTAGCCAAACATTCAGCCCAGTCTTTGCTAATGTCACTTAAATTACCTTCCAAAGTCGTCAAATCTTTGACATCCTTGCTATAAGGTTCGTTATAGATATTCGTTTCTAATTGCAGACCTGAAGCTAAGTAAGCTACCAAGCTAGATGATATGCTGTCTTGACACGCCTCATCTTGAACAGTTGCTGAACTTACAGCTGTTTGAAGTGCTGATAGGCTGTTTAAGAGATTCATTATTTTAGGTTCTAGTGCTTTTCTGGGATCTACAGTTGTTGTGGATGTTGAGGTTGTTGTTGTAGCTTTTGTAGTTGTAGAAGTAGTCGTTGGTTTAGTTGTTGTAGATGTTGTGGTGGATTTAGTTGTTGTAGTTGTTGGTTTTGTTGTTGTAGTTGTTGCTTTTGTTGTTGTAGTGGTCGTTGGTGGTAAAGTAGTAGGTGCTTCAGTCTCATCGTCATAATAATCCTCTTCTGCGCCTTCTTCTAGTTCATACTCATCTTCAGCATCTTCTTCTTCTTCCTCGGGATATTCTTCTTCATCTTCAGGTTCTTCTTCTGCCTCTTCTTCTGCTTCTTCTTCATCTTCATTGAACTCTTCATCATCGTCGTCATTTTGTGGTTGTGCTGGTGAAGCTGGTGCATTTGGAGGTTTTCCTATTCGACATTAAGTGTAAATAATAGGTTTGGGAAGTGTCTTAAGCTGATTTCAAGGGTTTAAGGGGCTTAAATAGGCTTTTAGTAGCTCAGATGAGCTCTGTTGAGCCTATAAAGTCTTTAGAGATTCTTTCAGAGTTTTAAAGAGACTATTAAGAGTTTTAAAGAGTCTATCAAGGCTCTGGAGAGTCTGTCAAGGCTATTAAGAGTCTGTCAAGACTATGGAGAGTCTGTCTAGGCTCCAATGAGCCTGTTAGAGCTTTAAAAAGACTGTCAAGATACTGTGGAGTCTGGTAAGATTCAATTAAATTTGTAAGGTTTTTTTTAAGTTCACATAACTTCTACTTACCCTCAACAAGACAAATCAACGACACACCAAACAAAAATAAAAATATAAACGTAAATTTCATCTTGTTGGACTTTAAATTCAACTTTATAAAAATAATTCGGGTCCTATAAAGACAATGATCTTAACTCCGAACTCGATCGAATTGAACTGAGGAAATTTGTCGACAGATCTACGAAAAAACACACACTTGAAGGAGCTTAAAGCATCTGCTAGTGCGTCACTGAATTGAAATAAAGGACTGAGACGTCACTTTTGTTTTTTTTATGTAGGAAATGTCTTTGTAGTGTTAATGTTTCAGTAACTGTAAAGCGAATGAATTGGAAGGTTTGAAATAAAATGAAGAGTTGTGGCTTTAGGGACTGCAGGGATGTCTTGAGGACAGAAGGAAAATTTTATAGTTTCATCACCATAGCTATACTTTTTGTTCACTTCACAAAAAGGTTAGGTAATCGTCAATCTAGTAAAAACCATCAGATTCTGTTTTGAACTGTAAATTTAGTCTCAAAAATTAAAACCAGGAATGCAGTGGTCACTCGTTTCCGATGGAAGTGCATTTTCCCCGCAGAGAAATCGAGTTCATAATTAAATTTTAAAAATTCAAAACAATTTAAAAACAAACTGTATCAAAAAAGCTTAAACTGATGGAGATAGCTACACAGACGGACGCACAGATGAAGGACAACAGGGGCGTAGACAGAAATTTGAAGAGTAGGGGACAAAATTTATTTTGTATGAAAAAATTTTAGGGGGGGGATTTTTTGTGATTTTTTCATGAACCCTAGGAAAATAAAGAAGAAATTTCTGTTTACGTTGGGGGATTTGTCCCCCAAATCCCACCCTCCTGGGTATGCGCCTGATGGACAGACAGACAAAGAGGGTCTTTCAAAAGTGTCTTTTTCTCATAGGAAAATGCATTAAAAAGAATTCAAGTAAAATTATTCCATTCAATTTTATTTTTTTTTTCCAATTTTCCATAAATTGTAATTTTAAATTTTATAGGAACAACTTCAATATCCATCAATAGTCATCCTCGACAACCTCTTCTGGTTCTTCAGCATACTCATATTCTCCTTCTTCTCCTTCTCCTCCAACCAAATCTCCAATCATTTTATCAATATTGTCTTCACCATCTTCGCCATAGTATTCGTCATCATAGTATCCGATATCAGTTGGTGGTGGGTCATCAGCTTTAGCTGGACTTGATGCTGGTTAATTTAAATTTTGAAATATAATTCAATATAAAATTAAAAAATTTGTTTTTTTTTTAAATTGTTGAATTTAAAAAATTATTATGAATTTTCAGTGTGAAAAGTAAAATTTCAGATTTACAAATATGAATTTAAAAACATAAAAATTAACTTTTAAATTTAAAAATGCTATAAAATCAGTGGTGTCCAACCTTTTTTTGTGCCACGGCACAACTTGATAGTAAATGACTGAAACCGTATACGGCATACGATTCTTGAGTTTTCTGGAATTTTTTCGTGGCACATAGGTTGGACATCACTGTTTAAAATTGTTAAAATTTTGTAAAAGTTAAATCTCACCATTGACCACAAAAATCACCCCAAATATGAATAAATTGAGCAACAAAAATTTGAGACTCATTTTAAATAATTACAAAAAAATGGAATTCGACGAACAATTAATTCAACTATTCACTGTGATGTGTCTTTTATACTATAAACTTAATATAGAAATGATAAAATTGAATAAAACTGTTCAAATAAATGATGACAATTGGAGAATGAACCCTCCTCGTGCAAATCGATGATAAATACACCGAAAAAAAAACTTATTACATTTTTTTCAATAATTCAGTGAAGATAGAATGAATTTAATGAAGAATAAAAGGTTTAGAAAATATTGCGCTTGTAAGTTAAAGTGACTTTGTAGCTCAGGAAACTAAGATTGAACTTGACAACCTAGTTTTGTGAGCTGCAGATTGTAGACAAAGTTGTAAAAGCTATTAAATGGATTATAACATGAACCGAAGATCCAGGAAGTCTAGAAAACCTCAAAAATGGAAATTATGAACAGCTTTGATGCTTAATAAATGTTTGGCAAAGTTAAGCAATTTTTGTAGATTTTTTCCATGCAATTTTTAAATGCAAGGGGAGATTATTATTATTATTATTTATTTAATTAATTTGAGAAGCCAAAGAATCGTCATGGCTTTATTACATTATAAACAATGGTACATTTAGTTCATCTTATCGAGATAAAACCTCAATAAACCCCCAAAAGCTATGATCAAAAGTTCTTAAAGCTAATCCGAAAAGCACACGGCGAGTTTGGTGAAATCATGTCAGGTGCTGCGTTAATGCCTTCTGAGACACCAGATTAACCACCATTTTTAAGGCTTCATAGTTCATCAAGTTTTTAGACTTAATCGTGTCTTTGTAATGTGCTGATCTTGAAAATGGTTCAGATTCTACTATAAAAAAGGAGATATAAAGCAGTGTGGTCCAAACTGTGTGCCGTCTAACACTGGTGTGCCGTAGGACATCCTTGAGTGTGCCTTGAAAAAATATCTAAAGTGCCGAGGCTGAAAAAAGTTTGGCCAACACCAATATCAAGGGTTGTGTACAATAGATTCTGCACTAATTGAATTGCAGTGCTTCCAGCTCAAACAGGATGGGCCCTTCCCATGATTTATCTTTTAATATCTTCAAAGGGACACAGCATGAGCGTAGCTCCGCTCCAGATTTAATACCACATTTTCAGTCATTTTTATTCCGTGTGTCTCTCAAGGTTTAGATCTTCTTTAAATTCTTAATTAATTTAAAAAATTAAAAGAAACTTTAAAATTTAATTTAAATTTTAAAAAAATATTTTTGAGCCATTTTTGGATTAATTTTAATTATTTTTTAATTTTTATTCATCATTGTGACTTCAAATAATTTTATTCAAATTCATAAAAAGCAACCGCTCTTTTTCAAGGTCACTCATTTATTTGTATCAGCTGACATGAACTCTTAGTTGCGGTCCCCTCAGTTCTTTTTGTTTATTTTGATGAAGCGAAAATTAAACTCTCAAAAGTTGAACGTTTTTTGTTTTTAATTTAAATTTGGAATTACTTTCAAATTCAGGTAAATAAAAAGCAAAACAGAATGACTTTTTGGTGCGAAACTTGTTTTTGAGGAAAGTTTATTGAATTGAAATTTAACTTTGGTCTAGTGCATCAGTATGATTCATTGATTACTGCGAACATAGCAATAATTGGATTATTTTTAACTTTTTAAGAAAATATTCTTCTTTTAGTTCAAGCAAACTGACAACTTGGGAGTTTCCCAGACAAAGTGAGTAGTTTTGAAACTTCTTAATAAATTTAATAATTTTTTTAATAAATTCAAAACTAGTTCAAAACTTTTGCGAATCATCAGCATTAATTTGGAACTTTTAACAACTTTTAAACGCTGATCATGGGAGGATCCGGCTCAAAATCTCAATCAGAACCAGAAAACACACCAGAACCACCAGAAATTAGCAAAATCATCCAAAGACCAGCTTCAAGCTGTTCAACAAATGAAGATGACTTTTCTATAATTGAGGAAATAGACGATGCAAGGTAAATTTAAACTGAATAATCTCTAGAACAGTCCTGCTCAACCTATTCTGTGTCACGGCTCACCTTGCTGGTAAGCCATGTCTAAAACTACACACGACGAACGGTTTAAGAAAATTTCTGAATTTTTTTGCTGGTGTGCCGCGGCACATGGGTTGAACATCAATGCTTTAGAATATTTTGCGGGTGTCTAGGGTTGCTAAGTGTACCTCGAAGCTGAATTCGATTTATATCTCGAAGTAGACTAATCGAATCTAAGAAAAAGAGCTCCCATTTGACTAAGAAGCCAATCCTTGGATGTACCTTAGCCATATTTGAGTATATGGACAGTATACTCAAGCATGGATAAGATATATTCTAAAAGTTAACACAGATCCAAGATGATTTAACAACAAAATCATTCAACAAACCCAAATTTTATTAACATTTAAAATATCCTTTCAATTTTAGCAACCTTAAATCAACAACATCGCAAAAACCAGCAAGTCAACAATTAAAACCAAAAGACGCATTTTTCAAATCATTCATTGAAGCCAGCATCAATGACTTAGATCAAAGCATTGAAACAATCACAAACCATGCAAAAACAATAATTCCTGATGGTTTTACAAATCTTTCCGTAAAGAAATTAAATCGATGTTTAGTCTTTACGATTGAAAGTCTTTACGTGAACTTTGATAAGCTCAACTTTCACAGAGACGTCATTTCTATGATTTTTGAAGATGCACGACAGTCAAATCGATCTGAAATGAACTTCTCAACAGCTTTTGGACGACTTTGCAGGCAACAGATACATAATATTGGGAGTGATCAGAAATGGAATGATATTGTCATGTTTGGTGCGCTTTTGTGTGAACTTACTGTTGTTTATCATAAAGAATCAACTTTATTCATGTTGGAGTTGAATATTTGGATACAAGAAATCATTAAATCTGCGCTAAGTGGAAATGACAATGGATTGATTGCTTATATGTTGATTTTGAATCGATTAATAACGAGAAAGGATGTCTTTGATCAAATAAATAGGCAATACTTTAAAATATTGAGGACATTAATTGGGAATTTCGATAATCAAAGGTATGTAATGGAAATATGTGTTTATTTATTAATAAGCTTGAGTGTGAAAGCACCTGAACCTAAGCTCTCTAGAGTGAACACACCTTAACATTAGAACCCTAGTGTAAAGACTCCTGAAGCTTAGAATTCTGGTGTGAAGGTACCTTAACATTAGAAGTCTTGTGTAAAGACACCTGAACCTTAGAACTTTAGTGTGAATATACATTAACATCTAGTGTAAAGACACCTGAACCTTAGAACTCTAGTGTGAAGACACATTAACATTAGAAACCTAGTGTAAAGACACCTGAACCTTAAAACTCTAGTGTGAAGACACATTAACATTAGAAACCTAGTGTAAAGACACCTGAACCTAAGAACTCTAGTGTGAAGACACATTAACAATAGAAACCCAATGTGAAGGCACCTTAACATTAGAACCCTAGTGTAAAGACTCCTGAAGCTTAGAATTCTGGTGTGAAGACACCTTAAAATTAGAAACCTAGTGTAAAGACACCTGAACCTTAGAACTCTAGTGTGAAGACACCTTAACATTAGAAACCCTATGTGAAGGCACATTAACATTAGAACCCTAGTGTAAAGACTCCTTAACCTTAAAACTCTAGTGTGAAGACACGTTAACATTAGAAACCTAGTGTAAAGACACCTGAACCTAAGAACTCTAGTGTGAAGACACATTAACAATAGAAACCCAATGTGAAGGCACCTCAACATTAGAAACCTAGTGTAAAGACACCTTAGAACTCTAGTGTGAAGGGAACTTAATTTTTAAAACTAGTGTGAAGGGACCAGAATCTTACAGAACATACTGTTTTCATAATCAATAAAATAATTTACTTTATTGTGTTTCTTTTCAGCAAACTTCGAACTATCGTGTCCTGCCTCATTACGAATGTTGATAACTTTAATAAAAATGATGTTGCAACTGCTATTGACAAAAGTAAACCAACTGTTCGAAGCAAACGACTTAAAGTTCCGAAACATATGATCGTTGATGACGCAGAATATTTAGAAGAAGTTCAAATATCCAATAAATGTAAAGCCTTTGAAAAATACCTCAAATCAACGTCAAAAGGCATAAATGACTTTTGTAGCTTCTTCAGTGACGCAACAATCAATGAAGTTGAATATTTCTCAAGAATATTCATTGATCATGCGATTGAGAATCCAAAAGAGATCAAAATTCTTGGTTCAATTGCGTCAAAGTATCAAACTGCACTGTTGAGAGTAAGGAGGTTAATTAAGGATACTGTAAAAGGTCTCGAGGGTGAATTTGAGACTTTAAAAAGAGCAGGGAATGCAGATTCAGTGAAAGTTGGGAATCTAGGAAAACTTCTTGGCGAATTGTACGTTTCTGAAAAGCCGATAATTACAGCTGAGTTCATGACATCCTTTTTGACATTCCTAACTGATAATGGAGACATAACAACGATTGCATCAACCTTAAAACTTTGCGGTTATTTCTACAAATCTAAAAATCAAAAACATTTTGATAATTTCATGGAGTCAATCAATGTGTTTCGATCAATAATTGAGGATGAATTTATTGATTTGTCTGAAAATTACGAGAATAAGGAACAAATTTGTAAGTCAAGGCTGTTCATGCCAGCAGATTCTGTAAAAAAATTGAGCAGTTTAGAAATGGTCATAACGAATGTCTCTGAAAATAAGAGTGTCAGTTACAACTATGAACTCACAGGCATTCTGCACATGAATTATAAAAGATTAATCAAGTTGGTCATCAACAGTTTAAAAACACCAGACGCAAATGTCATCGAACTTGCTAAATTTCTAAAATCTTTGCACGATTTTACTTATAAAATCGGAAATTTCGTTAAAAGATTGAAGGTTAATTTAGAATTGAGGGTTTTGGACATGTCAACTGATAATCTACAGGAAATGAAGATTCTCGGCATGTTCATAGCTGAATTGAAGAATTTGAATGTCACCAGCAATGAAAGTCAAAAGCTGTGGCTGGAAAAGGCTAAAAGTTTGGATCCTGTCGAGAATTTTGAGGTTATGGAGATTTATGTTGATGTAGTTAAAGCTATGCTGGTTAATATTCAAATTCACGAATATGAGAAGATTGAGAAGATCCAAAAGTTCCTCTTGGACTTCAACAAATCCTTAGAATCAACAGACAATGAAGTTACAATCAGAATCAAGTCTAAAATCGCTCAAATTCTTCAAAATATTGTCATCAAAAAGGTTGACTCAGCAACTGTAGATCTTCTCTTTAAAATCAGACATGGACAAAGAATTGAAGGTCTTCCAAAAGACATGCCCGAAAGTGATCCAAATCAATTGGATGTTCAGGATTTTGCTAAAATATTCTACATCAATGCCATCTCGAATCACCTTTTCACTGTAAATTTTACAAACTCACTGAAATTCCTCAAAACTGGATCAAAAGGAGAAAAATTCATTCAAAACTTAAGAGACATGCTGTCTTCAAATCTATTTCCAAACATTTATTCTCCTGACTTTTGTGAATCGGATGAAGCTCAAGGCACATTTGAGCTTATTCTTCAACTTTTTAAAGAAGGTGTCTTAATGGATTTGGAAATTATTTCATTTCTGCAAGTCATCTATGAACTTGAGAACTTGCAGAAGTATAAAGACTATGCATCTAAATTCACAGATGATTTATATCTGCTAGTTGTACGCGGTACTAGAAGAAATGCCAGGAAGTTCAGTCACAATTTGACAAAATACATTGAAAGAGTTCAACAGAAATTAAAGGAACTGGATGTTGAGGATGTAGAAGTTGAAGATCCATTTAAGAATGTGGAAGGACAAGACGATGAAGAAGAAAATGCTGAACTTAAGCTTAAGGAAGACGAATGTGACAAAGAAGAATCCTCTGATGATCAAGTTATGGATATAGCATCAACTAAAGTTCAAGAATGTGAAAAAACACCAGAAACTATTTGTGACATTGAACATTTAGACCCAGAACCCATTGCAATCCAAGAGATAACCGACAAATCACCCGAAGATAACTTAAAAGAACAAAATCTTGAATCTAAATCATCTAAAGTTGATAATAAGATTGACACATTAAGTTGCATGGCTACAGCTGCACTAGAAACTCAAAACCATTCAACAGCTACAACTGCTCAATCAGCATCATCATCATGGCAAGAAATATGCAATTTACTCAAACAAGATCAGGAAAAGGACAATTCTTTGAGTTTAATTTTATTGGACCAGGAGCAACATCAACCAGCTTGGAGTATGCTAGAGAATTCAATTTCTGATGAGATTGCTGAAGAGTTAAGTCAAAGCAGCAAGATTGTTAATCTTTTAACTCAGATTGAGGAGAAATTAGCAACCTTCAGTGAAGATTCCAAGGAACAAGTGCCACAATTTCAAGAGCTAAACCTGAATGAAAAAGCTGCTCCAAACCCCAACTTATCTGTTGAAAATCAACATTCAGCACAGATCAATCCAAATGTAACACAAACCAGTCAAAACTCATCACAAGATGCTTCGAACCTCTACCAATTTCAATCAATTCATTCAGCAAACTTTAACATACCAGGCCTAGCTGAATCTTACAATGAAATCTTACCAGTTATCACAACAAACACATCACATCTAAGAAGACATTCAATTGTAATTTATGGCTGGTCAATTGAAGATCAAACCCTTAAACCACAAGTTAAAGAGCTCACTGTTCTTTTGTCGACTGAATTGAGAAAGCATCACAAGCAGTTGCTTAAGGATGTGACTAATGAATTAATGGATGAGTTGGATATTATTCGTAGAGCTCAAGGTGTTAGTAATCATGATGGCAAGAAATTTTCTCAACAGAGGAACGACTTCATATTGACATGCAGAGCTGTTTTTCCGTTGCTGGAGAGTCGACATATTTACGATATCTTAGATTGCATGCTGATTCACATCAATGATGGAAATAGGATTGTGGTTGAACTCTTTTTGGATGTAACTGAAGGAATAGAGGATGTCTTTAGCGTTGATTGTAAGGCACGAAACAAATTTTTGACATTTTGTACTCAAGTCTTGGAATATGCTGTGAAATTCAGGAATGCAGACCCAAGAACGTCAAAAATGCTTAAATATTTCAAAACCTTAAAGAACAAGCCCGAAAGATCACAAAGCATCGAAAGTTCCTCAACTCAACGACTAAGCAACAGCCAATTAAGCATAAACTACGTCAGTCCTTGGCCAGACAAGCCAAGAAGAAGGTATCGAGGATATCGAAGGCCAAGAGAATCAAGTCAAAGCACACAAAAGTTTGGATTGTCAAGAGCTTCAAGTCAGGCGACAGATAGATCAAGTCAAAGTGTGCAATCAAGTAGACAGTCAAGGCAGAAAGTCAAATCAAGTGGACAATCAAGTCAAAATACTCAGACAAGTGCAAAGTCAAGACAGAGTCTTCAGCCAAGTTCAAAGTCAAGTCAGAGTCTTCAGCCAAGTTCAAAGTCAAGTCAGAGTCTTCAGCCAAGAGAAAAGTCAAGTCAGAGTCTTCAGCCAAGTGCAAAGTCAAGTCAGAGTCTTCAGCCAAGTTCAAAGTCAAGTCAGAATGTTCAGTCAAGTGTATCACAAGGTGTATCAGGTCAAGTAACTGGAAAGTCAAATTCAATTCCCTCAAATGTCATTCAAGATCCACCAGCAAGTCTCAAAACAGATGCTAAGGTCATGTTCTACATCAATCAGCTTCAATCTACAAATGTTGAAAAACTTACACCTAAGATTAGTTCCATCTTAGCTAAAGACTTTTCAAAAAACAGATTTATGGAAATTTTACTACAAAAGGGGATTTCAGACGAGAAATTCATAAATCCAGCCATCGATTTATTTGTGCATCTTTTTGAAGAAAATGGCATTAAACCAGCAAAAATAGCATTAGCTGATGAAATTGGCAATGAGTTCATAAACCTTTGTGAAGATGGCGGGAAGCTAGAACAAAAAATGATGAACTTAGTAAAGTTCACGCTTGCATTTGATCCGTTTCTAAAAGGATCATTTTTATTTGAACTTTGGTCGCAACTTCTTGAATTCGTTGAACAGGATTGTCCGAATTCTCTGAAAGCTCTTTTGTTGCTGATGGAAAATAGCTTTGAAATTTTGTATGATTCAAGAGATCGAACAAGATTTTTGAGATATGTTGTAATAGTTTTTAAAAGAAAATTGGGCGTAATTAAGGATAAAAGTTTAAGAGACAAGATGAACAAGATAATAAGAAGTTTTGAAAGAGATGAAGCTCCTGCAAATGTGATTAAAGACAATACTCAACAAACTGATCAAAATAAGTTAAGTTCACAAAACAAAATTACTGAACCAGTTGCAAAAGCTTCAGGAATTGCCACAAATCCTCCAACATCTAAAATTACTCTGCCTGGTTCACAACAGCAAGTCAAAGCTATAAATCCTCTTGAACTTTTGCCGATCAAAACTCAAGAACTTGACAAAAACCATTCGAAAGTGGTTACAGGATTGACAAAAGACCTCAACTTTTTGAACTTTAGCAGACCATCAACTGCAATTGAACCAGCAGCAACGATGCAGCGTCAAGAAGTATCCATCAAGAAAAGTCAAACAATTCAGTCTAAACTGCAACTTCAAAGTAACATCCAAACCCACCAAGATGATCAAGTCCGGCTCCTGAACTTCACTCCCGACTACTTTTTATTTGACAATTCAATCACAAATCCACAAAAATTTGAGAAAACTCTGAAAGTTTTATGTGAAAAATGCAGAAGTTTTGAAAACAACGACGAACATTCAATCAAAATTAAAGAATTCATCGCCATTGCCATCATTAAGATCAACTTTTTACAAACTCAAGTCAAACTTGATGAATTTGAGAAGTTTGCTGAAATATTTTACGAATTGTACACAAGAACTGATCAGACTAAGTTCATGCAATGGATTTTAATGAAGTTTTTGAAGGCTTGGAATTTAAATGATCAAAATTTGTCTGATAAAATGACTAAAATTTATGATAGATATTCAAAGTCAGTGCTGCGAGTTAAAAAGTCTTTCAAAATGTCAGAAGAAATGGCTACCAAAACTGATAAAGCAACAGCTTCAAACAACATAACCTCAAAATCGGGAGATCAACAAATTCTTTCAAGCACACCCCAAAAGCCTGACAACATAACCTCTAATTTAGGAGTTCTAACATCAAAACCTAAAAGTACAACCTTAAAGTCTCGAACCATAACCTTAGTTTTTGATGATTTGGTACCAAAATCTGAAAAACGATCAAATTCTATCTCACAGAAGAAGTCTGATGATGTAAGCTTGAAATTTGAAGACACAACCTTAAAAGCTGATAACTTAACCTCAACAACTAGTGACATAACCTCAAAATCTGGTGACATAACCTCAAAATCTAGTGACATAACCTCAAAATTTGGTGACGTAACCTCAAAATCTGATGATTTAACCTCAAAGTCTGGTGAGATAACCTCAAAATTCCTGGAAGCTACCTCGAAGCCTAGTATTACTCTGAATACAGCCATCTTATCCTCAAAATCGGAGAGCACAGCACCAAAATCAATCAATCTAACCTCAAAATCAGTTCAAAGCAATTTCTTCATTAACTTCATGACCAGTTTACAAAATCTACTATTTGATCATCTCAAAAGTACTACAATTGATGTCGATCGTGATCCATTTTTGGACTATTTTGCACTTAAAAAGAAGAAAGCTTATGAAATAGTTTGTGACTTATATTTCCTAGGTTTAATATCGACACAGTTTGTGGTCAGCTGCATTGCAAAAATGTTTGAATATCCTTTAATAATTGATAAAAATGTTGATGTTGTGGTTAGGTTGATGAAGCTGGTCGACAAAATTGTGAGAATAAGGAACAAAGAAAAGAATTTTTTGGAAGTTTTGAAGCCATTTTGGTTGAGATTGCCATTTGGAGTTGAATTGATGTTTTCTATTTCTGTTGACAAATGGACAGTTTTGAAAAATTTCATACAAAAATCATTACTTTATCGCTTAAATGCTATTGAATTTCGTGCTTTTATTGAAAGTTTGTGGACTGAATTGATGGAAAATCCAGGAAAATTTAATGAAATTGTTCAAATTTTTGAAGACTTTTTAGAAGTCTTGGGAGACAGTTTTGCAGTTTTAATCGTTGATTTTATGGAAAATCGAAGAAATTCACTCGAAAAATTCCCAATCGAGAACATTTTGAAGCCAATTTCATTAAAATACAAAACTTCAATTTTATTCGCATTTGAGCTTTTTGAAATGGGAATTTTAAATTGTGAATTATTTTCAAAATGGTTAAATGACAAAATTTATGGAAAGTTGGTGCAAGAACATAATTCTGAGATTTTATTGAAATTTGGACAAAAAGGTTTGAAAATTGATGGAAATTTGGATGAAAATTTGATTAATTATTACAAAAAGTTAAATAATTTTGGTTAAAATTACAATTTTAAATTTTTTTTTCATATTTTAACAATTTTTTGCATTTATGTTTTTTAATTCTTACATATTTTTAAAAATTGCAAATAAAGTTTGAAATTAAAGAATCAAAAATAAAATTTTTTTTTAATTTTTTTAAAGCTTCTGAATTTTTTCCTTTATCTGTTGCGACATTGCTGAGCTTAGAGATTATCTAGGGTCAGTATTGTCCAAAATATGTACAGCAGAACACTGAAACACTGAAAATAACAAGAGCCGCATGCTGTGTACGAGTCTGTTCTTAGTTTACCACTAAGGTGTGCCTTTTCTCAAAAAGTTTGGACGGCCCTGATCTAATGAAAGCTTTATCCTTTGAAGTCTTTCTGCAAATTCAGGATAAATTGAACTCTATTGCCACCTTCTTCATATTTGAGATAATCAAGTCAAAACTTAGTCTTAAGATCTTCTCCTAAAATAATAATTGCGCAACGGTTAAGCTTCAAATTTGTTCATTTCAGTTTTCCTTTCAGCTTCGGTCCCCTCACCGCTTCTTGTTTATGTTGATAAAAATTATAATAATTAACTTAAAATAATTATTAATTTTAACTGTCTTAAATTTCAAGTAGTTTGGTAAGTTGTGTGACTTTTGGATTTCTTTTAAAGCCTAAAATTATTGTTCAATATTTTATTAAAATTCAAAAAATTGGCGATCTTCATTTTTAATGATTGAATGATTCATTGAAGTTGTGCAAATATTAAAATTATTTAAAAAGGCAGCTTCATAAATGAGAGTAACCAGATTTTTTTTGAAAATAAAGGACCCCCACATGTTTACTAATAAAGAGATATTAAAATAATAATGGCCCATATAACTGGATGGCACGGACCTATTGCAAAAAACCAGAGCTCTCTACAATGTCTGGTTAAGGAAATTTTGAAACAGCCGAACAGCCAGACAAAGTTCATAAAGAAATTAAGAAACCATGTAGATGGTCAGCCTATTCTTATTGCACTTTGTCTAGCTGTTCGGCTGTTTCAAATTTCCTTAACCGGACATTGTAGAGAGCTCTGGTTTTCTGCAATAGGTTCGTGCCATCGAGCTCTGTGGGCCGTTGTTATTTAACTATCACAAAAGCATTGTTTAATAATAAATTAATTATTTTTTGTTTTCAGTAAAGTTTAATCTGTCAAAATTTTATTTTACCTCTATAACTTCAATATTACCTCCATAATTTCAATTTTTTTCTGGTCATTGTATAATTTGAATATCAACAAACCGTTAAAAGACAAACATTTTCTTTAAGGACATTCAATATAATTATTTGTAAATTACACTAAAATTATTGATCTTTTAATCTGTAAATAATCAAATACTGATTTGAATTTTTGACACTGCATTTTTGTGTTAGAGATCAGTATTTGACAATCTATTTATTTTGCGTTCATTTACAGATCATGAGAAGATTAGAAGATCATTAATTTTAGTGTAATTATCAAATAATTACAATGAATGCTTGTATAGAAAGGCTTTATTATTAAACGATCAATATTTTCCCGCTAAAAGTTGAACTACAAAAGCATTATAATGTAATTAATAAATTTTTTTGCAATGAATTTCCATGTAGAAAGAATTTTTAATTAAACGGTTTTTTTTAAATTCAAAATTCTAACGGTCAATAAATATTTGAAATTATAGAGGTAATGTTGAAATTATAGAGGAAAAAAAATTTGAGCAGGTTGCACATTACTGAAATAAAAAAATCATTAATTATAGCACAAAGCCATTGTTTTATGCTTTACAAATATTTGATCGGCCAATAACTCGATAGAACTGAGCTAATAAAACAAACTCGATCTCTCTACGATGTCTGGTTAAAAAGTTTTTCTCCACCCGAACGAACGAACGAACAAAGTGAATTATTAAGCTACCTCTCAGAAACAAGTTTCAAAAATGCGCTTTAAATCAATTCAGTTGGAATTTTTGAAAATTCATAAATTTCTTTTAAGTTTTAAAGGCGCATTTAAAAATGTAACTTGAATATTTCTTATTTTTTATTTATTTATTTATTTATTTATTTATTTATTTATTTTTTTTTGCAGAAAAAGCTAATTTTTATCAGCAATTTTTAGATAGACCACACCTTATAATGGAAGGAATAGAAGTCAAACCTTATCTAGATGGAAAAATCACATCCGAACAGGAAATTCAACAGTCAGGGCTCAAAAGTGCATCAAATTCAGATGAATTATTGCAAGATGAAGACGTAGAGCTTTTATGGTAATTATTATTCGAATGCTTAAAAAATGACAAACCCGGCATGTGTGTTAATTTGGAATAAATATCAAAATCTGCATTAAATCGGCTATTTCCTTATGGAAGCAATGTTTAGTATTTTCCCCAAGAAAATTCAAGTCTTTAGCCTTGATACCAACAAAAAATGATAAAAATGAGCATATCTGTCGCATAGCAACCTTCCATTTTATAAATCACTTGCACTATACAACTCCAAACTTCATTAATATTTAAACATTTCTAGCCTTCATCAATCAACTTCATCTCAATATCCACTCAACATCAAAAAAGTCAACAAAAGCCGAATTCAATGGTTCAAACTCTTTATATCGTTATGCACTGAAGATTCTGATGACAGCATTGATGCAATTCTAAATCATTCAAAGTTAATAATGCCGAGTGGATTCAAAAATACCAAAAATAAATTATGTCGATATTTTGAGCATACAATTGAGTGCCTTTACAAAAGATTCGAGAGACTCAGCATGTTTAAAAATGTTTTTTGTGTTATTTATGAAGACACGAGGTCAATGATTCCATCTGAGATGATAATGAATGCTGCATTTGAACGATTTTGTACTCAAGAACTAGCTAAACTTTTACGTAATCAAGAATGGAGTAAAATTGTTATTTTTGGCACTCTTTTGTGTGAGCTAACCGCGACTTATCATGGATACTCGACTTTATTTATTGAAGAGTTTAACGCTTTTATTAAAGAGATTATTAAGTCAGCTTTAAGTGGAACTCAAGATGCTTGTGCTGCTTTCAAGTTGATTTTGAATCAGTTGACAAAATCAAAGCCTGTATTTGAGGAAATAGACAGAGGATACTTGACAATATTAGACACTTTGCTGGGAGATGAAGATTTTAAAGAGTATGTATTAAGAATGTGATGTTTTATTTGTAAAACTCTAGTGTGAAGGCACCTTAACATTATAACTCTAGTGTGAAGGCACCTTTACCTAAGCTTTCTTTTGTGAAGACACCAGAAGCTAAGAAATCAAATGTTGAGGCACCTGGACCTTAAAACTCTAGTGTGAAAGCACCTTAAAAATATAACTCTAGTGCAAAGGCACCTGAACATTAGAACTCTTATGTAAGCTAAGCAATCAAATGTTGAAACACCTGAACCTTAAAACTCTAGTGTAAAAGCACCTTAAAAATATAACACTGGTGTAAAGGCACCTGAATATTAGAACTCTTATGTGAAGGGACTTTAACTTAAGATTTCTTTTGTCAAGTAACCTGAAGCTAAGAAATCAAATGTTGAGGCACCTGAACCTTAAAACTAAAGTGTGAAAGCACCTTCAAAATATATTTCTAGTGTAAAGCACCTGAATATTAGAACTCTTATGTGAAGGGACTTTAACTTAAGATTTCTTTTGTCAAGACACCTGAAGCTAAGAAATCAAATGTTGAGGCACCTGAACCTTAAAACTTAAGTGTGAAAGCACCTTTAAATATATTTCTAGTGTAAAGGCACCTGAATATTAGAACTCTTATGTGAAGGCACCTTAACCTAAGATTTCTTTTGTCAAGACACCTGAAGCTAAGAAATCAAATGTTTAGCCACCTGAACTATAGAATTGTAGTGTGAAGTCACCTTAACCTTAGAACTCTAGCGTGAAGGCACCTTAACCTAAGATTTCATTGTTTGTCATTTCAGCAAAGCTACAACAATTAAAACTTGTTTAAATAAACATTTTGATAACAACTGGAAGGACCGCGTTGAGTTTAAATTAGAAATTGACAATTCTCAAAAATGCAAAGACTTTGAAGAATACCTTAACTCAAAATCTAAAGGAAGCAACGACTGCTGTGAGTTTTTTGTTGACGCCACAACCAACGAGCTTGAATATTTTGCAAGAAAATTCATTAAGTTTGCAATCAAAAATCCCAAAGAAATTAAAATTCTTGGAACAATTGCAACAAAATATAAAGCAATAATGTTAAGAGTTAGAAAGTTCATAAGAGAAGTTGTAAAGAGCCTTAATAGTGAATTTGAGGTTATGAAAGAAAATGAGAAAGTTGATTCTGTAATTTTTTTAAATTTGGGTAAGCTTCTCGGTGAATTGTACGTGTCTGAAAATGAAATTGTTAAAATTGGTTTTATGGCAAATTATTTAAATTATTTGAAGGAAAATGGCGAATTTATTACATTAACAACGACTTTAAAGCTTTGTGGACATGAATTTAAAAACAAAGTTCCGAAACAATATGAAAAATTAATGAATTCATTTATATTTGCTGAAATAATTGAGGATGAAATCACAAAAATGATTGAGAACTTAGATGATGAAAGTTTATTGTATCAATCGAGGCTGTTCAAGCCAGCAGAATCCGCAAACAAATTTTTAAATTTAAAAACAGTTTTTAATGGTATTTTAAAGAATCAAGATGTTAGCTTTAGCTATGAATTAAATCAGATGCTGCACATAAACACAAAAGGATTGATCAACATGATAATCAGTTCATTACAAAAACCAGACGCAAATGTCATCGAAGTCGCTAAACTTCTAAAATCTTTGTTTGATTTTACATTCAAAATTGAAAAATTCACGAAAAGATTGAAGACTCAATTAAATTCGAAGATTACAGACTTGTCAGAAGCTGATAATCTACAAGACATGAAGACTCTCGGGATGCTTATAGCTGAATTGAAAAATTTACATGTGATTGATGATGACAGTCAGGAATTGTGGCTAGAAGAAGTTAAAACATTTGAATCAGATGACATTTTTGAGGTTATGGAAGTTTATATTTATGTTGCCAAGGTTATGCTGGTTAATATTCAAATTTACGACTTTAAGCTGCTTCAGGAGGTTCATGAATATCTACAAAACATCCAAAACTCCCTTGAATCATCAAACACAGCAACTGCAACCAGAATTAAGTCAAAAATCTCACAAATCCTTCAAAATATTGTCCTTAAAGATGTTGACGATGAAACTGCAGAACTAATCTTTGGCATTAGAGTTGGAAAAAGAATCAAAGGCCTACCAGAAGACATGCCAGAGAGCAGTCAAGATGAAATTGATGTTCAAGATTTTGCTAAAATATTTTACGTCAATGCCACGTCAAATCAACATTTTACTGCTAATTTTGGAAAAACAATTCAAATTCTTAAATCTGGGCCGTTAGGATTAAAATTCATTCAATATTTGAGGGACACGTTGACTTCAAATCTTTTTCCACAAATATATTCACCTGAATTTTGTGATTCCGATGAAGCACTTGGAACCTTAGAGCTAATTGCTTATCTTTTCAACGAAGATGTTCTGTCCGAATCGAGAATACTTTCATTGCTTAAAATAATTCTTGAAATTGAAAATGTTGGAAATTGTAAAGAAGTTTTGATTAAATTTACAGAAGATGTGCAGTTAATTGTTCATAGAAGAGCCAGAAGACAAAGAAGTCGACTGAGTCAAGATATTCGAGATTGCGTGGAAAAAGTGAAGAATAAGCTGAAACTAGTGGATATTGCGTCTTGTCAACCTACCAAAAAGTAAAGTCTATAGTCAAGTCTATAGTCAAATCTATAGTTAAGTCTATAGTCAAGTCTATAGTCAAGTCTATAGTTAAGTCTATAGTTAAATCTATAGTCAAGTCTATAGTCAAGTTTATAGTCAAGTCTATAGTCAAGTCTATAGTCAAGTCTAAAGTCAAGTCTATAGTCAAGTCTAGAGTCAAGTCTATATTCAAATCTATATTCATGTCTATAGTCAAGTCTATATTCAAGTCGATAGTCAAGTCTAAAGTCAAGTCGATAGTCAAGTCTTAAGTCAAGTCTATAGTCAAGTCTACAGTCAAGTCTAAAGTCAAGACTATAGTCAAGTCTGTTGTCAAGTCTATAGTCAAGTCTATATTCAAGTCGATAGTAAAGTCTAAAGTCAAGTCTATAGTTAAGTCTAAAATCATGTCTATAGTCAAGTATTAAGTCAAGTCTAAAGTCAAGTCTATAGTCAAGTCAAAAGTCAAGTCTATATTCAAGTCTAAAGTCAAGTTTATAGTCAAGTCTATAGTCAAGTCTAAAGTCAAGTCTATAGTCAAGTCTATAGTTAAGTCTAAAGTCAAGTCTAAAGTCAAGTATATAGTCAAGTCTATAGTTAAGTCTATAGTCAAGTCTATATTCAAATCTATATTCAAGTCGATAGTCAAGTCTATAGTCAAGTCGATAGTCAAGTCTAAAGTAAAGTCTATAGTCAAGTCTAAAGTCAGGTCTATAGTCAAGACTATAGTCAAGTCTATAGTCAAGTCTAGAGTCAAGTCTATATTCAAGTCTATAGTCAAGTCTATAGTCAAGTCGATAGTCAAGTCTAAAGTCAAGTGTATAGTCAAGTCTATAGTCAAGTCTATAGTCAAGTCTATATTCATTTCTATAGTCAAGTCTATATTCAAGTCGACAGTCAAGTCTAAAGTCAAGTCTTAAGTCAAGTCGACAGTCAAGTCTATAGTCAAGTCTATAGTCAAGTCTATAGTCAAGTCTATAGTCAAGTCTATAGTCAAGTCTAAAGTCAAGACTATAGTCAAGTCTACAGTCAAGTCTGTTGTCAAGTCTATAGTCAAGTCTATATTCAAGTGAACAATCAAGTAGCTGAAAATTCAAGTTGACAATCAAGTCAAATAACTGAAAAGTCAAGTAGTAAATTACAATAATTTTAAAAATTTCAAATACTAATAATTGAAAATCGCAATTCTATCTGAAGGTCTTTCCAACAATAAATCCATAACGAACAAGATTCAAGTTCTTTTATTTGTTTTAATCAATTTTATTTTTCTTTCAGCTTTGGTCCCCTTACCGCTCTTTCGGTTGATGTTGATTAAAATTTTTTAATTACCGAGAATTAATTTTTTTTACAATTTTAATTTGATTAAGTTTGTGCAAAATAATTTTGGTAAGTAACTGAGAAATAGAATTGAAACTTTAATGTGAAATTATTTGTAAAATCCAAAAAAAAAATTGGTTTAATTTTTGTTTTATTGAATGAACGGAAATTGTATGATTCATGCTTTTATGCCAATTTCCCGAATAGCACAAGTTGGTTAATTGATCAGAATTCCGTCACTGAGCCGATGTGGTTCTGGAAAGGTGCTGGACTTAAATCTAATCTAGCACCATTCCAGAGTTTATCAGCTTAGTGTCGAATTTTATTTCGATTAACCGACTTGTGTTGTTCGGGTTTTTAATCATTGGATTTTTTAAACATTTAAAATTTGCATTTTTTTATGTTAAAAAAAGCATTTCGCGGTAAGAAAATTTGTATCGCAAGGCACACGACTAAAAACCAGCCAAAAATAGGAAGCCACATTTTTTTGGTTGTTCGTCGAATGCTTTTCGGGAAATGGGTCATAAAAATTCGTAAAATTGATAAGTATCAACTTCTATTGTTTATTTTTCATCAATAAATTTTTATAATAAAAGATAACACCTGATAATGGAAAGTAAAAAAGTCAATCCTCAACTAGAGCTAGAAAGCGCATACCAACAACAATGTGCCAATGACATTCAACAGCCTGAACCTTGCATATCAACTAAATCAGATGAATTTTTACAAATTAAGAGAGTAGATTTGAGAAGGTCAGTTAAAACTTTTTTTCAGGATTCTTACCGACTGAAGTTAACCTGCAAAATACCCAAAAGTTGAAGCTGCTGTATCTTATCAAGAAAGGCTTTACGAAAGTCGGGGATTGCTTGACGAAATTCGACGATATTATTACGAAATTATGGAAAAGATTTTAAATCATTTGGTGACAACACGCCGATTAACTTCAGTCACACTGTTCAATAGCATCGAGTCGGTTGAAGCACGAATTGATTGTAAAGCTTCATACTTAATGTTTCAAGGTGCTTCGCTGATTTAATTTCGATAATGGAAGAAATAAGGAAGCCGAATAGAAATATGGCACTCCTTACTTACTGCCATGACCTTACAGATCAATTGTGATCCATGACCTCCCTCAGATGTCGCACTTAAACTGGCTTTATCACTGGCTACAACTTGCCAATTTTTCATACCAAATAAATCTAGCACAAAGCTGGCATAATTTCGACTTGGTGCTGTAGTTAAATCGAATCTAGTTCCATGCCAGAGTTGCCCCCCCCCCCCCACCTTATCCAGCCCTGTTTACTTTTTGATGCTTTCTTTGTACAAACTGATGTCGGAAATGGTTGGTTGTAAACCTCACCATCCCTATCCTGAATGTGGGGCTGCCTCCCTACAGGAGAGGTTGTTTGAATAGGCTTTAAATCTAACCTTTTAAGTACTTATTCCGGCACAGGGCTTGGTTCCCAGCTGTGCATTTAGCGGTATCAAGGTATGCACTTGACATTTGGTCAACTTCAGAGTCAGACTTCGGCTTCCCCAATCCTCCACCTTCTCATCAATTTACAATTCTCTAATAAATTTGTAAATTTATTTTAGCCTTCATCAACCAACTCCTTCGCTTAATTCAACAAACGGGAAAACCCCAAATAAAACAGCAAGTCAATGGTTCAAATTGTTTATAGCGTTATGCATTGAAGATTCAGATGACAGCATCGAAACAATTCTAAATCACGTAAACTTAATAATGCCATGTAGATTCGCCATTTTATCTGCAAAACAAATATTCCGATGCCTTGATTGCTCGATCGAGTGCCTTTATAATCGATTTGATAAACTCAACATGATCAAAAATATATTTTGTGTTATTTATGAAGATACGAGATTAACAAAAGAAGCTAAAATGAATGCTTTTTTTAAGCGAATTTGCAGTCAAAAGATCCAAAAAATCAAAAATAATTTAAATTGGAATGAAATTGTCATGTTCGGTGCTCTGTTGTGTGAACTGTCAACGACTTATCATGGACAATCAACTTTATTCATAACGAAGTTAAATGTTTGGATAGAAGAAATTATCAAATCAGCTCTTGGTGGTAGCCAAAGTGGATTCAATGCTTTCAAGTTAATTTTGAATCGGTTAAAACAAAATGAGACTATGTTCAAGGACATCAATAGAGGATACTTTCATATATTGGACACTTTGCTCGGAGATGAAGATTATGAAAGGTTAGTGATAAAATGCCAAAAATTAGTAAAATAATAGTGTGAAGCCTGAACAGGCGTAGCCAGGAATTTGAAGGAGGCAATTAACAAATTTTTTTTGCATAGGAAATTTGACAAAAAAAAAAACATTTCTGTTGACGGATGGGGATTTGTCTCTTAAATCCTCCCGCTGTGCCTGCGCCAATACCTTGAACTTTAGTGTGAAGACACCTGAACTCAGTTTCTGGGGTTTCTTTCCCCCAGTCTAAGAATAATTTATTATATCCCATATTATAGTACATCAAAATTAAAAACTGCTCAAAGGTGACCTAGAAACCAGGCCCTGGACCTTATAACTCTAATGCAGTGGTGGCTAACCTTTTTTGTCAAAAGGCACACCTTTATGGTAAGCCAAGATCAAAACCGCACACGGCATGCGGTTCTTGGGATATCAAAAGAATTCACGGCACCTTAGTGTTCCGCGGCACATTGGTTGTCCATCACTGGCACCAATAGAGTCTAAACTAGAACTCGGGTTTTTAAAACTACTTCAATTTAAAAACTGCCCAAAGGTGACCAAGAAACCAGGCCCTGGACTTCATAATTCTAATGCAGTGGTGGCTAACCTTTTTTGTCCAAAGGCACACCTTTTTGATCAAAACCGCACACGGCATGCGGTTCTTGGGATATCAAAAAAAATCACGGCACCCTAATGTGCCAGAGCACAAAGGTTGACCATCACTGGCACTTTTCAAGTCTAAACCTCATAAATTCTTCTTTTTTGCATAGTAAATTAATTTTTCTTTATGTTGTGTTTTTGCAGCAAACTTCAAACAATCGATTCATACCTCAGTCCTAATGTTGGTAGCTTCAATAACGATGACAGCACACTTCCTATCGACAATAGTAATCCAACTGATCAAAAGAAACGATTAATCGCTCCCAAATCTACGAAAATTGATGAAACAGAATATTTAGAAGAAATTGAATATTCACAAAAATGCAAAGAATTCGATGAATTTCTAAATTCTACATCCAAAGGAGTCAATGACTGCTGTGACTTTTTCAGCGATGCAACAAACATCGAACTTGAATATTTTGCAAGACAATTCATAGAGTTTGCAATCCAGCATCCTGAACAAGTCAAAATTCTTGGATCAACCGCATCAAAATTTCAATCAGCACTGTTAAGAGTTAGAAAGTTCATAAAAGACATCATAAGCAGCCTCATAAGTCAATTTGAGGTTATGAAAGAAAATAAAAAAGTTGATTCTGTAAAGTTTTTAAATTTTGCAAAATTTCTCGGTGAATTGTACGTGTCAGAGAAGCCAATTGTTCCAAATTATTTTATGGCTGAATTCTTAACCTTTTTGAAAAGCAATGGCGAATGTATTACATTAGCATCGACTTTAAAGCTTTGTGGATATGTTTATGAAGACAAACAAGAAGAACATTTCAAGAACTTAATGGATTCATTTGTACATCGTGAAATTGTTGAAGATGAAATCACAAAAATGGCCGAAAGTTTTGAAAATTATTATGGAATGTATGAATCAAGGCTGTTCAAACCTCGAGAATTTGCGATAAAAATTAAAAGTTTAGAGTCAGTTCTTAATAGTATTTTAAAAAATCAAGATGTTCAGTTTAGCTATGAGCTTTTGGAACTATTACACATAAACACAAAAGGATTAAACAACATGCTGATCGAGTCTTTGCAAAAACCAGACGCAAATGTCATCGAAGTTGCTAAATTTTTGAAATCTTTAAATGAATTTACACACAAAATTGCAAAATTCATGAAAAGATTGAAAGTCAATATGAAGTTGAAGATTTTTGATTTATCAACAGATAATTTGAAGGATATGAAGGCACTCGGGATGATCATAGCTGAATTGAGTAATTTAAATGTTATTAATGACAATCAAAAGATTTGGCTGGAAGAAGTTAAACGGTTTGAATCAGATGATATTTTTGAGGTTATTGAGGTTTATGTTGATGTTGCAAGCTCCATGCTGATTACTATTCAAATTTATGAATTTGAGGAGCTATTGGATGTAAATCAGTACTTACAAGATATCAATAATTCTTTAGAATCATACAACACAGAAACTGCTTCTAAAATAAAGTCAAAAATTGCACAAATCTTCCAAAATATTGTCCTTAAAAAAGTTGATATCCCAACATCAGAATTGATCTTTAAAATTAGACATTTCCAAAGATTTGAAGGACTACCGAAAGATATGCCAGAAAGGAGTGAAAATGATGTCGATCTTCATGATTTCACTAAAATATTCTATGTTAATGCAATTTCAAATTATCTTTTTACTGAAAATTTTGCCAAGTCACTCAAATTCATCACACCTGGACCCAAAGGTGCACAATTCATTCAATGTTTAAGAGACACTCTGTCCTCAAACATATTTCCGAATATATTTGCTCCTGACTTTTGTGAATCTGATGAAGCACCAGGAACCTTTGAACTTATTGCTCATCTTTTTAAAGAAGATGTGCTAAAAGAATCGGAAATAAAGTCTTTCCTAGAAATTATCTACGCAATTGAGAATTATGGAAATTGTAGATCAATTTTAACAAGCATTTTAGATGATTTACAGTTAATAATTGAAAAAAGAGCTAGAAGATATAAAAGTAAGTTGAATCAAGAAATTCAAGAATGTGTTCAAAAAGTACAGAAGAAGTTGGAACTTCTGGAAGTCAAGACCAAAGAACCTCAAAAGGAGGGAAAGTTTCATGAAATCGACAACAATTATCCATATTCTTCACATTCAGAACCAAGACCAGCTAGAATTCATAGATCAAATCATGATTTAAATGAAGATAACCTAAAAGTACCTAGTTTAGCTTCCAGTTCAATCTTAACTGACCAAGCGAGTGATAAATTGATCACAACTGACTTTTATGCTCAAAATGCAGCGCAACATCTTTTAAAAGATATCAAATATTCTAAAAGTACATCAACAACTACAAAGAATGATCATCAAACAGAAAACTCAACAATTAAAGTCACAACGAAGTCAATTTCAGAAGATAATGCTAATCTGCTGCCAACGAATCAAGAGCTAGTCAAAATATACAACCAAGTACTTACTCAAGTTACTGAAAAGTCAAGTGGAGAGTCAAGTAAAGGACATGGACAATCAAGACAAGAAACTAATCATTCAAGTGGACATTCAAGTCAAATAAATGAACATTCAAGTGGAAAGTCAAGTCAAAAAATTGATCATTCAAGTTGGCAATTAAGTCTAGTAACTGAGCATTCAAGTGGACAATCAAGTGAAGTAAATGAACATTCAAGTGGACACTTAAGTCAGGTAACTGAACATTCAAGTGGAGAATCAAGTAAAGGTACTAAAAGGTCAAGTTTAGAGTCAAGCCAAGTAAATAAAAAGTCAAGTGGAGAGTCAAATCAAGTAATTGATCAGTCAAGTGGACAATCAAGTCTAGTTATCAAAAATTCAAGCGAACAGTCAAGTCAAGTTACCATCTTAGATTCTTCATCAAGTTTAAGTACAGATGCTCAAGTTAGGTTCTATATTAATCAACTGAACGAATCAAATATTGTACAAATTAAAAATGGAATTTGTACATTATTAACAAAGAATTGTTCAAGAAAATTAATTATTGACATTTTATTTCAAAAAAGTATATCAGATCAAGCCTGTACAGAGCTTGCTGTTGATTTAATCAAGGGTCTAATTGACAATGAGAATTGTAAGAAAATCATGACACGCATATCATTAAGGATACACATTGAGCTCAATAATATTTGTAAAGAAGGTGGAGATCAAGATGAAAAAATGATTAATTTGGTAAATGTCATAATTAAATTTGATTTATACTTCCAAGAGTATTTTTGGTTTGAAATATGGCGCAAACTTTTTAACATCGTTGGATCCTGTCAGAGTTCAGTTAAAGCATTGGTGCTGTTGATGATCGAGAAGATTACAATATTAAATAAAATTGAGCATCAAAAGAATCTTATGAGAAAAATTGTGGTACTTTTTAAAAACAAATTAGTAACAGAAGTGAATAAAGATTTAATTGACAAGATGAACAATCTAATAAAGACAATTGAGAAAGGATTAAATTCAACGAATAAAGTCGACGATCAAGCAACACACTCAATAGCAGTTTTCAATAATATTACAAATATTGAAGAAAAAATCGTCAAAAACACAATTAAAGAGGTCTCTAACAACAAAGTTCAACTAGAATACACAAAAATCCAATCAACAATCACTGAAAGTTTCATCCAAAACCATCAAGATGATGCAGTCCGACCTCTAAACTTCCTTCCAGATTCCTTTTTATTTAATGACTTAGTTGCAAATCCACAAAAATTCAAAATTATCTTAAAAACTTTGTTTGAAGATTGCAAAAGTCTTGAAATTAACAAGGACAATTCAATCAAAATCAAGGAATTTATAGCAGTTGCCATCATTAAAATTAATTTGTTAAAAACTCATCCAAAATCTGATGAAATCAATAAATATGCGGAAATATTCTTCGAGCTGTACACAAAATTGGATCAAACCAAATTCATGCAATGGGTTCTGATGAAACTTCTTAAAGCTTGGAAGTTGTTTGATCAAACTTATGTTGCTGATTCTCTAATTCCCGATGAAAAAAAGGAAAAGATTTATGATAGATATTCAAAATCGGTTGTTAGAATCACAAATTCTTATACAATTTCAAACACAACTTCAATTCAAAATGACAAATCAGATGGAAAAAGTTCAAGTTTGGACAACATAACCTCAAAAACTAAGAATTTACAGACGGTTCCAGACATAGCCAGAATTACTGACAACATAACCTCAAACACAGATGATCAAAAAACAAAATCAAAAACTGTAAATTCGCGAACCATAACCTTAAAATTTGATGATATGGTCGCAAAAAGTGATAAATCTTCAAGTCCTGCTTTTAATCTGAAACATGATGACGTCAAATTGAAAGTTAATGATCATTCCTTAAAATCAAACGAAATAACCTCAACATCTGGTGACATAACCTCAAAATTTGGTGACTTAACCTCAAAATCTGTTGACAAATCCTTTAAATTTGGTGACATTACCTCAAAATCTAGTGACTTAACCTCAAATTCGGGTGACTTAACCTTAAAATCTGGTGACATAACCTCAAAATCTGGTGACATAACCTCAAATTCGGGTGACATAACAACAAAATTTGGTGACATAACCTCAAAATCTGGTGACATAACCTCAAAATTTAGTGACCTAACCTCAAATTCGATTTCATCTAAACTATTCAACTTCTTCATGACGTGTCTTCAAAATTTGCTACTCAAAAACTTAATTGACATCACAGTTGATGTCGATCGTGATCCTTACTTTGACTACTTTTTGTATAAAAAGAGGAGAACTTACGAAATAGTTTGTGACTTACACTTTCATGATTTAATATCTTCAAACTTTATATTTCACTGCGTCACAAAAATGTTTCAAAATCCTCTAATTATTGATAAAAGTTTGGATGTTGTTGTAAGGTTGATGATATTGGTTGAGTCATTTATTATCATTAGACACAAAAGCAATGACTTTAATTATATTTTACAAGATGTAAAGACATTTTGGTCAAGATTGCCATTTGGGGTTGAGATGTTGTATCCAATTTCTGTTGACAAATGGACCTTTTTGAAAAATTTCATACAAAAATCTTTGTTTTTTCGCTGTAATCAAGTTGAATTCCGTGGAGTTGTTGAGAAAATGTGGACTGAATTGATGGAAAATCCAGGAAAATTTAATGAAATTGTTCAAATTTTTGAAGACTTTTTAGAAGTCTTGGGAGACAGTTTTGCAGTTTTGATCGTTGATTTTATGGAAAATCGAAGAAATTCACTCGAAAAATTCCCAATCGACAACATTTTGAATCCAATTTCATTAAAATACAAAACTTCAATTTTATTCGCATTTGAACTTTTTGAAATGGGAATTTTAAATTGTGAATTATTTTCTAAATGGTTAAATGACAAAATTTATGGAAAGTTGGTGCAAGAACATAATTCTGAGATTTTATTGAAATTTGGACAAAAAGGTTTGAAAATTGATGGAAATTTGGATGAAAATTTGATGAATTATTACAAAAAGTTAAATAATTTTGGTTAAAATTGCAATTTTTTGCATTTATAATTTGTATTTTATATATATTCTATTTTAAATTGAAAAATAAAATTAAAAGAAAAGTTGCTAATCGAGTTGTATTCACTTAAGTTACCTTCCTAGAGTTTAGAGATGTCTTGTGGAATATTAGAGCTGCAAGACAGGTCGCTTATCAACTGGCACAGGTGACAGATCTGTCACAGACTGTGGTCGGTTTTGGGATTGTCCGGTGCACACTCTGCTGGTTTCTACATATTGTAGAATATTGTAGGATGAGTCAATAAGCCTTGAGCAAAGTCAAACTTAATTTAAATTTTATTAAAAAAAAGTTAAAAATTAAATTTTATTAAAAAAAAATAAAAATGAACTTTTCAATAATTTTCATAAGGTTTTAAATAAATTAATATTTTTAAAAAAAATTTTGGTAATAAAAGCAAAACGGTTAATTTAATTTCTTATTTTTTTTATCATCTTCGATGCACTTTCAGTTCTGTCCCCCTTACCGCTTTTTGTTTGTGTTGATATTTTGAAAAAAAGAAATATTTTTTACATTTTTTATTTAGTTTTAGAATTATTATTTTGGTAAGTTGTTAAAAAAGACATAAAATTAATGGCTTAAAGTGAAATAAATTTCCAGAAAATATCATGAAAATTAAAAAATATTCTAAAGTTATTTTTTTATTGAAAAAATTAGTATGATTCATTAATTTTGTGTAAATATTAAATCATAGATTTATTTTTAATTTGAAAATTGATACTTTTTCATTTAAAAAATCATTTTGCATTAAAAAATTAGAAACTAATATTTTTTTGCGCATTTAATAAAATTATTTTCAAGTATTTTAAACTTTTATCATTGAATTTTTTCAAATGTCAGATAACACCTTGATAATGGGTAGGAATGAAGTCAAACCAAAACCAAAAATAAAAAGCGCACTTCGACTTGAGCAAGAACGATTCATTCAAATTAAAAAACCATTTCAAATAAATGAATCAGAATATTTAAATGAAATTGCAAATTCCCGAAAATGTAAAGCATTTGACAAATACCTCAAATTTACGTCCAAAGACATCAATGACTGTTGTGGCTTCTTCAGTGACGCAACAAACAATGAAGTTGAATATTTCTCAAGAAAATTTATTGATCATGTGATTGAGAATCCAAAAGAGATCAAAATTCTTGGTTCGATTGCGTCGAAATGGAAAAAAATAATCAAAATAATCAAAAAATTCATCCAAGACTTAGTAAAGAGAATTGAAACAGAGTTTAAAGATGCAAAGCAAGGAACTGAAGATGATTTAATAAAAATTAAAGTTTTAGGCAGTTTTCTTGGTGAACTTTACGTGTCTGAAAAGAAAATAATTAATCCAGAATTTATGACAAGCTTCTTGAATTATGTAAATAATAATAAAGATAAAGCTACGATTGCATCAACTTTAAAGCTTTGCGGATACTTTTACAAAATCACAAATAAATATAATTTTAACAATTTTATGAAATCAATCAAAGACGATCGTCTAATAATTGAGGATGAAATCTTTAAAATGTATGAAAATTACGAAAATGACAATCAAATTTTTCGATCAAGGCTGTTCAAGCCAACAGAATCAGCAATTAATTCAAACAACTTAGAAGAAATTGTAGAAGGAATCACTAAAAATGAGAATGTACGTTTCAGCTTTAAGATCTCGGCGATATTAAACATAAACAACAAAGAATTAGTCAACTTGATTGTCAAAACTTTACAAAAACAAGACACAAATGTCATCGAACTTGCTAAATTCATTAAATCTATCCACAACTTTGCTCTACAAATTGTAAATTTCTTGAATAGATTGCAAATAAATTTAAAAAAGAAAATTTTTAAAATGTCAAAAAATAATCTACAAAAAATCCGATCAATTGGAATGATAACAGCTGAATTGACAAGCTTAAAAGTGTTTGACAAGGCAAATCTTAAAATTTGGTTAGAAAAAGTTGAAACTTTGCATCCACGAATGTCTTTTGAGGTTATGGAGGTTTATGTTGATGTCCTTAAAGTTATATCGACAAATATTAAAATAATTAAATCCAAGGAAACACATTACATCCGTCAGCGTATCCACAATACTATAAGATTCTCAAAAATAGAAGCTGCAACCAGAATTGAGGCAAAAATTGCTCAAATAATTCATAATGTTGTACTGAAGAAAGTTAACTTTGCAACTCAAAGTCTGCTTTATATCATCAGGAATGGATATAGTGTTGAAAGCTTGCCAGTAAGCATTCCTGTAAATGATCCAAAAAATTTAGATATTAAAGATGTTGCTCAAAATTTCTACAACAATGTCATTTCTAATCAACATCTTGTAGCTGATTTTACCGATGCTATTAAAGTCCTCAAAACTGGACCACGTGGTGCTGAATTCATTCAAAGTTTAAGCTACATTATGTTCTTAAAGTTGTTCCTGAACACAATTTCACCTGATTTTTGTGAATCCAACAAAGTCACAGCAACAGTTGAGCTATTGTTTCATATTATTAATGAAAATGTCTTGACAGACTCGGAAATGATTTCATTCCTTCAGGCAATTCAAAAAATGAATAATTTGGGCAATTATAAGGAAATGCTGGACAGATTGTTTGCCGATATTCAACTAATTGCAGATAATAAACTTGAAAAAGATAACAAAATGCAAAAATATATTAAAAAAATACAAAACATGTTAGAGAACAAGAATGTCAAGAGCGAGGAAGTGACTCAAACAATTAGCAAACAGAAAAAAGGTAAAAATCGTGTCAAATCAACGAACAAAACCCAAATTCCAATTAACCTTGGAAATTCAAAACAAATTTCATCAAAAACTCATCAAACGTTGACCAAAGACAACACAAAATCATCAACTATTTCAATCTTAGATGATCAAATCACCTCAAAGTTATATGCAATTGTCAAAAGTACACAAAAAAGAACTAAAAATCTATTAATATATTTGAAAAATCTTCTCTTGAAGTCAAAAACCTCATCAAATGCTGAAAAACTTAGGCAAAAAATCATCAAAATGAAAAGAAAACTGTTGAGAAATTCCGTAACCAGCAGAAAATTCAACCATAATAGACTGGAATCAAAAACATATGCTTTGACTTTAAACGACCAACAAACACAATCAACAAGTCTGGAAATCAGTCATTTGCTTAAAAAAGTTCATCTTGAATACAGCTGGAAGAACTTGCTCTTGTATGAGCAGCTATTCTCGAGAAAACCATTCAAAATAATCACGGAACCGATTCCCAAAATACAAAGTTCCATTGCTATTCGAATAAATTTAAACGAGCTGATTAAAAAACCTTTTTCGGTAATCAAAAACAAATGTCCTCTAAAATCAGCAAAGAAATATGAATATTTGCCAATATTACCACAAATGCAGTCAATAAAGCAGATCAATCCAGAACTGCTTAAACTTTACAACACAATTCTGCCAATGATTTCAAAAAATAAATCACAATTTATGAAATATGCAATTATGATGCACAATTGGAAAATTTATGGTTCAGAACCGAAATCACAACGAAAAGAACTAATTGGTCTATTGTCAAAGGAACTGAAAAGTCATCACAAACAATTATTGCAGGATATTTGTAAACATCTTACTGACGAGTGCGATATCCTTCATAGAGGCCAAATCAAAGGACAACAGAGAAGTTTCTTCATATTGTCATTCAGAGCTGTAATTCCATTCTTGGAGATGAGTCAATTCTACGACATCCTGCATTGCTTGTTGAAATACATTGGACATCGAAACAGGGATGCACTTGTTTTGTTTTTGGACATAATTGATGAAATTGATAATGTACTTAGCGTTGATTGTAAGGAACGATACATTTTTGCTGTAGTTTGTGTTAAGGTTTTGGAAATTTCTCTAAAACCTAAGAGACAAGATAAAAAAATTAAGCAAAGAACTACAAAAATTCTTGAATATTTCAAAAGTGTAAAAATCAATTTTAAAACTTTACAAAGAAAGTTAAAGTCCATCAATAAATCTTATAAAAGGCTTGCAAGACAGTTTTTCCAAAATCAGCAAATAGCAAGCAAAGATGTTAAAACAACAAGAACCATTAGCGAAAGTTCCCAAAAATCTGTCATGTCTTCTGTTTCAAAATCAAGTCAAAGTGTTAACTCAGAAGCACTTTATAATCAAATAGCTAGAACATCTAACTTAAATGTCCTGACTTACTCACCAGTTAACTTCAAAATAGATTCAAAAGTCATGATTAACATTGAAAAGTCAAAGGAACTGAGCCAAACTTCCAAAAGGTACGGTCAATTAGCTGTAAATTCGAGTCAAAGTGGTCAGTCAAGTGGACCATCAAGTCAAGTTGCTAGAACTAATTCAAGTATTGTAGCTGAGCCGCCAGTTAATTCCTCAGCAGATGATAAAGTCATGTTTTACATAAGTCAGCTGCAGACATCAAATGTTGAACTAATCGCTTCCAAAGTTTCTCGATTATTGTTTAAAAACTTTTCAAAGCAAAGATTCTTGGAAGTTTTACTGCAACAAGGAATTTCTGACCAGAAACACATCAATCCAGTCATTGACTTGTTCAATCTTCTGTCGAAGAAAATCAGCTTTAAGAAGAGTTTAGTTCAAATAACAGCAGAAATAAGCAGCAAGTTCCTGAATCTTTGCATTGATTGTGAAAATCAGGAACAAAAAATGATGAACTTGACAAAGTTTACAGTTGCATTTGAGCCAAACATCCAAAATCCATTTTGGTATCAATTATGGCAACAACTTGCTGAATTCATCAAGCAAAATTATCCAAATGCACTTAAACTTTTAGTGCTGTTGATGACTGAGAAGATTGATATGTTGTGCAATATTAAGGATCACAAGAAACTTATTAGACAAATTATGGTGCTTTTTAAAAACAAGCTAGCTGTGGAACAAGATGAAAAGTTGATAGAAAAGATAAAGATCTTAATAAAGACAATAGAAAATGGAATGGAAGCAGCTGAAAACCCGAAGGGAAATAGTCAAAAAGTAAAAAATGTTCAAGTTAACTTGCCAAACAATGTCTCTATGCAAGTTGGAACTTCAAAAGAAAACGCAGGAAAATTACCGACAACTATAACAAAGGTTATGGATATAACAGGAAGCCGACATGCTAATGCTGCATCTCTCAATAAAAATGTTGAAAGCAATCAAGAAATATTAATGCGTGCACTGACAAAAGACGCAGAAATAAAAAAACAAACGTCAGAAATTCTTGATAAAGAAGAACAATCTTCATGGTTTGAAATAAGCTTTTTACTCAAACCAGGAGGAAGCTATGATGGACAATCAAAACCTATAGAACAAGCCTCCAATGATTCATCAAATGCTGCTAAAACCAATTCAGACTTAAGAGAACTAATTCAACAAACAATCTTAACAACTGAGAATAAGAAACTAGCTTTAAAATCAGAAAGACAGCATAAGTTGCAACCAATTCAATCAACAGACTCAGATGTACACAAATTATATGAAGAAATTCTGCCAATAATCACAACAAATGCATCACAATTAAGAAAATGTGCAATTGCATTTTATAGCTGGAAACTTGAGAATCCAGACTTAAAACCACAAATAAATGAACTTGCTGAGCTTCTTTCAAAAGAACTTCAGAATCATCACGAAAAGTTGTTGACCGACGTTTGTAAAGATTTGAAAGATGAGTTTACCAGTTTTTGTATTAGGCAAGAAGTTAAAAGGAAAAAAAGAAAATGTCAATTGTCCCAGCAAGTTCTGACATCCAGAGCTGTTATTTCATTTGTGAAGAAGTATCTGGTCTACGATATCCTGTTTTGCATGCTCATCAACATTAAAGATAGTAAAAAAATTGGACTTGAATTGTTTTTGGGAGTCGTTGAAGGATTGGAAGACATATTAAGCATTGATTGTAAAGAACGAATCGCTTTTGCTGATTTTTGTGTTAAAAATTTGGATGAAGCCTTGAGCATTAAGAATGAAGATCTAGAAATCACAAAAAGAACTACAAAAATGCTTGAATTTTTCAAAAGCATTAACATTAATCCTGAAATTCCAAGTCCATTGCCAGAAAGTAAGAAAATAATATCTAAGCGATGTGAAGTTCCAAAGGACTCAAGTAGTACAAATGCATCTATACTTCAAGTTCAAGCAAAATTCTCAAAAATCCAACCGGGAAGCAATGAAAGTTTCATCCAAACACACCAAGATGATGTAGTCCGACCCCTAAATTTCACTTCTGACTACTTTTTGTTCGATGATTCAATCACAAATCCACAAAAATTTGAAAAAATTCTTAAAGATTTGTGTGAAGATTGCAAAAGTCTTGAAATTAACAAGGACAATTCAATCAAAATCAAGGAATTTATCGCAGTTGCCATCATTAAAATTAATTTGTTAAAAACTCACCCAAATTTTGATGAAATTAATAAATATGCTGAAATATTCTTCGAACTGTACACAAGATTAGACCAAACTAAATGCATGCAATGGGTTCTGATTAAGCTTGTCAAAGCTTGGAAGTTGTTTGATCAAACTTATGGTGCTGATTCTCTGATTCCTGATGAAAAAATGGCAAAGATTTATGATAGATATTCAAAATCAATTGTAAGAATCACAAAGTATTTTACAATTTCAAACACAAATGCCATTCAAAATGACAAATCAGATGGAAAAAGTTCAAGTTTGGACAACATAACCTCAAAAACTAAGAATTTGCAGACGGTTCCAGACATACCCCGAAATAATGACAACATAACCTCAAACACAGATGATCAAAAAACAAAATCAAAAACTGTAAATTCGCGAACCATAACTTTTAAATTTGATGATATGGTCGCAAAAAGTGATAAATCTTCAAGTCCTGCTTTAAATCTGAAAAATGATGAAGTCAAATTGAAAGTTAATGATCGTTCCTTTAAATCAAACGACATAACCTCAAAATATGGTGACATAACCTCAAAATATGGTGACATAACCTCAAAATCTGTTGACATAACCTCAAAATCGGGTGACTTAACCTTAAAATCTGGTGACATAACCTCAAAATTTGGTGACATAACCTCAAAATCTGGTGACATAACCTCAAAATCTGATGACTTTACCTCAAAATCTGATGACTTAACCTCAAAATCTGGTGACATAACCTCAAAATCTGTTGTCATAATCTCAAAATCTGGTGACTTAACCTCAAAATCTGGTGACTTAACCTTAAAATCTGGTTTCTTAACCTCAAAGTCTGATGACATAACCTTAAAATCTGATGACTTAACCTCAAAATCTGATGACTTAACCTCAAAATCTGGTGACTTAACCTCAAAGTCTGACAATATAACCTCAAAATCAATTTCATCTAAACTAATCAACTTCTTCATGACTTGTCTTCAAAATTTACTACTCAAAAACTTAATTGACACCACAGTTGATGTTGATCGTGATCCTTACTTTGACTACTTTTTGTATAAAAAGAGGAGAACTTACGAAATTGTTTGTGACTTACACTTTCATGATTTAATATCTTCAAACTTTATATTTCACTGCGTCACAAAAATGTTTCAAAATCCTCTAATTATTGATAAAAGTTTGGATGTTGTTGTAAGGTTGATGATATTGGTTGAGTCATTTATTATCATTAGACACAAAAGCAATGACTTTAATTATATATTACAAGATGTAAAGACATTTTGGTCAAAATTGCCATTTGGGGTTGAGATGTTGTATCCAATTTCTGTTGACAAATGGACATTTTTGAAAAATTTCACACAAAAATCTTTGTTTTTTCGATGTAATCAAGTGGAATTCAGTGGAGTTGTTGAGAAAATGTGGACTGAATTGATGGAAAATCCAGGAAAATTTAATGAAATTGTTCAAATTTTTGAAGACTTTTTGGAAGTCTTGGGAGACAGCTTTGCAGTTTTAATCGTTGATTTTATGGAAAATCGAAAAAATTCACTCGAAAAATTTCCAATCGACAACATTTTGAAGCCAATTTCATTAAAATACAAAACTTCAATTTTATTCGCATTTGAGCTTTTTGAAATGGGCATTTTAAATTGTGAATTATTTTCAAAATGGTTAAATGACAAAATTTATGGAAAGTTGGTGCAAGAACATAATTCTGAGATTTTATTGAAATTTGGACAAAAAGGTTTGAAAATTGATGGAAATTTGGATGAAAATTTGATGAATTATTACAAAAAGTTAAATAATTTTGGTTAAAATTGCAATTTTAAAATTTTTTTTCATATTTTAACAATTTTTTGCTTTTAAATTTTGTATTTTTTATATGTTCTATTTTAAATTGAAAAATAAAATTAAAAATTAAACAATCAAAAATATGTGCTTTAAATGGTATTTTTAAATTTATTCAATGCAATTCCTAGAATAATTAATTGCATTTCCGCATTTGATTTCTTAAAGTGTTGGAAACGGTCAATTTTCAAACTCATCGATTTATTTGATCAACTAAGAAAATAGCAAACATTTTTCGGTCATCTCAGTTTGTTTTTGTTTACGTTTATAGAAAAAAAATATTTCACGATACTTTCTCATTTATTTTTTTTACAAATATTATAATTTTGCATATTCTTAAAGATCATTTGACGGATTAAATAGTTAGAAAAAATCTCAGAATCATCACATTGGTAAGCGTTCTTTGAATTATTCAATCAAAATTGAGATTTTTACACTTTAAAATTTGCCAATAAAAATCATTTATTTTTTCAGTTCATGCCTTATAATGGAAAGTCAAAAAATTAAACCTAAGCTAAAGAATCAGTCAGAACAGAATCATTTAAGTGGTAGTCAACATTCTGCACTTATTGACTCAACAAATGTCATCACATTTTCATCTTTACTAAGAAATGAAGTAGAAAGGTAATTATTTGGTTTTTCAAAACATTTTCTTTTTTGATTGAATTTAGGTCAAAACATTGAAGCTCTTTTCGAGTACGGAAATGTCTGGTTGATCTACTGTGAATGCACGTGAACTTTAGAACTTTAGTTTGAATGATCCTGAAATTTAAAACTCTAGTGTAAATGCACCTCAAGTTAAGAACTCTAGTGTGATTGCACCTGAAATTTAAAACTGTAATGTGAAGGCAACTTAAAATTAGAAACCTAGTGTGAATGCACCTGAAGTTTTGAATCCTAGTATGAATGCACCTGAACTTTTGGACTCTAGTGCGATTATACCTAAAATTTAGAGCTCTAGTGTGAAGGCACCTGAACCTTAGAACTCTAGTGTGATGCAACTAAACTTAAGAACTCAAGTGTGAATACACCTAAACTTTTGACCTTTGGTATGAATGCACCTGAGATTTAAAACTCTAGTGTGAATGCACCTGAACTTTTGAACTCAAGTGTGAGTTCACCTGAACTTTAGAACTGTAGTGTGAAGGTACCTTAATATTAGAAACCTAGAGTGAATGCACCTGAACTTTTGAACTCAAGTGTGAATTCACCTGAACTTTAGAACTTTAGTGTGAAGGTACCTTAATATTAGAAACTTAGAGTGAATGCACCTGAACTTTTGAACTCAAGTGTGAATTCACCTGAACTTTAGAACTGTAGTGTGAAGGCAACTTAAAATTAGAAACCTAGTGTGAATGCACCTGAAGTTTTGAATCCTAGTATGAATGCACCTGAACTTTTGGACTCTAATGCGATTATACCTGAAATTTAGAGCTCTAGTGTGAAGGCACCTGAACCTTAGAACTCTAGTGTGATGCAACTAAACTTAAGTACTCAAGTGTGAATACACCTAAACTTTTGACCTTAGGTATGAATGCACCTGAAATTTAGAACTCTAGTGTGAATGCACCTGAACTTTAGAACTCTAGTATGAATGCATCTGAAATTTAAAACTCTAGTGTAAATGCACCTGAAGTTAAGAACTCTAGTGTGATTGCACCTAAACTTTTGAACTCAAGTGTGAATGCAACCGAGTTTTAAAACACTAGTGTGAATGCACCTGAAATTTAGAACTGTAATGTGAAGGCACCTTAATATTATAAACCTAGTGTGAATGCACCTGAACTTTTGAACCCTAGTATGAATTAATAAAATTTGTTTTAATTTTAGCAGAGTGAAAACAACAAAAGATTGCTCAACTATAGACAGTAAAGCCAAGCAAAGCTTCATAATTGACAAAAATAAGCAACTCGAAAATAAAAAGTCCCCGAAAAGCCCAAAGCATATCAAAGATGACAACCCAACGTTCCTTGAAGAAGTTGAAAATTCTCAAAAATGCAAGGACTTCGAAGAATATCTAAAATATGATCCAAAAGGAGTTAACGACTGCTGTGACTTTTTTAACGATGCAACAAATAATGAAATTGAATATTTTGCGAGGAAATTCATCGAATATGTGATCGAGAATGCTGAAGAAGTCAAAAACTTTGGATCAATTGCACAAAAATTAAAAACTGCTTTGTTAAGAATTAAAAGTTTTATAGCAGATGCCATGAACAGCTTTGAAAAAGAATTTGAGGTTATAAAATATAGAACGTCAACAAATTCATCAAAACTTGAGAATTTTGCAAAATTTATTGGAGAATTGTATGTGTCACATGGGCAGCTAGTTCCTAACGATTTAATGAATGATTTATTGCAATTTTTGTGTGATAAGAAGCAGTTTGTAGCTTTAACATCGACTCTGAAACTTTGTGGATATTTTTACAAAGAAAGAAATCGAAAACATTTTGAAAGTTTAATGAAATCATTCAAATTTGGTCCAATAGTTGAGGATGAAATCAGCAAAATGTCTGAATCTTTTGATGATAAAAATGAAATTATCAATTCAAGGCTGTTTAAATCTTCAGAAACAGCTCAAAATATTGGAAGCTTAGAGACAATTTTGTCGAGAATCGCAGACAGCAGAGATGTAAGATTCGACTATGAACTTTATGAGATGCTGCATATAAATACAAGAGGATTGACGAACATTATACTTAATATTGTGGACAAACCAAGCTCTAATGTCATCGAAGTCGCAAAGTTCCTTAAATCCTTGAATGATTTTACTTATAAAATTGGAAATTTCATCCAGAGTTTGAAGGATAACTTAAAGTTGAAGGTTTTAAGCATGTCAACTAATAATCTTCAAGAAATGAAGACACTCGGGAAGTTTATAGCTGAATTAAAGACTTTGTCAGTCACAGATGACGAGAATCAAAAGTTGTGGCTTGAAAAAGTTGAAAACTTGAATTTAATCAATAATTTTGAGGTTATGGAAGTTTATATTGATGTAATTAAGGCTATGATAATTACTATCCAAATCCAAGACTATGAAAAGCTGCAGGAGGTCCATCAATACCTAAAAGTCACCAGTAAATCTCTGGAATCATCAAACACAGAAGTAGCAATCAGAATTAAATCAAAAATCGTTCCAATCCTTCAAAATATCGTCCTTAAATCAGTAACTCCATCAACTTCAGAGCTTCTCTTTAAAATCAGACTTGGACATAAGATTCAAGGCTTACCAAAAGACATGCCTGAGAGCAATCAAAATATTCTAGACGTCCAGGATTTTGCTAAAATCTTCTGCCTTAATGCCATATCTAGTCATCACTTTACTGCTAACTTTACATATGCTATTAAGTTCCTCACAACTGGACCGAAAGGTGAAGTATTCATTCAATCTGTCAGGGATGCACTATCCTCAAATCTAATTCCAAACGTGTTCTTCTTTGAATCTGATGAAGTCATTGGAACATTTGAGCTTATTGTGCATCTTTTTAAGGAATACACGCTGTCGGAATCGGAAATTGATTTATTTTTAAAAAATATTCTTAAACATCAGAATTTGGGGATGTTTAAGGACTGCACAAGGATATTCATAGAAGATCTACAGCAGCTTGTTGCTGATGAGACATGGAGGATTGCTAGGAGATTTAGTCATAGTTTGAGATACTCAATTAAGGAAGTCCTAAAGAAGCTTAGAAAATTGGATGTTGCCGAAAGGAAAGCTAATAACTCAGGAGTTTTACAAAAGAGAGCCAGTAACGTAGAAGCTGCTGGAAATGAATCTAAAGACGTTGCAGATCTAAGCAAAAAGGTGAAGAACATGAAGATAAAGAAGGTGGAAGAAGTAAATAATGCAGAAGGTCAGCTTGTCGCTAAATCAAACTTTAAGATCAGGATTTTACCAAAAAGAGAAGATTTAGAGTCTGTGCCTGAAGGTTCATTAGAAGATCTAGAACAAAATGGAGGAGCTTCAATCGTAAATGCTGAAATTAAATTAAACTTAGAAGATCTAGTTCAGCAATTGATTCAAACTTATAAAACTGACAAACAAAGTATAAAGTCATCAAAACATAAGTTGAAGAGCTCATCTGTGGATTCAACTGACCAAGAAAGTCCAGATATACTTAAACTTTACAATTTAATCCTTCCAATAATCACATTAAGTACATCACGATTCAAAAAATGTGCAATAACAATTTACAAATGGACAATTGAAGATTCAAGCCTTAAACAACAAGTTAAAGAGCTTATTGAACTTTTAGCAAAGGAACTGCAAGCAAATCATAAGCAATTATTGATGGATGTAGCTAAAGACCTAACCGATGAGTGTGCCATCATTCGTAAAGCACAAAGCGCAAGAAAACCAAAAAGAATCGAGGAAATGTCACAACAAAGAAGTTCCTTCATATTGACATCCAGAGCTGTTGTCCCATTCTTTGAGAAGCATCAGATCTACGACATCCTGCTCTGCATGTTAAGCTACATTAGAGATGGAAACAGGATTGCATTTGAAATGTTTTTAGACATTATTGAGGGGATGGAAAATGTCTTTGAGGATGATTGTAAGGAACGAGATGATTTTGTTACTTCTTGCATTGCCGTTTTGGAATATGCTGCGAATTTTAAGAATGTAGACGAAGAAATGATAAGAAAAGCTATAAAAATGACAAAATTTTTAAAAAGCTTGAATATCAATCAGGATGCTTTGGAAGGTCAGGTGCTGTACACAGGTCAGGATAGCAATAACGTTGTGAGTAATTTGATGAAAAAACCAAAAAAGCGGACAAAAAATCCTAAAATGTCTGGTCAGTCATCTGTAAATTCAAGTCAAAGTGGTCAGTCAAGTGGAACATCAAGTCAAGTTGCTATAACTAATTCAAGTATTGTAGCTGATCCTCCAGTGAACTTTTCAGCAGATGCTAAAATCATGTTCTACATAAGTCAGCTGCAGTCATCAAATGTTGAACAAATCGCTTCCAAAGTCTCTCCATTTTTGGTTAAAAACTTTTCAAATCAAAGATTCTTGGAAGTTTTACTGCAACAAGGAATTTCTGACCAGAAACACATCAATCCAGTCATCGACTTGTTCAATCTTCTGTCCAAGACAATCAGCTTTAAGAAGAGTTTAGTTCAAATAACAGCAGAAATAAGCAGCAAGTTCCTGAATCTTTGCATTGATTGTGAAAATCAGGAACAAAAAATGATGAACTTGACAAAGTTTACAGTTGCATTTGAGCCAAACATCCAAAATTCATTTTGGTATCAATTATGGCAACAACTTGCTGAATTCATCAAGCAAAATTATCCAAATGCTCTTAAACTTTTAGTGCTGTTGATGACTGAGAAGATTGATATGTTGTGCAATATTAAGGAACACAAGAAACTTATTAGACAAATTGTGGTGCTTTTTAAAAACAAGCTAGCTGTGGAACAAGATGAAAAGTTGATAGAAAAGATGAAGATCTTAATAAAGACAATAGAAAATGGAATGGAAGCATCCAAGAATAATAATCAAGTTAATTTGGGTCCTGATTAATGTTGAGTCAAATTTAGAATAATTTTATATTTTATTTATAAATACCCAAATTTATACTTTGAATAAAATTTTAAAAATTGTTGAAAAAAAAATAATTTAATGGGAATGTTCATAAATGACGTCTATCATAATCAAATCTCCTCTCCAAATTTAAAAATTCCGATAAGTTTACAAACGTCTTCATTTTTATTGAAATGCATAAAAATACTTGGAATTACAAATCTTTTACATTTAATTCATTTTCTCAAAATATTCACACACACACACACACAAAAAGTCCAATTTACGATTTTCCCTTCTTAAATCGAAGTCTAGCCTGCGACTTTGTGTATCGATTCTTTTTCTTTGGCAGTTCATTCTCGTCCAGCTGCTCATCAGTTGATTGATCATTAACAAGAAAGTCTTTTGAAAGGTCTGTTGGCTCCTGTATTAAGCCTTTTCTATGTAATTTTAAATAATATCGATAAATTTTTGCAATTACGAATCCTACGGCTGCTATGCACATAACAATGAGGACCATCAGCATTGGATTCTTTAGGGTCGGCGTTCTTGTGAATTGATCGAAGATTACGATTATTATGGCAACAATTACACCACAGCCGGCACCTAGAATGGTTAATTAAATTTAGATTAGTGGGTTGTTGTTGTTTAAGGTTTTGTGACGGAAAACTAGACAGTTGGAAGGGGTCTAAACCAAAACAAATAAAAGACAGATAAAGAAGACCCCTTAACATGTCTATCTTATCCAAAACATCAGTCATAAGCCATGCTCAAGATAAAAACCAATCAAAAACATTGAAGAATAATCAGCACAACCCTTTAGGTCAACCCATACAGATATTATCCGTCAACAACTTACCTACAAAAGGAACATTCCGTTCTAGCATTGATTCACGATTGCACATCAACGCTGTTTGTCTTAAGTTCGTTATGATTGTATTGTTTGTTGGCTCGAGCTAAAAAGTTAAGCATTCACATGATTAGTATTGTTTTTATAAGGATTCCTTGATTCACAAAGTTCATGGTATGAGCTGAAGATTTCTTTCATTATCAAGCAGAACCCTGCTGCTCGTAATACCCTTCAATAACCTCAAGGGTACTTCATAAGAATAAAGCAAACCTCTTGGAGGAGGATAAGACATGGCAACCAGGCCTAGCTTTTTAATGGCCAACTGAATAAGAAAACTTTCATGGTCAACTCACCTTAAGAGCTCGTCCATATGATAGAATAGCTTCGTCATACATGCAACCTTGAATAGAAATTGAATTAATAATTTGAAATTTAGTATTTGAAGGTTGAATGTGATGCATAGATTGGTTTTAGGGGCTACTAAGGGAGTCTTAAACAATAGATAAGATAAGGTACAATAGATTCTGTTCTAATTTGAATCGCAGTGCCTCCAGCTGAAAGGCTGGGCCCTTCACACATTATTATTATTATTATTATTATAACGGAGTCTTATGATTAAAACTAAACTTTTGTGCATCTTTAAACATTAAATGTTCCTAAGTTACCCGAGAAAATCTAAAATCCGAAACTAAGATGTGTTTTTTTTTTGATTTATGAGGGATGACCGAAGATTGAAGGTTCATCGATAGGAATTTCTGATTTAGTGGAAATTCAATGCACATCAAAAACTATAATTATGCTCACTGGTTCAAGAGTGTAGCCAGGAAGATCATTAGGTGCCCGAGCAACCTTCCTTGAGAAATTCATACAAATTTTAAACTTTAAATTGCATTTAATTAACAAAAGCAAATTAATTTATAAATATTTTTTTGACCCCCCCCCCCCCCTTCCTGAAAAATCCTGGTTACACTCCTGCATAAAGACGGTATCTAGGGCTACTCAGGACACTCTTGGATCCTACAATTTATCTTAGGCTGTGGTAGATTGTCCTGTTTAGCCTTAGAAACTGATGTCTGGCATTGAAGGGTGTTGAATAAGCTGAAAGACTATAAACTCAAGCTATTCTACGAAGTTAAAGTTAATAATCCTATCAGGGAGTCTCCAATGGTCTTGAGTATTTCCATCATTCAGATAATCAGGACGTTTCCATGGATTATTATCCAAATCCCTAATGAATCCACTAAACCTTCCAAATTTCTACCAAATTCTCATAAATTTTACTAATCCACAAAATTATTCATCACAATTTAACTTCAGACAATCCAAAAAATCACCAAACTTACACTCCTTCAGCACCTCAGCCTTCCTAAAGTATCCCTTAACAAACATCGGATTGAGTTCAATCACCTTTTCGGCATCAGCGAGTGCATAGTAATACAACTTTTCTTTCAAGTAAGCAAAAGATCGATTAGAAAATAAAATATGCCAATCTTGTGACGCCTTGCGTAGTGCATCCGAATAGAACACAATTGCCTGCTTAAAGTCACTATCCTTGACACATTGATTGCCTTTTTCTCTTAGTGCTGTCACCTCATCTTCTTGTGGTTCCATTTTTGGATGGTTTAAATTAGATTAAAATTTTATTTTTGGACTTTTTTTTGTAGATTTTGAAGGAATTTTCGGACTAAAATTGATGCTTGATGAAGCTATTCAGACTCAAAACGACAATCACGTAAATTTTTGCATCAATTTTAATTCATTTTGGTGGAATTTTTAATTTAATTTATTTTCACTACGAAATCAAAACAAATACGAAAAGTTTTTGAAGGTTGACAGTCCCCTGAAATCCTAAAATTCCGTCACCTCGGTAAAAATTTAAAACAGTAAACATCAAAACATGAACGAAAATTACAAAAATATTTCAATTAATTTGAATTTTAAGCCATCGTCGGCTTTTTTGATTGGATTAATGGTGAATTTTATAGATTTTCTGCTTTGGAACCGGACACAGATACCGTTTACTGTGGATATGCTGGAGAAGTTCTTACAAAAGAAAAATCTTGATGATATTAAATGTTTTAAGAAGCTGAAGGCAGTTAAGATCGCTAAGGATGCTTATGAGAGGATTTGTGGAGTTAAGGAGGTAAAGAATGGGATGTGGGGCGGGAGTAAAGCTACTTGATGAGTTAGGGACGTCCAGGAGTTGGTGATTTTGTGTTAAATGAGTTGGGGGGGAGTTGGTTATCAGCGTTATCAATTCCTAGGATGACATACTTAAGTTTAAATCTTAAATCTCTCAAAAATCTCATTTCAGCTCACAAAACTCGAATTCACAACATCAAAGTCCTTCATCATCCTCTTCGGATCATCAATACAAACTGCAAAGGAAGCTTACAAAATCATCTTTCCATCCACAAACTCAAATGTCACTCCAACATTCATCAATGAGACCTCAAATATTAAAAAAGTGTTTCTTCAACTTCTTCAGTCTGATGATCTCAAAGATGCTCTAGAAAGTCCACTGACTGTGACAAACACTTTTGTGCTGTACGAGCGGCGATGCAGGAACGACGAAAAAATTAGTACAAATTTATTTGAAGTCAGAAATTTTAAGTTAAATAAATCGTGTAAAAAGTTTTTAATTAATTTTACGGATTCATCGAATTTTGAGGTGTTTCAAGAGGATTTTGAGGAGCTGAAAATTTCTGAACATGAAGTTGTGGTCGAGAAAGTTGAGGAAATTTGGTTCCAGTCGAAGATTTTTGTAAAAGGATTTAGTGATTTAACAACAGATAATAAATCAATTTGGGGATAAAATTTAAATTTTATTGATTAGATTAAAATAAAATAAACAAAATTAAGCAATTTTAAAGTAATAAAATGATTTTAGGAATATTAAGCTATTAAAAATTGATTGTTTTAAGATGTGTTGAAGGGGGGGGGGGGGAGGGGGGGGGTCTCAAAAAACTTTGGGGGTTTATTTTTCGATTTTTTATTTTTTTGAATGAAAAAATATCTGTAAACGAACTGGGATTTTCCACCAGCCCCCCCCCCCCCCTCATGGCTTTGCACGAGATCGTCATCTATAAAACTTACTTAGGGGGGGTGGGGCAAAAAACTTTTGGGGTTTATTTTTCGATTTTTAATTTTTTTTAAAAAAAATCTTAGCAAAATGAAATGGCCCTAATGGCTTTGCACGTGATCGTCATCTACAAAGCTTACTTAGGGGGGGGGGGGGGGGGGAAACTTTGGGGGTTTATTTTTCGATTTTTTATTTTTTTTTAAAAAAAATCTTAGCAAAATAAAAAAAATTCTGTAAACGAACTGGGATTTTCCACCAGCCCCCCCCCCCCCCCCTTCCCCCCCCTAACGTGGCTTTGCACGTGATCGTCATATATAAAACTTACTAATATGTCATTACATTAAATAAATCCGATAATTCTTTATCAGTTTTAACAATTATTCTCCAAAATTCTTTCAAATTTAATGCAGCATCAGAAGAAGCTATATCATCTTGTATACTTTTTATGTTGTCCTTAATCAAGTCCCTGATGGTCTCATGAAGCTCTTCACATTCACTAGTTCTTGCATATCCAATAATAAACTTGCAAATGATCTCAAAATCATCAAAATGTTGAGTCATGAACTTTAAAATGCCAAAGATTTTCACAAATTCTTCATCTCTGATGCAATAATCATCACTAAAGATGTATGATATTAAATATTGAGCCACAAAGAACTCAGCGTAGCTATGATGAATAAAATGGAAGATGTCACCATCAAATGATATGAATCCATAACGTCCAATTGTTTCCTTTATCCATTTTTTCCCTTCTCGCTTCCAATTCTTTATAATTGATAAGTTGTCAAGCTGTACTTCGGGATACTTATTATTGAAGATTAAGATTAGAGCATGAAGTTGATGAACTTTGGATATTTGTAAGCTTTCAAATTGATCGCAGTTTTTTTGTAATAAATATTCACTGAAAATTTCATGCTGCTTAACACAAACCTTCTCAAAAGTTGAATAAAAGTTGATTGAATCTTTTTCAAAATCTGCTTGATGCTCGTCAAAGACTTGGACGATTGCTCGGATCATTCCGCAGTTTAATATGCTGTAATGTTTATTATTCTTGCGATCCTCAAGAGCTTTGATGAAGGAAGTTAGATCATCAGCAATGCGAACATTTTCATCTACATGATTGATATGCATGAAATAACTTAAATTTAGAGGTTTATTTGGGTCAAATTTGTATTCTATTGCCTTAAACTTTTTTGTATAATTATCCAAAAATACTGGACTAGTTGCAATCCACAACTTATTGTCTGTATTATCATTCATCCAAGTTATGACTTTTATAAAAAGCTCATTTAGCATCGGCTTAATTTTATCAATGTCATCAATCAAAAGTATTACTTTATTGTTTCGCAAGAGACTTCCAAAGACTGCAGATTCTAATTGCGATTTTGTTTTGATAATTTCCATCAGAATTTTGGCAATAACTTCGATTTCTAATTTAATGTCTTGACTTAAATAATTTTGCAATATTTCAGACGAGCTTTTTAAATTAATAAGCGACACCCACGTTGATCCTGATTCTCGCTTTAGATTTGCTGACATTTTCTTGAAAGTTGATGTTTTTCCGGCTCCAATGTCATCAACTAGGAATGATATTTTAGATGAATTGAATTGATTATTTGACTGCTTTAAAAGTTTTCTATCAAATATTTTATCATAATTGTCAGCTACGATATCGTCACCAATATTGATTGTTAGATTTCTTATTAAAATGTCTTTAATCAATTTCGATGGCAGATGTCTCAATATTTCAAAGTTATTTCCAATTATATTCGATAATGCTACTTTTGCCCCTTGAAAATTGATTTCTGAACTCGTTATTCTTTTCTGCATCGGTTCTGGCAAACTTTCAAACTTAATGTCTGCATCATCGTTTTGTAAAGTCCTAAAGGTGTAAATTATGTCTCCAGTGTCGAGAGTTAGGAAATAATCAAGTGATGATGAATTGAAAACGTTCCTTACTGTGCTTTCTATATCCTGTGCATTTCCACTTTCATTTTTGGATGTTTTCATAGCCGATTTATCAATTTTAAAGGAATTTAAGCACAACATTGAAATAACGACATGACATAACTTCTCAATTACATCATTTGCTACTTTAAGCTCATCTTCAAGTGATGCGGAATTGCATGGCAAGCATTCTTCTTCTATGACTATATTTGCTGTTATGTAAACATGTTTATTAGTGAATAACATCGATATGTCATCTTGAGCTTTAGCTTTAACTGCATCAAAGTCAAATTTGTTATCTTTAGGTACAAAAAAGATTTTCAGTGACTTATTTTCAGCAGCAATCTTCAGAACTTTTGAGCAAATATCACTTCGATTGAGTAGATTGTAAATATTGTCAATAAACACCCAATTTTTCTTATAATGATAGTTTTGTCCATATATCTCTGATTTAGACTTGAGCAGTATGATGTGTGGCTTAGGAATGTTTTGTTTCGAAATGAATTCTGTTCTGGGATCTCTGGTCAGCTCATAATAAACTTCATTGATTCCAATCGACAAAATATTGCTAAATTTACTGATGAATTCTGTATTGCGACGCTTTAAAGCATGCAAGAGCAGTGATTCGTTGTTCCTGTCGTAATAGTGACGCAAGTTTTTGTTGGGAAAGTCATAAAAACTGATCTGTTTATTGCTAGCTAAATCCTGATGAAAGTCTTCACATTTTATGATAAAATCTTTTAAGTTTTGTGGTGATTCAACGAAATTAAAGCCCAATTTCTTCTTTGGAAACTTTGAATTAGCATTTAAAAGATTTAACATTGTCGACTCAATCTTCATTTTAACGTCCATATCCTTTGATTTCTTGTAGTTTATCCATGCATGATCAATTGCATTTAAATTGTCGTTATCTTCATGGTTGATGTCAAAATTATAAGCTATAAAATTTCCTATGGCATCATGATGATTTCCTTTTACAGCAAATATGAGAAGATTACATCCAGTATCACTTATTATTTGCTGTATTTGAAGTTGTTCATGCTGAAGAACATTTGAATTATCTAGCAATGCTTAAAAAAATAAAAGTTTTAAAACGAATTTTTAAACGCCCATAGCTTCTCTTATCAAGGTTAAAAAATGATTACTATTATGTAAATAACTGTAAGACGCAAATAACCATAATGTTTTTAAGGTCAATCCTACCACAAAACTTCACATAACCTCACAAACCCCCTCAAACTCGGACCCTCTTAATCCCACAAAATATTCCTGACACCAAATTTTTCACCCCCGACACCCATCTTGAAAACACCCCCACCCCCTCATTGGCTTTACATGGCTTCACAAACCCCCTCAAATTGGGACCCACCTGACACCCACCTTGCCCCTAACCTTTTCAATCTCCCCACTACCCTCCTATTGCCCCCATTCCCAACTGACACCCACCCCTCACCTGACAACTGGCTTCACGCGGCTTCATAAATGACTTCACATGGCTTCCGTTCAAGAGTCAGTGAATCAGTGAATTGGGCTTTTATAATGTAGATGATGGCAACTAAAGCAACATCAGGTTGCACGAGTCACATGGCCTTTTATGACACAATCACGTCATCATGGAATTTTCACATGTGCACATGATTGTGGCGACCCCTAAATTTTCCACATGAAAGTGTCAAATCCGAGTAGCACCAACAACAACAACAACTGGTTTTATGTCGACGTCAAGGCACCATCAAGTAGAAAAAATTACAAAAGTCCTCGTGTTATTGATCGAGGGACTTAAGCGCATTTTTGACGCAGCGATCAGTATTTGATTATCTAATTATTTTGCGTTCGTTGTCAGATCATTAGAAGTTTAGAGGATTATTCATTTTGAGTGTTATTAACAAATAATTATAATGAGTGCTTATATAAAAAGGCTTTATTATTTAACGGTCAATAAATAATTTGAAATTTTTGCCGCTAAAAGTTGCACTACGAAAACATCAATTATAGTATAATTAATAATTTGTTCCAATGAATTTCTATACAGAAAAAGTTTATCATCTAATTGTTTTTTGAAATTCAAATTTTACAACGGCTAGAAAAAATTTGAAATTATAGAGGTAATGTTAAATTTTTTAAACGTACTCATCACGTGGTTTTGTTGATGAAATATAAAAATCATTAGTTAAAGTATAAATACACTGTGTTAAGACTTTTAACTGTTCGATCGGACAATAAACAATAGAAGCGGAGCTAATAAAACAAACCTGAGCTCTCTACGATGTCTGGTTAAAAAGTTTTTCTTCAGACGAACGAACGAACAAAGTGCATTATTAAGCTCCCTTTTTGTAAACAAGTATACAAAAATGCGCTGAAAAGCACATCACACCGCAAATTTACAGTTATGGCGACGCTAAGGCGCACGATTTCGCCCCATTTGAACAATGAAATAATAACGGTAAATTTGCGGTGTGATGTGCTTTTTTCTACTTGATGGTGCCTTGACGTCGACGTAAAACCAGTTGTTGTTGTTGGTGCTACTCGGGAAATTGTTTAAAAAATCATTACTTACTTGTGACTTCTCCTTTAATCTCATTAATAATGAAACTTCTGCAAACTTCAATCAGCTTTTTGTCATCGATTACAATGTAAAAATTGTTTGGGTTTAAATTGGTTCTCCATATGATCTTGACAGTATTATCGTCTTTATTTAAGGCCCCATCGATTTGTTTAGTGTTACATTCATCTGGACATAACTGTTGTTGTAATATTTCGTCAGTTCTTATCTTGTGCTTTATAGTTTCATCGAAAGAATAATAACTTTTAAGACTTCCATCAGAAGCAAATCGAATTCGATGATTATTTAATTTTGGATTCTTTAGATATTCAATCTGCTCATCGTGATGCAGGAAACATTGAATGTTGCTGCACGTTAAATCGATAATTTCAACTGTGTTTTTCTCAACAACCGTTGAAATAAGATTATTTTCAAATGCATCAATGTTAAGGATCAACTCTTTTATTTCAAATGAAGTTAAATGAATCTTTATTATTTTCCATAATTGTTGATGAAATTCCAATGAAGTGTTCCAGTATGCAGCCAATTGTAGGATATTTTGGTTCTTAAAATCAACTTGCTTTAGCATATTTTTTATTTGATCGGTTGTTAATTTTTCTTTTAATTTATGCATGATAAACTCGAAAACATTACTTGATGAATTTAATGAAGCAATATGAAGAATGTTTTGACCAAATTCGTTCAAATGGTTGCAAAAAATCAAAAAATCTTCATTATTTTTGAAGAAATCAGAAATAAATTTCCATAAAAATTGATGAACTTCTACATCATTTGACCAAAACAAAGCTGATTGCAGCAAATTCATTTTTCGTAATCCTTTTGAGAACAATATTTCGATAAATTGAGAACTCCGAAAGAATTGCTTTAAAATATTGAATGTTAACTCAACAATTTTCAAGTTTTTTTGGACTCTCAAGAGTTCATGAACAAAATTATTTCTATATGCATCCTCTTTAAGTATAAATTGTTTCAATTCAACTCGATAGACAATTGTTTTGAGTAAAAGTGTCCAAAACGCCACTTGAAATTCAAAGTCATCATATTTTGCAGCATAATGAAAAATATTTTTTTCATTATCAGATGTTTTTTGACGCAAGATTTCCAGGATTTGTTGTCTTGTTAAATGTTTTTCCAACTTGTTCCACCAGCATTCAAATGTTTCTAAATCCTTGCAATCAATTGAAATGTGAAGAATGTTTTGATTTTTCTCGTTTGTTTGACATAAATTTTCTTGAATCATTTTACTCTCGGTTAAATCAAAATTGTGCTGAATTTCTTCCATTTTCCGCTCAACAGCAAATAATAAAAGATTTTCTCCATTTTCATCAGCATGATTAATCATGTCTAAGATTTCTTGTGAATTTAAATATTTCTTAATAATTGTCCACAAATATTTATGAAGTTCAACTGACTCGTTTAGCAAAACTGCTGCCTGCAATAAATTTCTCTTCGCCATTCCTAATGTGCTTAAAATGTTTCTAATTTCTTCCTTTGATGCGTATTTTTCTAGTTCATTGATCATAAATTCAGCAATTTCTTTTGGCGTGAAGCTTGCAGCAAGATGAAAGACGTTGTTATTTTGATCGTCAACTTGCTTGAGAAATTCCAAAAATTCTTTATCAGATTTGCAAAAATCTCGAAATATCTTCCACAAAATTTGATGAGTTTTGATGTTTTTTGACATTTTTGCAGCCATTTGAAGTAAATTCATGTCCAATTGTCCTTTTGCATTTACAATTTCTTCGAACTGATCATCGCGGAAGTAACTGTTAAGGATGTCAAATGTGAATTCAATTATGTCGGAATTGTCATTGGTTACCAGGATACGCAGGTAGTTGTTGAAATCAGTATCCTTACGAAGCAATAATTCTTTTAATTCGTCTTTATTTTCAATAGAATTCAACAAGATTTTCCACAATTTTTCATGATTTTCAAGTTTTTCACACAATGCAAAAGGAAACAAATTTTTGATATTTTTAACTGAAATTTCCTCTTTTAAGATTTGATCCATTCGAATTTGATGCTCAAAGTCTTTAATCAGTTTTTTCCACTTTTCATTCGTCTTTTCATATTTTTTCATATCTGAAGGATTTTCCAAATCAATCGCCAAATAATCTTCAAATTCCTTCAACTGATCCAACAATTTTTGATTGAAATTTTCATCAGGAACTAAAACTTCTCTTACTTGATTCCAAATAAACATGACAACTTCTTTTGTGTTGTATTCTAAAGCATCAATGAAAAGATTATATCTAATTTCGTCCGTGTGCTTTATAAAGTCGATCATTTTTGAATTATCAAAGTATTTTCGATAGATTTGCCACAAAAATTCGTAAACTTTAACTGATTTGTTTTCAGTTGTTGCTGTATGCAATAAACTTCGGTTTAAATAACCTTTGGAGTTTAAAATTTCTTTGACTTGATCTTTTGTAAAAATGCTTTCCATCTGCATCCAAAAATAATTTACCTTTTCAACATCTTTATTTTCAAATAAAATATGTGAAATATTCTTTCCAAATTTATCGACACACTGTAAATAATCCAGAGTTGATAAGTCAATCTCAAGTGTATTAAAAAATTTTATAATTGGATTCCAAGTCAGTTCCAAAATCTCTTTTGTGTTAAACACAACAGCACAGTTGAGAAGATTATTTCCAAGTGCATTAGTATGACTAATCATGTTCAAGATTTCTTGTGAATTGAAATATTTCTTAATAATTGTCCACAAATATTTTTTAAGTTCAACTGACTTGTTCTGCCTAACTGCAGCCTGCAATAAATTGTTTTCCCTCATTCCAAATATGCTTAAAATGTTTCTAATTTCTTCCTTTGATGCGTATTTTTCTAGTTCATTGATCATAAATTCAGCAATTTCTTTTGACGTGAAGCATGCAGCAATATGAAAGACGTTGTTATTTTGATCGTCAACTTGCTTGAGAAATTCCAAAAATTCTTTAAAACATTTGAAAAAATCTCGAAATATTTTCCACAAAATTTGGTGCGTTTTGATGTTTTTTGACATTTTTGCAGCCATTTGAAGTAAATTCATGTCGAATTGTCCTTTTGAATTTAAAATTTCTTCGAACTGATCATCGCGGAAGTAACTGTTAAGGATGTCAAATGTGAATTCAATTATGTCGGAATTGTCATTGGTTACCAGGATATGCAAGTAGTTGTTGGACTCAATATTCTTACGAAGCAATAATTCTTTTAATTCGTCTTTATTTTCAAAAGAATTCAACAAGATTTTCCACAATTTTTCATGATTTTCAAGTTTTTCACACAATGCAAAAGGACACAAATTTTTGATATTTTTAACTGGAATTTCCTCTTTTAAGATTTGATCCATTCGCATTTGTGAATCAAGTTGCTCAAAGTCTTTAATCAGTTTGTTCCACTTTTCATTCATCTTTTCCAATTTTTTCATATCTGAAGGATTTTCCAAAGCAATCGCCAAATAATCTTCAAATTCCTTCAACTGATCCGACAATTTCTGATTGAAATTTTCATCAGGAACTAAAACTTCTCTTACTTGATTCCAAATAAACATGACAACTTCTTTTGTGTTGTATTCTAAAGCATGAATGAAAAGATCATATCCAACGACGTCCTTGTGCTTTATAAAGTCGATCATTTCTGAATTATCAAAGTATTTTCGATAGATTGGCCACAAAAATTCGTGAAATTTAAGTGATTTGTTAAATCTTGCTAAAGACTGCAATAAACTTTTGTTTAAAAATCCTTTGGAGCTTAAAATATTTTTAACTTGATCTTTTGTAAAAATGCTTCCCAGCTGCATCCAAAAATAATTTATCTTGTCAAAATCTTCATTTTCAAATAAAAAATGTAAAATACGATTATCATTTTTAATGACACATTGTAAATAATCCAGAATTGATGAGTCATTCTCAAGTGTATTAAAAAATTTTTTAATTTGATTCCAAGTCAGTTCCAAAATCTCTTTTGTATTAAACTTAACAGCATAGTTGAAGAGATTGTTGTTAATCACGTCCAAGATTTCTTGTGAATTGAAATATTTCTTAATAATTGTCCAAAAATATTTGTGAAGTTCTACTGACTCATTGTGCCTTACTGCTGCCTGCAATAAATTGTTTTCCCACGTTCCTAATGTGCTTAAAATGTTTCTAATTTCTTCTTTTGGTGCAATTTTTTCTAGTTCATTGATCATAAATTCAGCAATTTCTTTTGGCGTGAAGCTTGCAGCAAGATGAAAGACGTTGTTATTTTGATCGTCAATTTCTTTGAGAAATTCCAAAAATTCTTTATCAGATTTGCAAAAATCTCGAAATATCTTCCACAAAATTTGGTGCGTTTTGATGTTTTTTGATGCATATGCAGCTTGTTGAAGTAAATTTCTCCCTGAATGTCCTATTGACATTAGAATTTCTTTATATTGATCATTGCTAAAGTTTTCTCTAATTTTATTGATTGTTAACTCAATTATTTCTGGTTCATCAGCAATTACAAGACAATGAACAAAATTGTTTCCATATTTATCGACTTGCATGATCAATTTTTTCAGATCATCTCGATTTTCAAAATTATTTAATAAAATTTGCCACATTTTTTGATGAAACTCAAATTGATAACACTTTGCAGCCACACGAAGAATGTTATTTTGATATCTTGAACGACTTAGACATTCAATTAAGTAAGGACGAAACTTTTCAGATTCCATTAATTTTTCCAATATTTTCCAAATGAATTTCATATGCTCAACATTAGTATGCTTAATACCGTTTTCTAATAATGTAATTATCTCGTCGACTCTTAATCTTTCGAAAATTATTTCAAATATTTGATTAGATTTGTTAACATTTGATTCTTGTGATTGATTAAGATAATTAATTATATTTTTTTCTTTCGCATCTTCCATTTTTAACGCTTCTTTAACAAATTGAGGATTAATTTTCTGTTCTAAATTGCCCAAAAACTCATTTGTATCTTCCTTATCAGGAATTGATGTGATTATTGATAAAAAAATTCCATTTTTTAACAGAAAACTTTTTAATTCATCTTTGTCAAAAAGATCAAAAATTTTATTTCGAATTTGAATGAATAGACTTTTGTGCTTTGCAGCCATTAAAGTAATTTTTGTATTATTTCTTAAAATATTTTTGACTTTTTCATGGCCCAATTTTGTAAAAATTTTGATGACAAAATGTAGTAAATTTTCATCGTACAAAACTGATGAATTTACAAACTCTTCAATATTTTCTTCAACGTTCCTAGAAATTCCAACTAAGTTTGCTTTAATGTTTTGTGAAACTTTTTCATCTCCTAAAGCATCGTTTAAGAATATTCGAATTACTTCATATTTTTTGATGGTCAAAAATTGGAAAAAATAATTGCAGACACTTTTGTGGTTTGGTTTCCATCTTATCAACATGTCTAAAATGTACTTTGCAGCATAATATTCTCGGAATGTTTCATGTGAAAATATAAATTTTTCCAACTTTTTACTCAACATGACTCCTTCTTCTATCCATTTTGTCAGTTCTTTGCGACAAAGACTACCAATTTCAGAATCATCAGGAAATAAACTTTCCATTGCAATCAGTTGATGAAGTTTATGGAAATTTAAACCCAAGTGTTGACTTGTCTTCTGTGACCATCTCACGTGTTGAATTTCCATGTATTGATCAAATATTTCTAATGTTGTAGAATTCGAAGCTAAATCCTTTTGCTTTGATGAAATATCAGCAATCATTTTGTAAAAGTGCGGCAATCCAATTGAATCGATTTGAGGCTTTCGAACTTTTTCTATTAATTTTTTAGCTAACGATTTGTAACTTTTCAATTTTTCTTCTTGTTTTTCAGCAAACATTTCGTTGCAATTATCACCTTCAATGTGCAGTTCATCAAGCAGCCAACTTGCAGCAATCAAATTGACTCCATCTTCATCAGTAAACTCATCCAGCTTATAAACAGCGTCAAGTCCTAACCTTTGCATCAAATCCACATCGAAATTATCTCTTGTTGCAATAAACAGCTGATTTCCGCCATTTTGTTGAAATGACTGGAACAATTTGGTGACAAATTCAGCACAGTCGGGAGCAATTTCATCAAATCCATCAAAAAGAATGCAAACTTTGCCATTTTTGTAGAGTTTTTTGAAGATTTCAGCTTCGTATTTTTTGTCCAACTTGAGAATCATCTCAATCATAAAGGATGTAAACTCCAATTCTGTTGGCTGTGCTTTGAATTCTCGAATAAACTCTTTTAAATCAACATAGTTTATCCAAATTTTCGGATATATTTCTGCAAGTTTATTGGCAAAGGTTTTGAGGATCCAACTTTTACCGGAGCCAGCTTTGTCTGCGATCAAGACAATTGCTGAATTTTTTGAAATCTCGAGCATCTCGTCCTGTACAATTTTCTTGTCATCTTTATCTTTTGATATTTTAGAAAATGTTCTGGGCTGAAACAACATTTTAAAATGTTCGTCACTTAAATCTTCCTCAGAATGTGAATTAATCACAATTCTGGACTTTTCAAGCATCAAGTTCAATAACTTGTCATCAACAATATCGTCAAAGCCTGTTTTTAGTTCTTCATCATCATCTTCATCATCTTCATCATCTTTATTGCTTTTCATCATGTCCAACAGTGAAAATATTGAATTATTTTGGAAATTAACTTTGATTTGAAGCAAACAGCTTTTACATTCAGCTGTAAGATCCATCCAGTTGTAGATTTCCATAAACTTTTTAGTATTTAGTTTTCTTGAGTCCAGCATTTTACTTAATTCCTCATGCTGGATATCGCTAGATACAACAAAAACATATGTGTGCTTAGTTCCAACAAAGTCAATGATTTTTTCAAATTCCTTCGAGCATTCCACAATAATATTCAATGGCTGATCTTGATTAATGATTTCTTTGAAACTTTCATATGTGGAACTATTCTCCAATACATTGCTTCCAATGAAAATATTTCGCATATTAAACATGTCCTCAAACTTATCATTGAGACAATTCCTGATGTTGGTAAGAAATATTTTTGGTGCATTTGTTGTGACAATAGTCAGTTGGTGTTCTAACAGCAGATTCAAGTTGCTTGGTTTTATCAATTCAACATTTAAATCGTCGATCTTATTTAAAAGCCCTGCAATCTTATTGAATTTTTTAACTTGTTTTCGTTTTTTCAAATTAAATCGTTCCAATTCTGAGAACACGAAAAGATCAAAGAATGCAAACAATGGTTTAAACATCTCCTCCAATTCCTTAATTTTTTCCTCGTTATCATCAAACTGTACCAGGATCTGTATGGACCGTACAATTAATTCTGAATGCCAATCTCTTTTTCCATAAAGACTGTAAACTGATGAAATTATTCCATCGCATTTATCGAAGTCTTCTTGGTTATTGCTTCCATTCTCTGCATTTTTGTTCTTTGAATCATCTAAAATTGATTCAACTTCAGCAACAACTTCATCAAATTTATCTTTAGCATATTTATCGTATCCATAGTAAGGATTATCGTTATTTTCAAAGACCAATCGCATCACACAATGACAAATTTCATGAGCTATGACTCCTTTGATCCTTTGATCGTGACTCTTTTCTCCGGTGGATTTGGCTCCGATAAAGATCCATTTGCTGAATGGATACGTTGATCCATGGGTATATGAGGACGATGAGGGTCCAGCACTTAGAGTCTGAATTATTTTAAAAAGTTTAAAGTTAGTATCGCATGACGGGAGCGTTTAAAATGATAAGGACAGCAGATTATTCATATAAAGATATTGCTTAAATGAAAAAAACAATTGGCAAAAGTCCTCGTGTTATATATCGAAGGACTTCAGCGCAACTTTGGGTTAGCGATCAGTATTTGATTATCTAATTATTTTGCGTTCATTTACAGAAAAGCTTTATTATTTAACGATCTTTTGAAATTCAAACTTTGTAACGTTCAAAATATATTTGAAATTATCCCACTTGAAGTTGGCTACATTATTTACATTGTTTTGAAATCGAAAAAATCATTAATTATAGTATTTCCCGATGGTTTTGAGATTTTTAACTATTCGTCGCCGGAATAACTCGATTGAACACAGCTAACGCAAAAAACTAGAACTCTCTACGATGTCTAGATCAAAAGTTTTTGCAGGCAGCCGAGCAAACGAACAAAGCGTCTTATTAAGCTACCTTTTCGAAACAAGTTTCAAAAATGCGCTAAAAAACACAGTGCGGTCTAATGGACGATTTATAGATTCTTAACTTAGAATCAACAGATGAATGAGATTTCCTCACCAGCAAGCAGTATAGACTTGAAAGTCAAGATGTACTAGCTTTGTCTATACACGAGTCGATGTGATCCTAAGCACGATAGAAGCGATACAAGACGGAAGTCATCAATAGATCTAGTCTGTTTATCTTTGGAAATTGGGATGATTTAGGCAACTTTCCAATCTTTCGGAAAATAACAACTAAACATGAATTATGGGAGAGAATAATTCCCATGGTGGGAAAGAACTGAGGCTTGTCTCCTTAAATGATCTGCTGGATTTACACATACATACATCGCTGGCTTTACAGATCAATTGTGATCCATAGCCTCCCTTAGTTTGCGTCTGAAAAAGACTCTGTCGTTGGCTCCTCTCTGCCAATCTCCAATACCAAATGCTATGCTATCTCTGTCAACAGTTTCCTTCCAGGAATTCTTTGGTCGTCCACGCATTCTCTTTCCGTCTACAAAATGAGACTTAAAGATTTTGTTAATTGGAGCTTCTTCAGGTCTCCTGATAATATGACCAGCCCAACGTAGTCTGTTGACCTTGATCCGCTTCACAATATCAGTTTTCTTGAATAACTGATATAGTTCTGCGTTGCTCCTGCTCTTAAAAAAGTCTCCTTCCTTTTTTGGTCCAAGTATTGTTCTCAAAACCTTCCTCTCGAAGACGCCAATTTCTAACTCATCGTTCGAAGTCATGTTCCATGACTCTGAACCATACATCACTACAGGTCTAATTAGTGTCATACATTTCAAATTTGGCTCGTCTTAAGATTCTTTTGGAAGCAAGTAAGTGTCGGATTGAAAAATATGCACGTTGACCAGACAAGATCCTTCGCTTTATCTCCAATGTAGTGTCATGATTGTTGCTGATAATAGATCCAAGATAGACAAAGTCATTGACTACCTCGAACTTCTTATCGCCAATCGACAGATGTGTGCCGACAAGATTTCTAGTCCTTTCCGATGTAGCGACCATAAGGAACTTAGTTTTGTCCACGTTTACCTGAAGCCCGATCTTATTAGCTTCCCTTTCCATTTTGGAGTAAGCGTCGGTTACGGACCTGATGTTTCTTCCAACAATGTCCACATCATCAGCAAAACCAAGCAACTGGATTGATTTTGTAAAGATTGTTCCATTTCGTTCCAGTCGAGCTCTTCTGAATACACCTTCAAGCGCGAAGTTAAAGAGTTTAGTCGTCAGCTCATCACCTTGTCTCAGTCCAGTTCTGCATTCAAACAAACTGGATGTTGAGTCCTGGACCTTCACACAGCACATGACTTTCGACAGTGTTACTTTAAGCAACCTGATTAACATGTGCGGAAAGTGAAACTCTGCCATGATGTTCCATAGCCCTTCCCGATCAATTGAGTCGTACGCTGCACGAAAATCGATAAAGAGATGATGTGTCTCAACATTCATCTCATAGCTCTTCTGGACAATTTGTCTGATGCTAAACATTTGGTCTGATGTTGACCTTTGTCGTCTAAACCCTGCTTGATATTCACTCAAGAAGCTTTCTGCTAGAGGCTCTAGTCTCTAGGAAAGAACCTTTGAGAGTACTTTATATGCCGATGGAAGCAGAGAAATTCCACGGTAATTGGCGCATGTCATCTTACAACCCTTCTTATGAATTGGGCAAATGACTCCCACCATCCATTCTTCAGGCAACTTCTCTTCCACCCACATTCGCTCAATTAGCTGATGAAGCACTGTTACCAGCTCCTCACATTCAGTCTTAAATAGCTCAGCTGGTAAGCCATCCAAGCCTGGCGCCTTGTTGTTCTTAAGACCACTAATAGCTGTTGCTACCTCGTCCAATGATGGAGACTCACATATTTTGTCATCATTACTCTCGTAGGGATGCCTGACTTGAGAAACAGATACATCAGTTTCATTATTGAGGAGATCATTGAAGTGCTCTTTCCATCGATCCAAGACTCCATTTCTGTCACACACTAGACTTCCATCCTTTCTTTTGCATACAGAAACTCTCGCAAGGAAAGATTTCTTTGCATTATTGATGGCTTTGTATAACTTCCTGGACTCATTCATGCTGTGTGCTTCTTGTACATCAGATATCACTTTGAGATCGTGAGCTCTTTTCTTCCTTTGGAGCACTCTCTTCTTCTCCTTCTGAAACTTTATTATCTCTTCTGCCTTTCCCCTCGTAATTCTTCCCTTTCTTGCATCGATGACCCGCTGGACAGCTTCCTCACATTCCTTGTCAAACCAGACATTTCTTGTAGGCTGTTTGATGCCAAGACACTTCTCAGCACTTGCCTGCATTGCTTCACAGCATTGTGGCCATGAGGATCCTTCAAGACTATCCAAGCGTTCCTTAAGGTCACAGTTAAACGCTTTCTTGAAATCCTTGTTGATGAGTTTAGCAACATCATAGCGCTTACATCTCACGCCTCTCTCCTTATTGATATTGCTAATGCGGGCTCTGATTCTAGCACCCAACAACAAGTGGTCAATAAAGTGATGCTCAATGTCCGTCTCTAGGCATCTGTAGCTTCTCACGTCCATAACATCCGATGCATGCCTTCTATCAATCAATAGGTGGTCAATTTGTGTGCTGGTTCTGCTTCCTGGGGACATCCATGTTGCTTTGTGGATATCTTAGTGCCTAAAGCATGTTGAGCTAATCACCATATTAAGAGATGTGGCAAAGTTGATTAGCCTCAATCCATTCTCATTCGATTCACTATGTAGACTAAATCCTCCAATAGTTGGCTTGAAGGATTTCTCCCTTCCTACCTGTGCATTAAGATCACCAATTATGATCTTGATGTCGTTGTGCGGGCACTCATCATACGCTTTTTCAAGCTTGCGGTAGAACTTGTCTTTCTCTTCATCAGGTCTTTCGTTGTGTGGGGTATAAACATTGATAATATTGTAATTAAAGAATTTGCCTCTCACCCGCAGCACACAAATCCTTTCGTTGATTGGTTTCCAATCAATCACATGTCTAGCCCATTTAGGATCCACAATATAGCCTGTTCCATACTTTCCATTCGTTGCGCCACTCAAAAATACAGTGAATCTTTGGCATTCAAAGACATGTTGTCCGGTCCATTTCGTTTCTTGTATTGCTGTTATATTGCACTTGTAATGCCTGAGCTCAAGCACTAATGCTGACAACTCTCCCGGTCCTGCAAGCGTTCGCACATTCCAACTGTTGAGCTGTAAATCGTTTATCCGTTTTCGCTTAGCTGAGGTCGTCGTTGATAAGTCCAGTCCAGATTGCTTTTCTTTGGGTCTCTTAGCTTGAATTTGAGGTTGGTACTTGATGTGGTTAGGCTAAGTGCAACTCAGAGCTGCATAAGTTCCGCATTCCACACCTTTAGGAGACTCACATATGGTTGTGTTGTATGGTGGCACAGAGCTACTACAAATTTTAAAACAAAACTTAGTAAATTACAAAGAATGGCTGAATTTTGCATCACAAGTACAGCTAGAACAACATTTACAGCCGCACTTGACGCTGACCTCCTTTTCTAGAATTAGTAATTGAGGCGAGGGCTCAATGTACGGATATTAAGCTTGCATCCTGGGGATCATGGTTTGGCCGAAATCAATCTTTCGGTCTTGCAGGAACAAGGACGAAGGCGAAGCCTCAAAGATGATGATATATCTATTAATCTTAGACTTAAGTCTGAAGAAGTGTTTAACGTTGAGCGTGATGGAATTTGTGCAGAAGAAGTAATCGACGTTGAGCGTGATGGAATTTGTGCAGAAGAAGTAATCGATCCACCTTAACTACGTATTGACACGGAGCCACATAGCATCAAGGAGATAACAGAAGCAGTTAAGCGACTTAAGAATTTCAAAGCAGTGGGCAACGATAGTATTCCAGCTGAGGTCCTAAAAACGGATGCCGATAGAATGGCAATCAGCGATTTATCTCGTTTTCGTTGGCTACGAGAAAGCATTTGACTTAATCAACCGAGAGTGTATCTCGACGGAATTTCGGAATCTTGGAGTCCTGGATAAGCTCACATGGCTAATAAGTGAGGCATACAATGGATTTAGATGCAAGGTTCTGCATGAAGGTGTACAGTCGGAGTCATTCTTTTCCCTCACAGGAGTCAGGCAAGGAAACTTGCTGTCTTCATTATTATTTCTTTTCATCATGGACAAGGTCATGCGTCCGGCTACAAAGAACAAGCCGAGAAGGATAACATGGACGCGGTTAGAGAACCTTTCCTATGCAGATGACGCATTTATGCACGCGTCTACACACACACCAGGACATGCAGGCAAAGCTAAATGACCTCGAATCGGCGAAGGTCGGAGTAGTTATTCACCTCAAGAAGACCGAGGAGATTCGAGTGAACGCCAAGAACAACAGATCATTGCACATTGGCAACGAAACCACCAATCGTGTTGACCAAATCACTGATGTGACATCACGTATCTTGGTAGCAATATATCAGCAGATGGAAGTGCACTGAAAGTGATATAGACGTAAACATGCAGATACAGAAGGCAAGAGGAGCTTTTTCAAAGCTTTCAAATGTCTGGAAATCCACCAGCATAGATAAACAGCAAAAGATGAAAATCTTTAACGAGTGCGTCAAATCAGTGCAAATCAGTGCTGTGAAACATGGCTTGTCACCAACGAATCCTGATGATTGGTCATCGAATGAAAAACTTCTAGAGAAAGCAGGTCAACAAGACATCAACAAGGAGATACAGATGAGGAAGTACGGCTGGATTGGACATACACTTCGTAAGAAAAATGCCAGAGAGAATGTCATTCCTGGGACAGAAACACAAGTTTGTTACACCGCCCTTGGTTGGAATCCGCAAGGGAAAAGGCGTCCAGGTGCTCCAAAAGCTACTTGGAGCAGAACAGTGATGAAGAATTTGTCAGCTTATTATGCAGACAAAAAAACTGTACAAACTAAGCTACAGAGCCAGCAACAGAGTCAGATGGAAGTTCTTTTGTTGTAACCTAAGCTCCACATACATAGGAACAGTAAGCAAGTAAATGATCACTGTTGAAATTAAGCTTAAATTCCTTGAATTGAGTTGACTAGTACAAATAGAATGGGATTGAGATTCGAATAGAGGGCAGCATTCCTTAAAGAATATTTTCGAATATGAAAAATTGAAGAAAGCTCCATGTGCCGAGTGAATCCATTTGCGAACCTCCATGCTGACATCCGCTAAGGTATTAATAAATGATTCAAGGCTATCAGAAGCTTTGTTCTCATTAACCTGCAGTTCCAGGCGGCTAGTTTCACATTCCAGCTTAAAGTACGCATCCGTTAAAGACCATAGGTAGCGTCCTGTTAGTTCCAATTGTGATTTCGTCCACACTCCTTCCAGCGCAATGTTGAAGCGTTTCGTCGACAGCTCATCTTCTTGAATAAGTCTAGTTAAAGACTCTCTGAACCTTGACATAACTCTGGGTTCTCAAAAATGTTGCTCTCAGTAGACGAATCTTGTTGGCGTTCTTTAAAACATCCCACTTGACGATGATTCTATCGATATGCTTATGTGAATGATTAAGCATTTGCACATTGACTGATTTGTCAAAATTGTATTAAAATATTTAGTTTTATGATATTTAATTTCTGTAGCCATTCAAATATGTCATTTATTTATGTACAGATATAATAAAATTTCTGAGTAATAGCCCAAGTGGGAAGAAGAAGCAAAAATTCTTTTTTGCTTCAAAAGGTCCCCGGTTCAAATCTCTCAAAGTAAAAACGTACGAGCATAAGAGTGCATTACGCAATATCTTTACATAAGCTACTGTGTTTCTGTTTATATACTGATGAATATATTGAGAGCTTAATTTATATTAGCTAAGTATGAATTGAATAAAACACTTCATTTGTGTAGATGCTATGTTATTGAATCTTAAGCTGTAGATCAAAAAGACTGATTTTAAAGCAAAAATAAAATTTCAAAAATATTGAAGCTAAAATTAAGGAAGAAATAGACAAAATGCGCACGATAGATTCTTTTCTTATTAAGAAAATGTGCTTAAAAAATTACAGAAGTCCTCGTGTTATTGATCGAGAGACTTAAGCGCATTTTTGTGTTAGCGATCAGTATTTGATTATCTAATTATTTTGCGTTCATTTACAGATCATGAAAAGATCACAAGATTATTAATTTTAGTGTAATTAACAAATAATTACAATGAATGTCCAAACAGACAGTCTTTATCATTTAACGGTTTTTGGAATTCAAATTTTTACCAGTTAAAAAAAATCGAATTTCTGAACACACCCTAATTACAATTTTTAAAGTGGTATAACATAATTTAAAATTTAAATTTCTGAACGCACCCATCACGTGTTTTTCATATGAAACAAATAAATCATTAATTAAAGTATAAATACACTGTTTTAGGACTTTTAACTGTTTAGCCGGCCAATAACTCGATAGAACTGAGCTAATAAAACAAACCCAAGCTCTCTACGATGTCTGGTTAAAAAGTTTTTCTAAACCCGAACAGACGAACAAAGTGTATTATTAAGCTACCCATTAGAAATAAGATTCAAAAATGCGTTAAAAAGTGTGTAAAACGTGATAAAATTAACAAAAAAAAAAAAAAAAAAACTCACCAAATCACACTCAAAGTCAAAAATCATCTTAATATTGTTACATTGAGCTGCAGCATCAAGTAGTTTAGAACCATATCTAGTTTTATAAATGTCCTCTAACCATTCTTTGATTTTTGAACGCTGCTCGGCTTCGTTGCTTTTGTCGAAATGATAAAGTTGTGATCTTTTTATCAGGATTAACACTGAGTTAAAATTATTATTCTTGGATATGTCTACGATTTTGTCTCTTCGTCTGCCGGCAACTCTCTCAGTTTCCTCTTTTTTGGTAGCATCATTTGAACCATCTTCGATTTGAATATCACGAAAACTTAATGATATAAGTAAAGTAAATGCCAGATACTTTTTGAGGTCCAAAGCATAACTTAAAGCTGATTTATTATCCAAATTATTTGCAAATTTTAAATTTGGATATTTTTTTGCAAAGTTTTCAATTTGTTCCTTATTTTCAGCGTTAATATGCTCAAAAAATATTTGTCGATCATCAATAATTGCTTGAAGTCTTGTGTTATATTTTCCGATGTTTATATTACAAGGAAATGGAAAATCAGCTAATTCCAATAAATCACACAATTCATTAATCTTGTTTGTGCCAAAAGTTGATGAAGATATGGCAAGTTTATGCTCAAATGGAAGCTGTTGAATATAAGTTGAGCATTCTTTGATCAAAAAGTTAATTATTGGCTTATTTAAATGCTCAATTGCTGTCATAAGAACTGATGTTGAGTTAAATTCACAACTTAAATACCATTTTAAATTATTCCCAAAAATGTTTCCTTCATCGTCAAGATATCCATCAGCTATAGCCAAAAAGTCAGATTTTGAACCCTCAGCTGCACACTTTAGGACCAGACTGTCTATAAATTCTTCAGGAAGCTCTAAAGTTCTGATAAATTTTGGAATTAGTGAACTTTTTTGGATGTCTTTAAAACTTTTGTCCTTTAAACTTTGCAAATTTTCAGTTTTATTTAAATTAAATCTAAAGAATGATGAAAAACTGTCTTCAAAATCACTGGACTCAATTTCACAAAAATCCACATTTTCTAGTTCTTTGTAGTAAATTTTTGTTCTATTCTTAGTTTTAGATGTCAACTGAATAATTATTGATCGGTTATTATGAAAATTGATTAAAAGGTCTTTCAAAATGTTGATAAAATACGAAATGTCTTTGTTTTGTGTTGAATCGATAATAAAAATAAATGCATTCGGGTAATCTTTAGGATTTAAGTTCATAAAACTAAACCAAATGTCATCAAAATTCAAAGTTTGTGAAAATTTTAAGATTTTGCCAGTTTTTCTCGTTTCATAGTCGATGCTCTTGTAATTGTCCTTTGTTAATGTAATGACAAACTCTTGATTCACTGGTGTTGTATGTTCACTCAAAATGTCAAAATTTTGTGACATTTTCAATGTTTAATTATCATTACTTATTTAAGATAACAATAAACTGATCAAAGTTGTATAGCGTTTATAATGTCAATGTGTTAATGTTGAGCGTTAAAAATTCTGTAAATAAATTTAAATATCATTTAATAAAAAATTTTGTGTAAAGTTCAAGCTATGAATTAAAATATTGTTTTCTCGTTTTCTCGGTCTCGACTAACTCTCGAGACCAAGACCGAGACTTTCCCGGGAAGTCTCGGTCTCGACTTCGGAATCGGGAAAGCATTATTCAAATCACGGTTCTGTTAATTGTCATTAAATTTTGAATTTGAATTTCATCAACTATACAGTTGGCAAACATACGAGTGGGCTAAAGTATCAGTGGGCAAATGTTTCAATGGGCAAAAGTATCAGTGGACAAAAGTCAGTGAGCAAATGAACATTAATGGAGAAAAACGTCCACTTGAAAAATGTTCATTTCGAAATCAAATTTGTTTGACCGATTTTTACAAAACATGCATTTTTTTAAAAAAATATATTTTCCACATTAAAATCACAAAGTTTTAATATTTTAATTCAATTCACTTAATTGTGGTTTTTCTCGTACCATTTTGTGCGATTCGAAATCGACAAACTCGATTTCGGATCATCCACTTCAGTTCTTTGGAAATATCTCCAGATGCTTAAGGTTATTAAGAGATCTAATGTGTGATCTAGTTAAAGTACTTTGCTACTTAAATTAACATATACTTAGAATTTTTATATCTTCATTAGCTTGAGAATTAAAGCAAAAATCGAAGTTAATCTACTAGATTTGGCTAGACAATTGCATAATTAATACTTCTTAACGAAAAGCAAAAGTTTAAAGAATACAGATATTCCAGGCATACTTCACTCTATTAAAATCCAAAATTATATTTGATCAATTAGGATTGTCTGAAAAGGATATAAACTATTTCCAAAAAATCATCGATGGTTGTGAGAAACATTCCAATCCAGCAACGAGCAATCGGATAAAATTCTATCAAGGAGTACAAAATATTAAGATTCTTCGGGATTTTAAAAATAGGGTAAAGCATGGGAAGGGTTCAATTTTGAGCTGCTGGCATTGTGATTCAAATTGTAAAGAATCTATTGTATCACACCGTTTAGAACAACGTTTTATAGTGGAATCTGAACCACTTGAAAGCTCTGCACATTGCAAAGACACGAGTTTGTCATAAGACCTGATGTACCCTGCAATGCATCCTGTCATAATTTGTGTGCGTAAGATGCCGTAAGGAAGTCATCTAGATGCTAGAATGTCCTAGTATACTTAGCAAAAGAGATACTTTATGTGCCGAAGACCTCAAAACTACACACGAACCGAACTTCGTAACTAGAATGGTGAAATGGAAAAAGAGCTTCACAAGCTTGACTTGACTGGGCTGGGATTGAACCCAGAACCTTTTACACGTAAGGCCAACGTTCTACAATGACTGATATATCATCATTGCTAAGATCAATTTTAGGTTAATACTCTATTATGCAGCCATGGTCCATAATTACGACAAACCCCTCCCCGCATTTTTCATTTGGTTTGTTTAAAGCCCACAACAGTAAAATGTGCTTTTGTACAGCAGAAAAGAAGTTTCAAGCCCCGCGCACAAAAACGTGGAAAATTTTTCATTAAATTAATTAAAGTGTCCAAGTCGTTATTAGTTGAGAAAAACTCTTTATTAAGTGCCAAGGGTTGTGTTTTCCTCAAGGACAATGAGGAAAGCCAAAAGAAAGCAAGATTTGTCGCCAAAAATTGATTTGAACGAAAGTTTAATTAAATCTAATGAAAATTCCAAGAAGAGGAAGCAATCGCCTCAGAAAGAGGAATCATCGGTTCCAGTCACAACAACAACTTCAGTCAAGCCAATATTTGTGCAATGCAATCTCAAGGATGTGAGAAAATTAATTTCACTATTGAAATTGCAGGTTATGCCTGCATATAAAATTTCATCATCAAATACAACTCAAGTAATTGTCAAGTCTATTGAGGATAAGGCCTCAATTATAAACCTTCTGCGGTCTCAAACTATTCAATTCCACACCTTCTCCGAGAAATCGGAGAAAACAAAGTCATTCGTTCTGAAAGGATTTTACGAAACACCAACGAATGAAGTACTAAGATTACTTCAAGAAGCCAAGGTTTCAGCTGTCAAAGTGACAATTCTCGTCAAAAAGCCCGAGTTCACCTTTTATCTTGTGCATTTTCAAGATGAAAGTGTGAACATCAACGTGCTCGATCATAACCACCGTAACATCGACAACATCATCGTCAAGTGGGAGAACATCAAGAAGGGCAACAAAAGCCCAACGCAGTGCTTCAACTGCCAACGTTGGGGTCACTCATCTCAAAATTATGGATATAAGTTCCGATGCGTCAAGTGCACGGAAGTTCACGGACCAAATCAATGTCAACGATCCACTCGTGATGGAAATGCCAAGTGCATTAATTGCAATGGCGATCATGCTGCCAGTTATAGACTGTGCCCATCGTTCATTTCGTATTCCAAAAGAATCGAAAAGTCAAGAGCCAAACCACAACTCAAAATGCTGCCACAGATATCAAGTCTTTTGGACAGTAACAATTTTCCATCGTTAAGCAAACGACATCAAGTTTCTGCTCATTCACATCCAGTGAATGCTGCAAGTAACTCATCAGCAACATTTAAAGAAGAGATTAATCAGCAACAACTGATCAATAATATCAGTAATGCCTTTTCAAGAAATTCACAGAAGCTCAAGAACGTCTAAAGAGAATCCCCAACATTGAAGAAGCAATAAATCAGTTCTGCAGTTTCGTAGACGAAGTCGGAAAGATCCCAAAGGATGCACCTCAAGGAACTGCATTTAAACTCATGGTGAAGTATGGCTTCATGAGCTGCCCACCAGCACCGAACAAGCCAGTTCAAAAATAATTTATTAACGTAGTTCATAAGCTTAAAAAAAAGCTTTTTTTTTTTTTTTTTTTTTCTCGCTCGGCAACTTTTTTTAAACTTTTTATGCCACATTTTCATGATATATGTAAATCTCATTCATCAAAATTAATAATTAATCAAGATATAGTTGAATTAAAGCCATATTCAGGCTGGTGTCAAAATAAGACTCAAAGAAATGTAACTTAAACTACAATAATTCCAAATTTGAAATAAAGAAAGATTCGTATTTGTACAGCATTTATATGAACAGATCTTACATTTTGATATGTATAGCAGTTCCCGAGATAAAGCCACTTGAAAAAATGATAAAAGAAATTTGGCCTTGTTTGAGACAAATACAAAATTTAATTTATTTGTTTAAGTTCCACGTCTACTTACCACTATTGACGCTTATTTTTAACCCTATTCACTCAACTTCCTCTTTCAAAGTAATTTTATTTCACAATCAAAAACTTATAATCCACTATTTATGCGACTAAAATTATTTGACTTGATAACACGCATAAAAAATTTCCAAAGAACTGTATTTTTTCAGTGGATTTTTTTTTTTATGATGTCAAACAAAGTTATTGTCATCGACAAAAATTCTGAGGGCTGACAGCTTTGGCAGCCTGCTAGGGTTGAATAATATTAAAGATTTATTTTTTGCGCATTTTTGAAACTTGTTTCGAAAAGGTAGCTTAATAATACGATTTGTTCGGCTGGCTTGCTGTTCGGCTGCCTTCCAAAACTTTTGATATGCACATCGTAGAGAGTTCTAGTTTTTTGCATTAGCTCGGTTCTATCGAGTTATTGACGCATCGAACAGTTTTATAACTCAAAACCATAGTTAAATACTATAATTAATGATTCTATGATTTCAATACAATGTAGTCAACTTCAAGTGGGATAATTTCAAATATATTTTGACCGTTAAAAGGTTTGAATTTTAAAAAAAAACGTTAAATCGATAAACCCATTGCAATAAATTGTTAATGATCTAGATTCTAATGATCTGTAAATGAAAGAAAAATAATTAAATAATCAAATACTGAACGCTAACACAAAAATGCGCTTAAGTCCCTCGATCAATAACACGAGGACTTCTGTAATTTTTTTAAATTCCTCTTACTTTAGTTTTCAGTTTTTTGTTATGCACATGATTGATATTGGATTAGCCAATAAATTTAAATTTCTAAAATACGTTCATTTTTGAATCTCAAAAAACCGTTTTAAAGAATTTTTCATTTTTCAATGTGATTTTTTTCCAGCTCATATATTTTTTTATATCCAACTAGATCCTAGTTTTTTAGGATCCGGGCATGACTTATATCCAAACGGATCATGCTTTTAAGTTCCGGACTTGACTTAAACGCTACTGGATGTTGGTTTTAAATTTGGGCATGACATAAATATCACTGGATATTGGTTTTTAGTTCATTTTAGTTTAAATAAATCTAGTTTAATTAACGAGTTAATATCATGTTAGCATTACCTACAAATTTTAAATTTATCAAATCAAAAATCATAAGATAAAAATTTTATAATTTTAAAAAATTTAATAATTAAAGCTGCCAGCCTCCTGAAAAAAAAATATTTCATTTAAAATTAAATCACTGAGTTGGATTATTATTTCGGTTAAACACGGTATAACTTACGTTATCTCTTAATTTATTTTTCAATAACGTGGCAAGGGTCTTTTTACATATTTTGTAACAACTAATTTTTTTTGAAATAATCCATAATTTATTGAATTAACTGTTTAAATAATTAAAATTTTGCTTTACCATAATTTTAATTTTTAAAAAGTTTTCTTCAGAAAAAATTTAAAAGTTTTTAAAATAAAGTTTTAAAAATCTTAATTAATAAAAAAAAATATTGAACTTTTTTTTAAGAGGTACAATTAAGTTTACTTTTAAGTTTTTTTAAATTAACTTAAAACGAAGATTTTCAACAGTAAATAATAATGTTTCATAACACAGCTTTTAATTATTGTTACCTAAAGTGTGAATGAACCATTTTTGAAACTACGCACATTTTAGATTTTTTTTCTTTTGATTAATTCAATATAAAGTTTAGTTTGATAGGGGTAAGGATTATATTGTTAAGTTTTATTAAATTAAAAATTGAAAAACAAATATTTATAAATTTATTTTTACTTTATTCATCATTAAAATTATTAACAAGTTAAAAATAGTCTTTTTTGATTTATCTAATTTTTTTTTGAATTTTTAAATTGCAAAAAAACCCGAGTTGTTTATAAATTTTATATTATTCTAATAATGATTTCAATATCTAGTCAAAAAACTATATTTAAAGTTTTTAACTTTAATATCATTTAATTTCAATTCTCCGAAATTGCTTTCGTTTATGCCATTTTGTCGCATGACTCAGCAACTAAAAACGTGGTTACTAGAAATTTTTAATGGTTAAAAAGTTTTAGACTGAGTTTAAAAATTTGTAGTAAATCTTAAATGTTCTGAACTTCAAGTATTTTTAATTTCAGTGTATCTTTAAAGTAAAGTTAATTAAGACTTAAATCATAATCCAACGGAACTGTTTTGTATTTATTTGTGCTAGTGCATACCACAGACCGATTGAATTCTTAATATATAATATATTTAATATTAACGAAAAAATCACCCCCCCCAAAAGGAGGAACCAAGTCATCACAGTAAAATGATTACAGATATTAATATCTAATGTAATACAAAATGTAATGCAAAAATATGTCAACTTGTTCATTCACTAAAATGTTTGAAAAATAACGGTTAAAAAATATTTTAACGGAAATGTCAAAACAAAAGTCAAATCAACTTTTACATGGGTTTCCAACCCTTGGAATCATAAATGGCTTCGGTTTTTCATATTAAAAAACAGCAGCTGAACCTTTATGTTAAATTTCAGCTCAAGTTGACAAAAGATGCAAAAGTTACGACAAAAATGTTTAATTTGTATGAAAAATGTATGAAAAAATAATGAAATTCCGTAAAAAAGTCGGAAAATGCATAGAAAAATTTGAAAATAGAAAATTTCACCATGAAACATCATTTTCTATTAAACTAGTATAGAAGTCGCCGTTACAGATGAAAACGGAAGAACTAAGCGCATTTTCCTCGCATGGATCAGTAAAACAAAACAGATAATCGGATTCATAAAAAAATATAAAAATTTCATGTAACGATTTTTGAGATTCAAAAATCAACGGTTTTTTGAAATTTGAATTCATTGGCTAATCCAATATCAATTATGTGAACCACCAAAAACAGAAAAATTAATTTAATTAAAAAACTAAGATGAATTAAGAAAAACAAATATGCGATCGTCCGCAATATCATATGGCAGCTATCGAATGCAAAAAACTAGAAGTCTCCAAGTGCTTCCAGTTCTGAGAAAAAGCTTGTAGATGAGAAGTTTGTTTCGTACGTCGAGTTGTGAGTTCCTGCTGATGAGCGGATAAAGCTGTCTTAATGCGGTGTGAGCCCTATTTGTCACATACTCCACATGCGGCTTTAATGTCACTCTCTTGTCGATCACCATTCCCAGATATTTAGCTTCTGTTTCCCATTTGATGTTTTCGTTGAGAAATTTGATGTTATTTCCTGGTAGTTGCCTGGAGTGCCTGTTTGTGATGAATAAGGCTTGAGTCTTCTGTTTGTTGAGGTTGATCTTCCATTTGTTCATGTATTGTTGAACTTTTCTTCCTGTGTGCTGTAGATGTGTCACAATATCGGCCGAGTTCTCTGCAGAATGATACAGTGCTGTATCATCTGCGAAAAGACCGATGTTGTTGGTTGTCTCTCTAACAAGATCATACGTGAAGATGTTGTAGAGAGTTGGTGAAAGCACTGCTCCTTGTGGCACTCCGAATTTGATTACCTTGATTTCTGAGAACTGACCTTTAATAAAAACTGCGAAAGATCTTTTGCTGCGAAAGACAGTTTTTATAAGTGGCAGTGGAAATCTCAGTTTGAGCATTTTGTACAAGAGTCCGTTATGCCAGACTCTGTCAAATGCTTTTTCTACATCCAGGAAGATCATGCCTGTTGACTTTTTGTTGTTTAAGTTTTCTTTTGCTTTTTTGATCACGTTGATTAGTTGATTCGAAGTTGATCTTTTTCATATTTACACTTGAGTTCCTCGCTTCCATGATGAGTCTTAAATTACATTGGAAACAAAATTGGAACTAAATTATCCGAGGAAGGAACAAAAATTATTGAAGGAAAAATTTTATACTCGTATAAGAATTATTGTGCCGAATATTCAAAATCGCACAGAACCAAAAATGTGATCGAAGAAAAATTCGCAAAAAGATTGAACGATTCAGGCATTGAAATCAAACAAGAGTGGCTTACTTTTGGTGATAGCGATTGTGACGAGCCATCTTTTGGCGAATCTTCTACATCAAAAAGAGGAATAAAAAAAAAAAGGATCCTAAAGATTATCACAGAGTTTCACGAGAAACCATGGCGCATGAATTTGCTACAAAATGCACTTCCAATTGCATTAACTCTTTGCAAAATAATCGCAGCAAAACAAAACAAGGATAAATTGAAAAATTTATTCTCTACTGTTCTTAAAAATCTAGATGAAATTGACAATTTCGTCCTTTTAAAAAAAAAAGAAATTTCAAAACCAAAAATGATGTCACCAATTGAAGCGTTTGGTTGGATGCTTGATTATTCCTACTCCAGAAGCAAATACATCGAAACAAGAACTGAAATGATTGAAAGAGATGCCAACATTTTTCCTCCATACAATCAAATAATTGAAGTAAAAGCAGAATGTAGACGAGACAACATAAATGTTACTGAAACAAAAGCTGAAACATCAATCTAATCATTGGCAACCCATACTGTAACAAGAATTGTGGAATTAACTAAAGATAAGATAAAGGAAATAATAGATCACAACCAAGGAAAAGAAATTGAACTAAACATGGTCTTTGCTTACGGAGGAGATGGGTCATCCGGACAGGCAGAATTCAATCAAAATTCTGCAAGTGGAGAAGTTATTGATGAAAATCAGAAACAAAAAGTGTGGAAAGTTTCAGCACCACAATCATGTAGATTCAACAGAAATGAATTAAATATTCATGGAATAGAAATCAAAGTTAATTGCACATTTTATGAGATATTGATAGATAGGAAAATTTTGAATTTTTTGACGGGTACAGGCACAAAATCTTGCGGTTTGTGTAAAAAGACCCAAAAAGATTTTAAGAATATTGATTTCTTGAACAATAAGAAATTCAAACCAGTTGAAGATTTCTTATTACATGGGTTGTGTCCATTACATGCAATTATATGTGCATTATTTTTAATTAAAATCGGATCTCAAAAAATTATTGGACAACAAAGACAACAAAGAAAAAGAAATTATTCAAAAACTTCAGAAAGAATTTGGAATAAGATGTTACAAACCAAAGGCAGGAGGTGCTGGTAATTCAACAACTGGGAAAGCTTGTAGAAAAGCTTTTAACAGTCCAAAAACGTTTGCCAAAATACTTGACTTGGATGAATAAATAGTTGAAAATTTCAGCATAGTTCTTGCAGTTTTAAATGCTCATGAAGAAATCGACCACGACAAATTTAAAAAACTTTGTGACGAAACGTATAAGATGATTTTAACTAAATACGACTGGATTGAAATGAACCCAACAGCACATAAAATATTGGCACATTCGGAAGACGTAATAATGGTTCTACCTTTGCCTCCAGGTTACTTCAGCGAAGAAGGTGCAGAACGACGAAATCAGGATTATAAAAATTTCAGGCTGTTGCACGCAAGAAAGTTTTCAAGGAAAGTCAATCTTGAAGATGTATTTACTCGAGCATTGGATTCATCAGATCCAATTTTATCATCAGCAAGAGCAAATTTAAGACGGAACAAAAGAAAAACTCTCCCACTGAGACCAGAAGTTCAACAATTCTTGATTTAAAAAAAAAAAAAAAAAACCTTTACCTATTCAGATCAATTGTGATCCAGAGGTGCGCTAGGGCGATTCGCAGCTAATGAGAGTTTAACGAGTGAGGATGCGCCAAACCACTGCACTCAAACCTAGACCTACAATTTATAGTGGAATCCGAACCACTCCTTTGATGACATTTCTGTCTGTAGCCTACAAAGGAAGGCTGTGAGCCTCATTTCCAGTACATATGATTCGAAAAAGAACAAGTGAAAAATTTCCCATACCCAGTCTCGAACCCATGATCGCTGTGTCGGTATTGCAATAATTAGGTACCGAAGTACTAAACCATTCCGCCACCGAGCCACTTCAGCTCACACAATTCTTGATTTATGGAAATGATATAGCTACAGACTCAAAAGAAGAGCACAAAATTAATTTTGCTGACAATTTCGCACAGTTATTGGATGTATATAACTTCACCTTTTAATCACACGAGAAAAATTTTCAAAAAAAAAAACAAAGACTTTGTGTAATCAATTTTTAATAAAGTCGAGAATATTTAAATGCAACAAAATTTACAGAAAACCATGCTAAAGTTATATTAAAGTACTTTAGGACTAATTTGGAATACTTTTAGCATAAAAAAAATTTTTTAATTCGAAAAAGGGAAAAAAGTCTATTTCTAGTCATCTTCGGAGCGATTTTATGATGTGTTCCGGCAAGTGAATTTTTTTCTTATTGATCTTAGGTTGTAGTATAAAGTGAGAGCTTTAATACCCATAAATAAAATTTGGGAGCCGGACATCGATAGTGGTTCAAAATTGAGGACATAGGAGAAAATCTGCAAATTTTTAACTTCAAAGTCAATTTTTACTATTGAAATGACATTATATTGGGACATAATGTATGTAATGTTTGTAGTTATAAATGAGATCTACAATATGCTGTACTTTAAAAAAATTTAAGTGCTTAATATGGACATGAGGTCAAAAAAAGGATAAAAAACCTAGTTTTTTCGTACTTTTTTCAATTTTTAGGAACTATTATGGATGAAAAGTATATCATGTGGATATTCTTAAAAAAAGTCTAACTTGTATCTATCAATTAAAAAATTTGAAAACAAACGAATGAGTAAGTGAAGCACAACAGCATTTTGAAAATGGTATGAAATCTAAAAATTCAAACCCTCTTTTCTATAGTCAGCATATATCAGTCATATCAGCATATAAGCTGAATTTTTGACAAACTTTTCACTTTTGCGATCAATTTCTTCTGTGTTCCAATCATTTTGATTTTTTTGGCAGCTCTTGCCAGACACAATACAAATATTATAAGCCAAAAATCGCATCAAAAAAAGCTTAAGCTAGAGGAGGAGATAGCTGAGCAGACAGACAAACGTACGGACGGACAAAGTGTGGACAATAGCGTCATTTCTTGAAAAGAAAATTCGTTAAAAAATAACAATTTTTTTACTTTTCATTCTCCTTTATTTTTAGTTGAATTTATTTTTTTAAAAATAAAAAGAACAATAATCAGCATGTGGAAAAATCTAAATGAAGTTTCAACAATTAAAGCTTTAAATCGCTTACAATCAGCTTTAAAAAATACCGGATCAAACGAGAGTATAATGAAAATATATGTGAAAATATCTTCACAGTTTGATAACAATTTAAATGCCACAAGCTTTATAAATCATTTAAGAGCTGATAAACCAACGATAATCGTCTTTGAGTTTAACACAACGGACACCAAAATATTTTGGCGACAATCAGGCAAAGAGTTGTACGTTCTTAAAATACAAGATGATGTCAATGGAAATTTATCATTATTTTGCGCCAATTTTATCGCTGATGAAATCAAAAGTGGATATTCAGGTACGCAGCACCTCTCGCCTTTCTGAACCCCTTAAAAAAAACCACTGGGTTGGGCAATGGCAAGTTTAGTGATGGTGATTATCTCATCTGTCTGAATCCTTGGATTTATGGGGGATAGGAGGACTTAATAAATGTTGACTTAATAATATTTGACTGTCAATTTTTTTTTATAGGCATACTACCAGGATGGGATAAAAGTGTTAACATTGAAATTCGAAGCTTAGGAAACCAAAAGCATCAAAACATAATCATTAGAGCTGTTAAAGATGGCCAATCAGAAATTGTAAGCCTATTAGTTAAGCAAGCCATTGACATTGATTATAAAGATGAGGACAAGTTAAGTGCTATGGATCATGCATGGAAAGACTTCATAAACATTACAAATGATTCAGTTAAATATGCAGAATACAACAAAATAGTCTTATCACTTCTTAATGCTAACTCTAAATATCCAGAAGACAAAAGCTGTTTAACATTAAAATATTATTCAACTGAAATTAAAAAGTTTGTGGATGATCATCGAAAGCTGCACGACCAGTTAGAAAACCATGAAATAAAAGAAATGAAAAGTGAACTTTCTAATATGTCTGGTAATTTATGTCACTTTTATGACATCAACAATGTATCACTGATGAATCATGCTGTGCAGAATTACAACATTGAAGTCTACAAACTACTTTCATCACTTGGCATTACTTTAGGAAGTCATGAAGATCCAGATGAAGTTTTTATAAAAATAAAAAGTTTAAAAAAGGAAGAAAAAAGAAAAGAAATTACTTCTATAAATGAGAACAACGCACTAGACCTGCTCAACATTCACATAAACACGATCATATCAAAGGTAAAAGTCATCAATAATTGTGGAAATCAGCATCGTCACAGAACAAAGGACATCATGGATGCACTAATTCATATTGACAGCAATGAATCCTGTTCAAAGGTACTTAAAGTTATTGCAGCCTGCAAAAATTTAACTATTTATGTAGATTTTAAATATGAAGCTGTTAATTTCATTGACATAAGTTACTCTAAAGAAACATTAGGTCTAACAACTAAATTTGGAACCATAAAAATTGGTGCAAAATGCTTACTTGATGAGTCAAAAAAAAATAAATTCATGGGCGTATTAATTCATGAGTTTTGTCACTTAGCCTTTCTTATGACATTCTTGAATAACTTTAAACCATACGCAATTGGCGATGAAGATACAAAAAATCTCTTTGAAGATGCATTTAAAGAATGCTTTCAAAATCGACATATTGAGGTTCTAATTGATGTCGCTTTTGATTATGAAGAGTCCCACCAACACGATGAGGTAATTGTAAGTGTGCTGCATATGGTAATGGCTTACCATGCCATCCTTGAACCAGATGGAACCAGTAAAATTGACAAAATCAAAGGAACATTTAAAAAATTGTTTACTTACTTTGATGAAATTGTTGGACCGGCTTTAGATAATGTGTTGGATAGCCTGAAAATTTTACAAAATGGCGAGCTAGATATAACATATGAAGACTTGACGCAGTCACATAAAAATCGAATTAAACATAATATAATCGATTTTCAAGGTGCAGACACAACATTTTTTGACGTATTAGGTGAAGATGAGGAAATTTACAAACTCTTTACAAAAAAAGAACTTAGAGAATACTTGCTGACAGTTAAAACAACAACTTTTAAAGACATCGAAATAAAAACTAAATTTGCAAATATCGAAAGGCAGTTTATTGATGAGAATGCTACAAATCAGTGCGCTAGTGAAGGATTCTCAAGAATCAAAGAGGATCTAGAAGATCACAGTGTATTTTTACTAATTGATAGAGCTGGTGCTGGGAAAACAGAAGCTTTTATTGACTTATCAAAAAGGTTAAAAGATGAGCATAAGAATTTTTTGGTTCACGTAATTGACATGAAAAATGAGCATGTAAAAGTGACTTTCACAAAATGGACACTTAAAATTAATCATAACGATCAACATTTGGATACAGAAGCCATAGAGAAAATATTTTTGGACATTTTGAACCTAAAAAGCAAGTTCGAGAAGCAAATTTTCCATAAATTATTCAACATGAACAAAGTTATTTTTCTATTTGATGGCATCGACAAGTTGCAAGCTGATACAATTGATTTAGTCTTACAAATCATAATCCTATTAAGAGATAAAACACCTTACGTAGATGAGACAACAGTCTACAAACCTAAAGTCTTAATTTCATCATGTCCAACAACATTAATCAAAAGCAAACAGTTATGTCCGAAAATTTGTCAAAAATCATACAAGTTAATGCAATTTTCACCAAGTGAGAGGATTTCTTACATCTACGATTTCATAGCTAATAGAAATCAAAGTGAAAGGGTTGAGGAAATGGTTTGGTATGTTTGGTTTTTCAATCAGGTTGATAATGACAATAATCATCAATTTACTAATTTATCATTGATTAAAACATTGACGAAGCAACACATCAACCAAGATGTCAACTTAAATCCAAAACTCTGTAACCTGTTCTATATATTTAATGATTTGTATAAATTTGAAAATATAACCTTAAGATGCAACACATTTAGAAGTTTCAACTTGCATAAAATCCATCAAGTTTATGCATTGCCCGCATTAATTGGAAAAAATGAAAATTTTCTACTAGCAAAATCTTGGGATAAAGAAAAACGTCACTGGAAGTCACAAGAATTTGAAGAATACGGCTACTTGTATGTCAACATAGAGGATTCCGCTGAAACAAATAGTTCGGACTTTGTACATCCATCATGTGCTGAGTATTTTTTAACAGTTTTCCTATTCAATCGACTTTTTGCAGAAAATCATGAATTAAAAACAGCAGCTTTTAAAAGTGCTGTCGAATTCCTAAGGATAATTGGTAAGTCTGCAGAAAAATACAAAATAGTTCACAAATTGTTATTTTCTTATATTAAGATTAAAAATGATTTGACATTCTTTGAAGAAGCTAAAAATCAATTAATTGAAATTATTGATGACATTAGACAAGACATTTTAAGCGCTCCTAACTTGGTAGATTCATTAAAGTTCTGGTCTTTGTTGCTTAGTAAGGATACTGAGCTTTTACATAAATTATGGCTGCTTGATGAGGAAGAAAATTTGCTTAAAACTGTCATTATTCGTGATCATAAGAATGTTGTGAATTTTTTTGAAATTATAAAAATTGTAAGCAACTCTTTTGGGGATAATTGGCATCCAGCCTTGCTTAAAAATTTCGCGACTAATGAGAATCCAGTTAATGGACTTACAGCAAGTAATTGTGGAAGTTTTAATATAAATCTAAAAGTTTTCATTGAGTTTGTGTTTGAAAAGTTTGAAAATAAGGAAATTCAAGCTGTTTTAACTAAGTTTCTCACTAATTCGGATATTGTAAAGCATATTAATCTAGGCAATATTCAAACTTGTCTGACTAAATGTCGCGAAATTTTTAACGGCAAAGAAGAATTTTTTGTTTTAATTTTCTCAAAAATTCTTCACTTCACAAACGATTCAAACATTCTGCAATATTACGGGAATAATTTTGAAGATACTTTACAGAACAATAAGAAATCTATTGAGGATGTCCTTTTCTCAAAAATGTTTATCAGACCGCTCATAATGACCAGCATGTCACACAGCTGCGACACATTTCACGTCTTTAAAAATTTGTACATTAAATTTGATAAATCGAACACGAATGTTCAAAATTATTTTAATGAAAATGGAAACATCCTTAAAGTCTTCTTTTTGATGACAGAACATAACTATATGGATGTCATTGAATACCTTAAAAGCATTTTTGCCTCAAATCAGCAGAAACTCGTTAGTTGCATTAAAAATGTCGAAGATGAATTAAATGATTTGACCTACAATAAGAAAAGTTTAGAATACTTTTTTAAATTTTTGAGCGAGGTAATTTTGAGTGATTGTGACCAATACCAAGGCACACCGTTCAGTATCATCAAAACTAATTTAAATTCAAACGTTCATCATTTTGATTGTATTGCGAAACTTTTTGTAGTTTATAATAAATCGATGTTAAAACTTGAAAATTATTTAATTCAAAAATGCGAGTTTTCTAACACATTTCAAAATAAACATCTCGATTTTTCCGAAAACTCTAAAATGTGCTTTGAAATGTATGAAAAATTAAGTGAACCTGAGAATTTTGAATTATTCATCAAATTTGCATCAAAATTTTACATTGAAAACAAGATCGTATTTGATCAAATTGTAGTTGAAGCTTTAAAATCAAAAGATAAACAGTTTAAACTGAATTTAGAAAGAGTGAATGAACAAAACGATAAATACATGAACGAAATTGAAATTATTTGCAAACAAATTGAAAATTTATTATTTTGATGAAAATGTAATTACCTTTATTATTAATTTGTTTGTTTAAGTAAAATAAAAGAAAAAACTTATAAATAAAAAAACATTAAAATATAACCACGGTCGAAACAGGAGTTTTACGCTTTTTTTAAATTTTTACAAAATTTTTGAATCCCGATTACAGTTTTTACAACGGTAGAAAAAAATTCAAGTTTCTAAACGCATTCATCACGTGCTTTTTATATGAAATAAAAAAAAATCATCAATTAAAAGTATAAATACACTGTTTTAAGACTTTTAACTGTTCAGCCAGCCAATAACTTGATATAACTGAGATAATAAAACAAACCCGAGCTCTCTACGATGTCTGGTTAAAAAGTTTTTCTTGCCCCGAACAGACGAACAGACGAAACAAGTTTCAAAAATGCGCTAAAAACTAAAGATACAATTTTTCATTGATACAATTAACCTAATACATAAGATGACCAACCATCTGCTTCAGGGGCGTAGCCAGGGGGGGGCCATAGGGGGCCCGGGCCCCCCCTACGAAAATCTGATAATTGTTTTATTAAGTAATTATAGAGAAGAACCAATTAATGTAGAGGAAGTGGTGAAAGAAATGTCAAAATCAGCACGAAAAATTAAATTTAATGTATGAATAATGAATTAAATATTTAAACTTATGAAGAATGAATATAGATTTAAGGATACAAAATAACGGTTTTTTTGATTTTCGAAAATGGGCCCCCCCCCCTTAAAAATTTTCTAGCTACGCCTCTGATCTGCTTGACTTTTTTTACAGGAATGTCCTTTGTTTTGAAATTTGTCTTGTTTTTCAAAAAATAACATTACACAAATCGAGGATCCAAAATTAAAGTATTTGATAAACTTTATTAAATTGAAGATATTCTTTTTTTGTATGTAAATGAGCAAGTTAATTTAGTGTTCATAAATTGTTTATGACTAATTCTATTTTCAGACAGCTATTCCAAACAATTATTGGAAGTAATATTTCATCAGATTTGGAAAGTGCGTCATTTTCTTTGTCATTTTTCAGCCAAACCTCATGGAAATCACATCGAAAAATTCAAAATGTTAAAAATTTCATACCTAATTTTACTTCTAACAAGAGCTTTAGCCAACACAACGCTGATAAGTCAGTCGATTTGCGTTGCAATTGAGAAGTTTTACTCAATATACTCAAGAAATGTTGATATTATTGACTTTAATGGATCACAAAGTGAACTAATTGGTGAAATCTTACAAAATCTTAATAATTCAATGACTGTGACTGTCTACAAGATGAATAATTCAAGAAAGGTCATCGAAAGTCAGACAATCTTGTTATTTGATAAGTTTGACAGTCTGAACAATTTTAATATGCAAGATGCAATTGACATAAAATTCATAAATCCAATTAGGCTGCTCGTCTACTGCGTAAATTCATCGGAATTGGAAATTTCCAGTCTAAAAACTGACCTCGTTACTCCACCTTACTATTACTTCTTGATTATTGGAAATTCCTCTAAGATCAACCTTTGGACATTTGAGAATCAAAAGGATTTGCTAGTTTGCCATGAAAATCAAACTTTAGTCAAAATCAATGAGTTTTCATCCTCAAGTCTGACATGGAAGAATAACAAAATATTCCCAAACAAATACAAGAACTTTCATGGCTGCGTGATGAACATTGGATTGAATATTTTGGGAAGTTTGGACAGAGCAAATATTAATATTGATAAAGCAAGGATAAAAGTGACAAAAGGACTTAAAAACAGTTTATTGCTAATTATGGGCGAGCGATTGAACTTTATTCTGCACTCATTTGAATGCCTTGATCCTAAATGTTTAGATCAGATTGATGCCAATGAATACTTATATAATATTATGGTAACTCCAACAATTGATTCGTATGCTGTAAATAAAGGTTCAAACTACAAGTGGCAGATGGTGATGTTGAATGTTCAATGCACGTGAGTAATGTTGTATCCAATGCTTCACGTTACTTTAACCTGTGTGCCGAGGGGTCGAACCGTATGCTGTATGCGGTTTTGGTAATGGCTAACCAACAAAGGTGCCGTGGCAGAAAAAGTTTGTTCACCACTGCCTTATCCTATACTAAACCCTTTCGACTACCTTGCCATTTAACAAACCTTCCTTAATCATACATTATTCTCTTTTAGCCCACAGCTGCTTATCCCTCCAGGTGACCTGTATACATCAATTGAAAAGATGCTGCTGCCATTTGACACAGAAACATGGATTGGCTTACTTGCAGTCTTTGTATCAGGAACTGTCACAATTTCAATCATCAGTCAATTTCCAGCAAGGATTAGAGAAACTGTTTTTGGCAAAAATATCGGAATTCCGAATCTAAACTTTTTCCTAGCATTTTTCGGAGAGGCTCAAAAAAGATCACCAGATGGAACATTCGCAAGGATCATTTGGATCTTCTTCATCTTTTACTGTTTAGTCATTCGAACGTGTTATCAGGGAAAGTTGTTTGAATTTACAACAACAGCTGTCAGAAAGCCAGAACATAAGACACTCGATGATTTGAAAAACAGAAATTTTACACTTTATTTTATGGATGAAAAATATACGGATAAGACTATTGAGTTCGTTAATAATGGAATGGGGTAAGATGTGGACTGTTATAAATATTGTGCGCAACACTTATTTTTAATAAGACATAAACATTGTGCGCAGAATTAATTTTTTATGGCACAGAATCTTGTGCGCAGTATTAATTTTTTATGGCGCAGAATACTGAGCGCAGTAATAACCTTTAATAGTGCGCAGAATCTTGTGCGCAGCATTAATTTTTTATGGCACAGAATCTTGAGCGCAGCAATAACCTTCACTATTGTGCAGATCATTGTCGCAGAATAAATAATTTATGGTGCAGAATACTGAGCGCAGTAATAACCTTTAATAGTGCGCAGAATCTTGTGCGCAGCATTAATTTTTTATGGCACAGAATCTTGAGCGCAGCAATAACCTTCACTATTGTGCAGATCATTGTCGCAGAATAAATAATTTATGGTGCAGAATACTGAGCGCAGTAATAACCTTTAATAGTGCGCAGAATCTTGTGCGCAGCATTAATTTTTTATGGCACAGAATCTTGAGCGCAGCAATAACCTTCACTATTGTGCAGATCATTGTCGCAGAATAAATAATTTATGGTGCAGAATACTGAGCGCAGTAATAACCTTTAATAGTGCGCAGAATCTTGTGCGCAGCATTAATTTTTTATGGCACAGAATCTTGAGCGCAGCAATAACCTTCACTATTGTGCAGATCATTGTCGCAGAATAAATAATTTATGGTGCAGAATACTGAGCGCAGTAATAACCTTTAATAGTGCGCAGAATCTTGTGCGCAGCATTAATTTTTTATGGCACAGAATCTTGAGCGCAGCAATAACCTTCACTATTGTGCAGATCATTGTCGCAGAATTAATAATTTATGGTGCAGAATACTGAGCGCAGTTAAAACCTTTAATATTGCGTAGATCATTGTGCGCACTTTAATTTTCAATATGACGTAAAGTTTTGTGCGCAATGTTGATTTCAAATAAAGCATCTTATTAATTTCAATTTCCAGCCTCCACATCGAATTCATTTCTGAGTTTAAATATTCAGACATTTACCTGGAAAATATGACAGATCCATCATTTACAGGAACGCTGTTTTCGAGTGATCTTGAACAAGCATTAAATGCCTTCTACTTGGATATGCCAATATCAAAAAGATTCATCCCAACACCATTTACAAAGTCTTACTATGGCATTGGATTTCTATATCCAAATTTATGGAGTGAAAGATTTAATGAAATCATTTCGGACCTAATAACTGGCGGATTTGTGAATTATCACTTGGAGGAAATGACACAGTCTAAATGGAATTTGATGCCGTCATCGTTTGAGCCTGAAAATATTGTTCTGAATTTGCATCATCTCGGTTTTGGATTTCAGATTTGTTTAATCTTTGCTTATTTGTCGTTTGTGACATTTTTGGCTGAACTTGGATACTTTTGGTTCAAGAGCTTCTATAAAAATTATGAGTATAGTCGTGAGAAGATATGTAAGCACAGAATTATCATGGTTTTATCGGCTAAGACACCTAAAACAGTTGAAAGACATCAATTAAAACCTAAATTCAGGTCTGCTCCAGCGACAAAAATTAACAAGTTAGTAAAAAATTCAAGTATGGAGCAAGAATACTCATCAGATGACTCAAGTGCTTCTACGGACAGTGTTTTAAGAAGAGCATTTGGAAGACAAGTTGTGGAATGAACTGGATTAAAATGAATTTACTAAGTCGATTTGATGATCTTAGATAAGAATTGTAGATATTCATGTAAATGTTAATAAACAAAACTTATTTCTCACAATAATTGAATATTTTCATTCAGCTTTTCCAAAAAAGGTCACTGGAAGTAGTTTGATCAGATAAAGCTAGTGCGTCATTAATGTCAATTTTCTATGTTATTCTTCAATTAGACTTCATGGAAGTTGCACCATGATTAAATTTATACATTTAATTTTAGTTTCAACAAAAGTTTTAGCGACAATCCCCAGCACAACATTGATAAGTTTGTCAATTTGTGGCATAATTGAGAAATTCTACTCGATATACTCAAGAAATGTTGATATTATTGACTTTAATGGATCACAAAGTGAACTTGTTGGCGAAATCTTACGAAATCTCAATAATTCAATGACTGTGACTGTTTACAAGCTGCATGGTTCTAGAAGAATAGTTGAGAATCAGACAATATTGCTGTTTGACAACTTTGCAAGCTTAAATGACTTCAATAATGCCGACCAAATCGATATCAAATATATAAATCCAATCAGATTGCTTGTCTACTGCGTAAATACATCAGAGTTTGAAATTTCCAGGTTGAAAACTGATCTTGTCATTCCACCTTATTACTACTTCTTGACATTTGGATCAAACTCAAGAATTAACCTTTGGACTTTCGAGAATCGAAATGATTTAGAAGTTTGCCATGAAATACAAACTTTAATCAAGATCAATGAGTTTTCAACCACAAACTTGTCATGGAAACATGATCCAATATTTCCAAAAAAGTACAAAAATTTTCATGGCTGCTTGATGAACATCGGAATGAATGGTTTTAGCAGCTTTGATAGAGCTTTTTTAGATAATAATGGCAATCAAATGATAGTCACAGCAGGACTTAAAAACAGATTATTAATCATTTTGGGAGTTCAACTGAATTTCACTCTGAACTCATTTCAATGCTTACATCCTGAATGTTTAGATCGAAATGAAACAAAACCGTATTTATATAATATTATGGTAACTACATCAATTGACTCTTATGCTATCAATCATGATACGTCGCACAAGTGGTGGATGGTGATGATGAATGTTCAATGCACGTGGGTAGCTTATTTAATCTTTACCTGACCTATACCTAACCTATACCTAACATATACCTAACCTTTACCTAACCTATACCTAACCTATACCTAACCTATACCTAACCTAAACCTAACCTATAAAAATCTTTCAATAATATAAGTATTTCAGTCCACAGCTGCTAATCCCTCCTGGTGATCTGTATACATCAATTGAGAAGATGCTGCTGCCATTTGACACAGAAACATGGATTGGCTTAGTTGCAGTCTTTGTATCAGGAACTGTCACAATTTCAATCATCAGTCAATTTCCAGCAAGGATTAGAGAAACTGTTTTTGGCAAAAATATCGGAATTCCGAATCTTAACTTTTTCCTAGCATTTTTCGGAGAAGCTCAAAAAAGATCACCAGATGGAACATTCGCAAGGATCATTTGGATCTTCTTCATCTTTTACTGTCTAGTCATTCGAACGTGTTATCAAGGAAAGTTGTTTGAATTTACAACAACTGCTGTTAGAAAGCCAGAATACAAGACATTGGACGATTTGAAGAATGAAAATTTTACACTTTATATTTCAAAAGGAAAGCATTCTGATAAGACCATCAAGTTTATTGATAGTGCAATAGGGTAAGAATGTGATTGAACTTTGGGAGTGTGTTTAGAAATAAGTTCTTTAGGGCCTATACACCAAAATTGATTTTTAATAATTATTTCCAGCCTTCCCATCGAGTATGTCTCTGACTATGAATATTCAGACATTTACATAGATAACATCTCAGATCCTTCATTTAAAGGAACACTATTTTCCAGCGATTTAGAGCACGCAATGAATGTTTATTATCTTAATATGCCAATAGAGACTAGATTCATTCCAACACCATTTACTAAGTCTTACTATGCCATTGGATTTATATTTCCAAACCTATGGAATGAAAGGTTTAAAGAAATCATTTCGGACCTAATAACAGGCGGATTTGTGAATTATCATTTGGAACTAATGACAAAGTCGAAATGGAATATGATACGGACATCCTTTGAGCCTGAAAATATTGTTCTTAATTTGCATCATCTTGGTTTTGGATTTCAAATTTGTTTAATCTTTGCTTATTTGTCTTTTGTGACATTTTTGGCTGAGATTGGATATTTTTCGACAGTGCGGTATTGGAGGAGACGAGCTTCAAGGCATAAGATCATCATGGTGTTATCAGCCAGCAAGAATCAAAAGTTTAATTTGAACAAGAATCATTGTGAAAACTGTGCAGAACAATTAATTCAAAGTAATAAACAATCAGCTTTACTGTCTGAAGATGAAAACTCATCAGATGACTCGAATACATCAGCGAAGAGTATGTTAGGCAGAGCATTTGGTAGGAGGGTTAAGCCTGAGTCTGTTCAGAACCTTGAAAACTTTGATTTGTTGTGTAACACTATTAGATAGATTCCTTCGTGGATTGAAAGACAAGAAGAATAAATCAAATTTGATATTACGTCCTTTTAACAGATCAGTTCAACGAAGGAGCCAAGAACGAATTTTTAGGAATTTGTATTATAATGTCGACGTATGGGGGATTTTTCCCCCGAATCTCCCACTTTCTCCTCTTCCCCTCTTCCCCTCTTCCCCTCTTCCCCTCTTCCCCTCTCTCCCTATCCCCCTTTCCCCCTTTCCCCTCTCTCCCTATCCCCCTTTCCCCCTTTCCCCTCTTCCCCTCTCTCCCTATCCCCCTTTCCCACTTTCCCCCTCTCCCCCTTTCCCCCTCTTTCCCTCTCCCCCTCTCTCCCTCTCCCCCTCTCCCCCTCTTTCCCTCTTCCCCTCTTTTACTAGTCCTGGATCAGTAACCTCAAATTTCAACCTACTAAAAAAAAATTCCATACTCTCGACTTGAAACAAAAGTTGCCAGTCTTCTTATTAGATCTCCAATTCAAAATTTTTTGCAATAAGGATAACTCTATAACAGGGATGGACAACTTTTTTTGTACCACGGCACCACTTGGTAATAAGACACGACCAGGATACAGCTTGTGAGACTTCTTTTTGTGGGATTATTTCAAAACACTAGGGTACCGTGGAACATAAGTTGGCCATGAGCAAATCCTTACCATTGTTGTCCAAACTTTTTGAGCCACGCCACACTGGCGCCACACCTTAGGGGTAATCCATGACCAAAGTCGCACATAGGATGATGTCATTTACAAGAGATTACACACTAGTGTGCCGCAACACACAGTTGGAACAACACTGGTTTAAGACATCAAACTATGAAAACTTTGTGACTAAAACATATTTATTGTACAAAAACAAACTACATGTTGTGCTAATGTGTATCAACTTTTAATAAAAATCCTGTCGCAAGCACTTTGAAATAATTTTTAAATAGTCCATCCAAAAGCAACTTGACTTAAATGAATGTCAAGTAAGACTCGTGAAAAAATGTTTGGACTTTAAACATTAATCCAGAGTGCGTACGACTTTAAAAATTAAAAAAAAGTGCAAAGTTAATTTTAATTAAGATCTTCTGCGTGGTTTTGTGCTAGTTGTGCTTGTACTGGCACTTTTGGTGGTTGTCGGAGTTGTTCTACGTGTTGTTGGGCTCGTTGTCTTATTTGGGGTTGTTGTTGTCTTATTTGGGGTTGTTGTTGTTGCCTTTCTTGTTGTTGTTGTACTACTAGATTTAGTTGGTGTTGTTGTGTTTCTACGAGCTGTTGCTGTTGTGTTCTTTGCAGTTGTTCGCGTATTTTTAACAGACCTGTCTGTAGTTGTTGTTTTGGAAGTGCTCATTTTGGTTGAAATGCATTTATTAACAGTATTAGTCCACTCATCTAAGTCATCGTCAATTTTAAAGACCTGCTCCTTTGCATCCATCATGTTCTCATGGTATAAAAGTTTTATTTCGCTGACTAAGTTGGTGCAGTTCTCGATTGTTTGTTGAAGTTTTTCAGTTGAGCAGCTGACTTGTTCTTCACAGTTTGAGAAGTTGACGAGCTAAATAAATAAATCAAGGGGGAAACAACATGTTGGGAGAAAAAAAGCTTTGTCTTAAAATAACCAACAATCAGGGGATAACAACCAGATGGGAAAATGTTTTGATGAAAAATCAGGGAAATTTGGTTGAAAAATCAATAAAATGTTATTTTTATAAAATTTGACATTAAAATTTTTCCCCACAAGGTTGTTATCCCCCTAGTCAAAGGAAGTTGTATAAAAAAATACTTACAAATTGTCGAACACATTTTGTACTGTCATTAAGCTTGTTACAGCTGTTCAATTCACCTGCCATGTTTTTAATAAAATCACCAATGTTTTTGGTTTCGGACACTGTGTTCAAAAATGTACTTGTTATGTTTCTTGTTACAATTGTCGACTTGCTGATTATATTATTAATATTTTTTCGGAATATTTGCAAATACGCTACCAAATTGCTGCTCATGCAACTCGAACTTTTATCATACAAAAAAGGAAGTGAATTTAAATTATCGTCACCGGACTGCCACATGTAGTCAGCAACCTTAAGCGGCTCAGTATCGCCACCTAAAGTTCCATAATAGAAATTTGTAATGAGATCATCAAGCTCCTGACTTGTGTAATCCATTATTGAGTTTGTTGTTCCACAGAAGCTCATTAGACGACTTCCAGTTCCAGATTTGGTGTTGTTGTATTCGAAATTTGAGCATGATTTGTTCATGACTGCTGAATATTGCGAGTAAGTGTCTCGAATCTCTGCAATTTTTGACTTTAGTAAGTTGTAGACATCAAAGAATGACTTATCGAGACTGGAATATGCTGATCCTTTAAGACTGAGGTAGTTTGAGCGATATGACTGAAGGATTGGATCAAATGTAGTGTCCGACTTTGCCAAAATTATAAAAATTGACAGGAAAATTAATTTTCCAATAAAGTAACTCATTTTGCTTGCTGATTAATTGTCCAAAAACTTGCTTAAAAGTGCAAGAATTTGGAAGGAAATTTCAACTTATATAGGAATATTTAATTGATCTAAAAAAATGCCTGTCCGATGTGCTGTTAACAAGCTATAAAACAAGATGTAATGTGTATTGTAAATGTCGCTTTCGTTTTGATAAATCGTCAATTTTTTTGGGAATGACTTTTGATGTCACGTAGTTGATTGTATTGGAAAATGGACATATAGGAACGAGAGGAAAAGCTCTGTACTGTTGTCAAGAAGGAGTATAAATAGACTGTCCAACTGCCCAGGTTTGAGCTGGACAGCTCCGCTTTTTTGAACAAAGTCCCGACTAAAATCCTTAATGTGCCGCTTTTTTGAACCTTTTTTTCTTGGAAAATGCTCGAATATTTGGTATGGCCCGTTTTTTCAGAGCTAAAATCGGGGCATGTCTAGGCTGACCATCTGTTGGTTTTTAAGAGGACAGTCTTTTTTTTTAATTCGTCCAGAAAACGAATAAAATTTTTAAGCACGTGGAATGTTCTCTATTTTTCTGTCAGGTCCTCCCTATTTTTAAATTATTTTGTCACCCAGACATGTCCGACCAATAATTGGCAAAACCGATGGGCAGCCTAAGTATAAAGGACATCCCACTCAACTCTATTTTCAAAATAAAATCTAAAATGATGTCTTGCTGCTCGATTAATTTTGTCAATTTGTTAATTATAATACTTCTTTTTAGTGCATTTTCATATTAGAAAAAGATACTTTTGTCTGCACTTTGTCCGTATGTCTGTCTGTACAGCTATCTCATCCTCTAGCTTAAAAGATTTTTGAACTTTATTTTTCAATTGATTAAAATTTTAAGGATTTTATTTTCTCCTCGAATTCTGTGCGTGTTAAAATCGCTTCAGTCCGTCACAAGTGACCGCCTCGTTACTAGTTTAAACTTGTAATCTGATGTCCTTGTCAGTACAAACATTAAATCAATATTTCATTACAAAGCTTTCATTCTACAAGAACTTGCTGACATTACAAGTCGTAAAATAAGACAAATGAAGCTTAAAATTGAATTTGGAATTACTTTTTGGCTATTTACTCATCAAGTTGCATCAGTAAGCAACTCAAGTCTTATAAGTCTGTCAATTTGTGACATAATTGAGAAGTTTTACTCGAAATATTCAAGAAATGTCGACATAATAGACTTTAATGGATCTCAAGGTGACCTAGTTGGTGAAATTCTACAGAATCTCAATAATTCCATGACTGTGACTGTCCACAAGCCAAAAAAATCAAAGAATCTCCAGAAAAAGATTAAAAAGCAGACAATTTTGATATTTGACAATTTTAAAAGCTTAAATGATTTCAATAAGGCAGACAGAGTCAACATTGTGTACATTAATCCAATTCGACTTCTTGTTTACTGCGTCAATGCTTCCGAATCGGATATATCAAGTCTAGAAACAAAATTAATGACTCCACCTTATTATTATTTTATAATTTTTTCTGAAGATGATTCTAATCTTGAACTTTACACGTTCGAGAACCTCAACGACTTAAAATACTGCACTGAAAATCAAACTTTAATCAAAATTAATGAATTTTCAGCAGTTCACTTACAATGGACAGTCTCACCATTGTTCCCAGTTAAGTATAAAAATTTTCATAACTGCATTATGCTTATCGGGACGTCTGATAAGGAGTCATTTACGCATATATTTCAAAATATTTGGACAGGCCAAACTGTAGTTGATGGACCTATCAATGACATCATGAATATCCTTGCAAAGGAACTGAATTTTATTAATCAATTTAGTGTTTGTTTAAATCTGCAATGCTCTGACCATACATACTATCCAATGGAACTTTATAATGTCCTGAATTATTATCCTTTAAATGCTTTAGCTATGTTCAAATCTAGCATGGAAAAAACCAATTTTGTCATGATGAATGTCGATTCTGAGTGAGTATGGGATAGGGTATGGGATAGGGTATGGGATAGGGTATGGGATAGGGTATGGGATAGGGTATGGGATAGGGTATGGGATAGGGTATGGGATAGGGTATGGGATAGGGTATGGGATAGGGTATGGGATAGGGTATGGGATAGGGTATGGGATAGGGTATGGGATAGGGTATGGGATAGGGTATGGGATAGGGTATGGGATAGGGTATGGGATAGGGTATGGGATAGGGTATGGGATAGGGTATGGGATAGGGTATGGGATAGGGTATGGGATAGGGTATGGGATAGGGTATGGGATAGGGTATGGGATAGGGTATGGGATAGGGTATGGGATAGGGTATGGGATAGGGTATGGGATAGGGTATGGGATAGGGTATGGGATAGGGTATGGGATAGGGTATGGGATAGGGTATGGGATAGGGTATGGGATAGGGTATGGGATAGGGTATGGGATAGGGTATGGGATAGGGTATGGGATAGGGTATGGGATAGGGTATGGGATAGGGTATGGGATAGGGTATGGGATAGGGTATGGGATAGGGTATGGGATAGGGTATGGGATAGGGTATGGGATAGGGTATGGGATAGGGTATGGGATAGGGTATGGGATAGGGTATGGGATAGGGTATGGGATAGGGTATGGGATAGGGTATGGGATAGGGTATGGGATAGGGTATGGGATAGGGTATGGGATAGGGTATGGGATAGGGTATGGGATAGGGTATGGGATAGGGTATGGGATAGGGTATGGGATAGGGTATGGGATAGGGTATGGGATAGGGTATGGGATAGGGTATGGGATAGGGTATGGGATAGGGTATGGGATAGGGTATGGGATAGGGTATGGGATAGGGTATGGGATAGGGTATGGGATAGGGTATGGGATAGGGTATGGGATAGGGTATGGGATAGGGTATGGGATAGGGTATGGGATAGGGTATGGGATAGGGTATGGGATAGGGTATGGGATAGGGTATGGGATAGAGTATGGGATAGGGTATGGGATAGGGTATGGGATAGGGTATGGGATAGGGTATGGGATAGGGTATGGGATAGGGTATGGGATAGGGTATGGGATAGGGTATGGGATAGGGTATGGGATAGGGTATGGGATAGGGTATGGGATAGGGTATGAAATTAATATGAAAATTTCTATACTCTTTAAAAATATTTTTTGAATCTTGTTCAGATTTCGCATCTACATGCCCCCACCGGACCATTTTACTCCAATTGAAAAACTCCTTTTACCATTTGACTTCTGGACGTGGATATCAGTGAGTACATCAGCTGTGGTAACGATCATTTTACTAGCAATGGTTCATGGAGTAAAACAAACAAAAGATTTAATAATCTGTTATGCTTCATATCCACTGATAATATTGAAGGCAGCCCTTATTATTATTGGTATCAGACAGGTCAATCCGAAATGTAATAATTCCTGGCGACTAGTTTTGATGATTATGGTTATTTGGTTCTTTACTTTAAGAACAATTTATGTGACAAAAATGATCGAGTTTATAATTCTTGGTATTAAAAAGCCGACAATCAAAACATTGGATGAGCTGCAGGTTAGGAACATTCAACTTTTAGTTGCTGAAGATCTTCATCTATACTTGGATAAAGATTCAGATGGAAATTTCTTTGGGTATGATTTTTTCTCACTATGTTGTTACCCCCTTCGAAAAAAAAATATTAAAAAAAATTACTTAAACTTCCAGTTTACCGTCATACGTGATATCAGATGATATGTTTAACTTTATTGTCTTAGACGATCTCTTTGATCCTTCATATAATGGATCACTTCTATTAACAGACTTAGAAAAACAAATTGGAAGCACATATCGAAAAATGTCTATCCCCGATTACTTTGTTCCAGTTCCATTCGAAAGATTTCATCACATTTTTGGATTTTTATATCCAAATTTATGGAATGAAAGGATGAAGGAAATTATCGAAGGTGCCATTTCTGGTGGAATTATCAAAAAAATATTTGATAAATATACAAAATCAAGATGGAATTTAGAGCCGATTGACATTGACTTAGATCAACTTGTCATGGACTTTAATGACTTAATACTTGGCTTTCAAATCTCTCTGTTTGCATGTTATGCTGCATTTGTGATACTTTTGGCTGAACTAGTTGTAGCTTACATCATCAAGGTCTATTCTGATGGCTGGGATAGCATGCCAGATACTAGACTATTTTCCAGGACCAAAAAACATCAATTCAGTGACAACATTTCATCATGTTCACAAAGTATTTACTCCTCATCCGTTGACATATCAAGCATAGATAATTCACAGAATAGTCTTAATATTGGACTAGATGTTGAGTCTTGTGACCGTGATTCAGAACAGTCGATGGACATTAAATCAATAAGCTGTAGCATTGCATTTGGTGACAATATAAAAGCTGAAGAAAATGTAAAGGCTGAAAGAATTGATGGATGTAAAGAGGAAGAAATGGACAAAGATGATGAATCAGCTGGATTTGGAATAAAAATTATGGATTTTGATAATGTTTGAATATTTTTTTAAGTTCAAATTTGCTGTTATGGACAGCAGATAACCTAATTTTGAACCTAATAAGCTAAAATCTAAACAAATGTATCCAGTGTTGTCAAACTGAATTATTTGAAGCTCGACTTGCTTGAACAATTTCTACAGAGAACTGTTGTGTAGCCCAGAGACATCATACTTACTTACTTCCTTGGATAGAGCGCACGTGGGCCCATTGCCACGTTCAGAAATCGTCTAAAGACAGCTCTATCCTTCGAGACTTTCTGCTAGTTCGGGATATGAAGGACTCTAGCGTCCTTATCAACACATCCAATCCAGGTGTTCTTTAGTCTTTCTCTAGATCTCTTGCCATCTACAAAGTCTGCAACAGTCACTCTTAGTACTGGGGCATCTTGAGGACGTCTAAAGACATGTCCAGCCCATCTCAAACGATTTGCACGGAGAACTGTAATAATATCAGCATCCTGGAACAACTGATAACATCATAGTATCCTCAAAATACCCCAAAATAGTTCAAAATAGCTTAACATACACAAAAAAAAAATCTTATTTATCACAAAAGAGCTTAAATCCTATAACAAGAGCAAAATCTACAATCAAACTTCAGCATTATCTCCAAAAACCACAAAAATACACTAATGTTACACGCAAGTCACAGTCCATGCGCCAAGATACACAGCAAAGCAACAATATCATTGATAAGATACAAACTGCTTTGCAATACAAACAACAACAACAATTTCTTTATCAATCGCGAACAAACATCTTTAGTCAGTTTTCGTCTTTCAAGCTTGTCGGGTCGTTCTTATTATTTTTAAAAGAATAAAAAAAAATGGTGAAGTTCACGGGATCATTTCAGTCGCCTTTGGAATTTGGTCACGTAATTGTCATTAGTGGAATTGCAAGAAAATCAGCAGAGAATTTTTTTGTGAACTTTTTGGGCGATAAAGCATCTGGGGACATCCCATTGCATTTGAATGTTGTGTTTGGTGAAAATGAGCAGATTATTAGGAATACGAAGATTAATGGTGATTTGCTGGAGGGTTTTGGTGGGGGTTAAGATGGTTGATGTTTAAGGAATTGGGGGTAAAGAGAGTCTAGAGACAATTTGATCAGATTTCATCAAAAAATACCAAAAATTGAGTTAAGATTTACAATATCTGCTTATAAGAACCCCCTTACCTCTCCAGTCCACTTTAAACCAACCTAAAGCGAATAATCCAATATTCCTAAATTTCAGGAGAGTTCGGAGCAGCCGAGACATCACCAGGAATGTTCACAAAAGAGAAAAATCCACTAAAATCAGGTGACGAAATGGAACTCATTTTTAAATTCTTCTCATTTAGTTTGAAATGACTGCTTTTATCAGTGCTTAATGTTGTGATTATGTCCGTCAAAAAAGTTTCTTGTGTATCGCAAAAATTACTTAATGTGCTACGTTATTAGTTGTGACTTGTTATCACTTTTTTAATGAAGTAAGAAAAAAGGTGCTGCGTCATGATTAATGTGAAAAATTAGACGGGATTTTGGGAGTTTAAAGAATTTTTTGGCGGGAATTATGTTTTTGTAGCTTCCTAGGTGAGAATTAATTGTTAATTTCACTTTTTTTTCTATATTTTGAACTTTAAATTTTTCAACTTTTCAAATTTTTTTAAGTTTTTTCAATTGTTTCAACTTTGTTTTAAATTTTTTAGGTTTATTAAAGTTTTTAATTTTTTCAAAGTTTTTAAATTTTTTCAAAGTTTTTAAATTTTTTCAAAGTTTTAAATTTTTTTATTTTTTTTTGAATTTTTTAAGTCTTTCAATTTTTCAAGTTTTTCAATTTTTTCAATTTTTTCAATTTTTACAATTTTTTCAATTTTTTCAATTTTTTCAATTTTTTCAATTCTTTAAATTTTTTCAATTTTTTCAATTTTTTCAATTTTTTCAATTTTTTCAATTTTTTCAATTTTTTCAATTTTTTCAATTTTTTCAATTTTTTCAATTCTTTAAATTTTTTTAATTTTTTCAATTTTTTCAATTTTTTCAATTTTTTCAATTTTTTCAATTTTTTCAATTTTTTCAATTTTTTCAATTTTTTCAATTTTTTCAATTTTTTCAATTTTTTCAATTTTTTCAATTTTTTCAATTTTTTCAATTTTTTCAATTTTTTTAATTTTTTCAATTTTTTCAATTTTTTCAATTTTTTCAATTTTTTCAATTTTTTCAATTTTTTCAATTTTTTCAATTTTTTCAATTTTTTCAATTTTTAAACACTTTAAATTTGTTCAATTTTTTAAATTCTTTCAATTATTTAAATTTTTTCAATTTTTTTTTAAATTTTTTTCACTTTTCAATCTTTTCATTTTTTCAAGTTTATAAATCACCAGACATCACACTTACAATAATCAGCTCCAAAATACAATATTTTTTCTCGTTATCAAATCAGCGTGATTTAAAATAGATTTCTGCACGCAGCTTGATAACAAATTTATCACTTAATTGCATAATAATATTTAAAGCTGAAAACATTTTTTTTATTTGGTATTTATAGGATCATTTACTATAAAAAGTTGACAAGCTGATAATGTTGACTTTTTTAATGTTTTTTGGAACTAATTAATGTTGATTGAATGATAGTGTTTATAGTTTTATGACTAAGTTAATACAATTACTGCTTTGGCGGCTCATGTGTGTCTTTTGGTTCCTTATAACATTTCAGTCTAAATGATTCCAATTTTCCAGGCGACAGATTCACATTCTACATTCTCATCGGTCTCGACCGTTTCCACATCAGCATAAATTCAATTCACTTTTGTGACTACATCTTCCGTGCCTCCGTCAAGCGTATTCAATCCTGCCAAGTCGTTCGTGACGTTGATCGTGTAATTCAATTTGATCATCGTCGTATCTTCCCATTCACATATCCAGTAGCACAATCAAGATTGCCAGCACATTTAGTGTTTTCAAATGACATTCCAGCACCATTTAAGGAAGGAAGTGTACTTGTGGTTAAAGGAAGTGCTGGTGGCAATCCAAATGGTGCTTTTAGAATCAAATTTTATGTTGGCAAAGGTGACAAGCAGGCTTTTACATTTGATGTGAGGTTTTCGCAGCAGAAGGTCGTGAGGAACAACTGTGTTAATGACAGTTTGTTGTAAGTTATTTTTTCGGTTCATTGAAACAAAGTTTCGCTTCATAGATGCAAAGTTTCGCTTCATAGATGCGAAGTTTCGCTTCATAGATGTAAAGTTTCGCTTCATAGATGCAAAGTTTCACTTCAAAGATGCGAACTTTTGCTTCAAGGACGCAAGCTTTTGCCTTCAAAGACTCAAACTTTTGTTTCAAAGATACAAATTTCTGCGTCACAGACGCGAACTTTTGCTTCAAAGATGCAAAAAAAAAATTAACAAATTTCTTACAGTTTCGTTGAAGACGATGAAGAGTCCTATGGCGGCTTCCCATTTGACTTTGAAAAAATCTTCAAAATTGCCATTGGATTCGAGCGTCAAGGCGTTCGAGTGTCAGTCAATGGAAAGTTCTTCTGTGAATATCCATACACAGCCAAACTCGTTCAATATTCCGGCATGAAAATCAGCGAGAGAAGCGACCTTCGACTTCATATCATGGAAGTTCATCATTTCCGTATTGAGAAGGACTTGCATCACTTGGATGTCTTCTCGAAGCTCGAGTGAATATCGAAAATTTAGTTTTGGATTAATCATATTAGTAAGAATGAAATTCGAAAGACCTTTTTTTGGTGTGAATGAGAGACAAAGTTGAAATAATATTTTTTTTTGATAGAATTTTGGAGATTTTAATGAATTATTTATTTTTAGCTGCAATATATTCTAAGATGCTAAGGACAGTTAGGAAGATGGGAACAGTTTGGATGCTGATTTTTAAATCTAAGCTTCAAAGCAATAATTTGAAGAATATTAAAAAATTCAATAAATTTTATTATAATTTTCATATCCTAAATTTGACATTATTGAGCAATTAGCTGCATTGTTCTCAAGGGGATAACAACATGAAGGGCAAAATGTTTTTATCTTCAAAAATTGCTGTCCACTTTTTCAATCCCAAAAGAGCATAGGATTAAATTTCCTGTAAAAAATTTTCCCATCATGTTGTTGCCCCCCTTGATCCCCACTTATTCAAAACAGTTTCATTCCAAAACCAAAATTTCAAAATCATCGAATCGATGCTCTTTCCAAAAATAAGGAATAAAGATGGCTTTAATAGAGTCCACGACTTTTCCAATTATAAAGATGCCTTCGTGCATTCTTCGGCCAACAAAAAGCTTTGCATCGCCTTCGTATCCACCCTGGACAGCATTATTTGGGAAGGATCCGGTAAATTGTACCCAACGAGCTGAAATTCGATGTGTTAAGAAATTAAAATTGATATTTTGAAGGTTTTATGGATTGCCTTCCTTAATCCACATACAACTTACGGCTTTTATTCGATGCCAAAATCTCAATTTTGTCCTCAAATTTCAGTTCCTCTCCAAAGTATGGCACATAAATTGTTTTATGTGGACGAACAAACTTTCCAATAATTAAATTTTTATCGTGCATTCGTCTTGCAACATAAGTCCTAACACTTCCTTCGTCACTGTATACAGAATTCTTTGAGATTACGTCTGTTGATGGATCGTACGGGTTCCAGACTTCGTTTCTGAAATGAGAGGGAAAGTTGGTAAGCTACAATGACTAAGTGGGAGGTTGTGAATGGCATCAATAGTTGAGTAGGAATGATATATGGAAGCTAGACTGCATTATTTGGTGTCTTGTATACTTTTGTTTCTTATATTCAGTTGTTGACGTCATTTATGAATAGTGGAAAATGACAATCAACATCCTTAACAACACAAAACGTAGAAAAGTCACAGAACAGTGACCTTAAGCCGACATAAGACTAGCTTGAACCAAATCCTGCCCTTCGACATCCTCATGCCGCCCTAGTTCCACTATTGTCCTACTTAATATTAGACTGCGTGTCATGTAGCCTATAATCTTACCTAATCTCATTAGCACGGCCAGTTTCAATCAATATCCAATTAACAAACAAAGGAACATTCGTAAAGACAGCATAACTATCAGATCGACAATTCTCTCCAAGATCAAGTATCGCAGCTGACACGACTCCGATGACTTTGAAAGATCCTGTGTGAGATCGGACCACAAATCCAGCTCCACTGTCGCCTTTGCCTTGAAATAATCACAAATGCTTAATTCAAGCACAACAATGGATTTATTAACAATAACTTACAAGCTGTCTGGCTCAAGTCACCGCCACAAAAGGTTCTCTTTGAAGCTGTTGTATGGAATCCACTTGGATGCCACAGACAGTCTTCCTGACTAACAGTTGGAATCTTCAAGTATCTCAACTTCTCATCAAGAACATCATCATTAGTAACTCCATATCCAGCAACAAATCCAGTCACTTCAAAGACTTTCTCATAAGAAGTTGGTAAGCATGCTGGCTGAATATTCTTTGAAAATCGAACTGAACGGCCAAGCTTAATGATTGCAATGTCAGCATCGTATTTAGTGCCATAAGTTGTGCTCCATTCTGGATGCATTTTTACTTCAATCACATCGAACTTTTCTCCTCGATTTTTGGATGCATCGGCGACACCAAGAGTGACGGATATTTTATCGGTTTCAAATGGAGGTCTGCCTTTATCTTGGATGCAGTGGGCGGCTGGAAAGAGATTATTTAAAGGGTTTGGTATTTTTGATGGGTGTGAATGGGTGGATTTCTATTGGATTTCATTTATTGATGCTTGTTGAGCTGGTATTTGGTAACAGGGAGGGAGGGTGGTTAGGGGACTAGGGCTGCAGCACCTCTGTTGCAGCTCTTAAAGTTCCAACTTAGCTTCACATTGTAAACTTGATCAGAATCGGTGTTTTCAACTTGATATGGACATTGGACAGTAATTTTAGAAATTTTATATTAAGGAGTCTCTAAATTTGCATTGAATAGCAAAATGACCATTTGGTCTGATAAGAAAATTTGACTATAATGACAACTTGACCTTAGTTCATCAAAACCATACCAAACAAAGCTGCAATTTGACAGCAAATCCTAATCCGATCTCTCAATAAAGAGTTCTCTCTCGAAATTCTCAATTCTCACTCTCAGTTCCTCTTCTTTACCTCTCACCTCAGCTAATCAACACATATATGTAGAACATATGATCGCATGTCAACAGTGTGCGTTCTCTTTAATTCTAACTGCTTTTTCTTCAAACTGATAACATTGAACTCTGTGGTTTAGAAGCAATGACATGTAAACAAGATGAGAATTCCCCACAATCTTCGTATGCATAAGACTGTTTACAACCGGTTTTATTTACTTTGCAGTTTTGGGAAAGAAGTGATAATTCAGAATTTGTCGTCGGCTGGGGTTTTTAATGTAGGAATTTTTTGATTTTTTTATGACTTAGTTGATGACATTTCATGAGAATTTTTGATACAATTTGAATCTTTGTAGTAACTAGGGTCGTGAATTCTTTTTGTTATCCGTTAATAGCCGTTAATAAAGCATCAGTCTTCAGACTATGCAACTCAACAACACTGGACCTAAACTGATCCATAAAAATCAATAAAATCTATCTATTCAAGCTAATTAGCCATAATTATAATGGTATGGGAACAATACTGCTTATTAACAGAGTATAGTTCACTTAGTATTGTTATTCTATTTACAAGACACTATATTAGACATAGCTATAGATCTACAGCCTCCGACGTCTCAAAAAAGACTTAACAGATACTCAGTCAAGAGTGTTGAACAGAATAAACACATTTTCATGATTTCACATCTTTAGTTGAGGTCTAGACAGTCAGATCTACTTCTAAAGCTAAACTGCTTCAGTCCAGTGGTGATCAACTCAAGTGCCGCGGCACATTAGTGTAAATAAATTCAAAAAAAATCTTACAATCCGTATGCCGATTAAAGTTTTTGTTATTGTTTACCATAAAAGTGTGCCGCGGCACACACTTTAGACACCACTGCTTTAATCTAGTGATTCTCAATTAAAAACTTACCTGTCAGCACATACTGCTCACCAATCAACGTCCCAGAACAATAAAACGTTCTAGAATTTCCATTCTTAAGGTACAATGCAGCAGCCCAAGGCCACTGACCATCTTCAGATAATCTGCCGTTAAATCCAAGTCCACCGGAGCCTTCAAATTTATATTGGGAAATTCCACATTGACTTTGGGAATTTATAGACGCAGCAAAGCTGATAATTAATGTGAACAGTTTGATGTACATGATGAGACTAAAGATTTTTTGGGATGAAGGAATTGAGAGACGAGTAAAATTGTCAACACAGAGAGTAGGAGACACAAAGTTGTGGATTATTTTATTCTCAAAAATTTACATGCTATACAAGAACAAGAATCTCAAAAGAGTCACTGTACGCGTATTCTTTTGAGAAATAACCAATGTAAATTGTCTTAGTGGTGTCGATGACTTTGCCAATTGTATTCTTTCCTTCGTGCATTCTTCGACCAACGTATAGCTTTGCTGATCCTTCAAAGCCGCCTAGAACTGCGTTTGTTGGGAATGTTCCTTCAAAAGGGATCCATTGGTCTGGAATGATGTTTAATATAATTGTCTAGTTTATGGTTTAATGCTACTTAAGGAATAGGAACTGATCAACATCGGTTTTGCTAATTGTTGTTCATTTTTGAACATTTTTGAATCTTCTTGAACCATTTTTGATCATTTTTGAATTTTTTTTTTATTTTTTTGAACATTTTGAATCTTTTTGACCATTTTTGAACACTTTTGATCAGTTTCACACCCCTGATTCCACCCAAAATTCAACAGTTTAACACAAAATCTTCAAAAAAAATCCTTACGTGTCTTGTTGGTTGTCAAAAGTTCAATTCTATCCTCAAACTTTAGCTCCTGTCCCATAAATGGTAAAAAGATTGAATTCCAACTTGGCACAAACTTTCCAATTATCAAATTATTAGCGTGTCTTCTCCTGGCCACAAAAGTCTTTGCATTGCCTTCATCTATAGAAATAGAGTTGACTGGTATTGAATCGGTTGAGGAGTTGTATGGAGTCCAACTTTCATCGCTACAAATGAATAGTTTTATGGTTCATAAATTTTTTTTTTTGGTTCATTAAAGTTTGACAACTGATGCGGATTTAAAAATTTCTTACCACAGCACCAAAATATCAAAATCTTGAAATGACAGTTCTTTTGAGAAATATGGCACGTAAATTGTTTTGTCAATGATTTTTCCAATTACACTTTTATCGTCAATTATTTTTCGACCAACAAACAGTTTTGCACCTCCTTCGTGACCTCCTTGTACAGCATTGTGAGGAAATGAACCAGAAAATGGGATCCATTGTGCTGCAAAGATAGAAGACTCATTTTAGACCAGTGTTGTCCAAACTTTTAGAGCCACGGCACACATTAGGGTTAAGCCATGAACAAAGTCTCACGCAACATGCGGATTGCGTCATTTCTTAAGTATTTCTACGGTATACCAGTGTGTCGTGGCACACAGTTTGGACAACACTATGTTGGATAGCTCTATTTTTAATTGAGCACACCTGAAGCTGGTTTCTAAGGCTACCAGAGGAACATCACTCAAGTGTCGTACATAAATTATAAAATATAAAGGTTGGTTAACTCAAATAGCACTAGAAACCGGCTCCTGAAGACTATACACATAGTAAAAAGTCATCTGCACCTCTTATTAGGAGTCGAGCTCCTCAATCTAGTAATTTATAGCTAAGCTAAAACTTATTGCACACTAAAGTGCCATGAGCCGTAACCCACAGCCATAGAACTGATCGAATAACTTTTGATCAATTTTATCAGTTCTTTATCCTTGTCCATGTCATTTAGATTGATTGATTCACTTAAATAAAAATTTCATTGAAAAACTTACGATTTTTGCTCGACGCCAAAATTACAATTCCGTCCTCAAATTTCAGTTCTCCTCCAAAATAAGGCACATAAATTGACTTCCACTCCTCAAAAAATTTCCCAACAATTAAATTGTCACCAATTTTACGTCTTGCGATGTATGCCTTCACGCCTCCTTCATCGACATAGATAGAACCGGCAGAAATGATCTTTGTGGATGGATTGTAGGGATTCCAGGCTTGTTGACTGAAAAAATGTATTGAAAATTTGTTGAAATTAGAATTTAGAAAGATCCAGTGGATCCATAAGCTTCAGTTTAAAGGAATCCTTCCTTCCTACACCGAAAATCCATTAAATCTCACCCAATCACATCAGCACGACCAGTCTCAGTTAATATCCAATTAACGAACAAAGGAACATTTGTAAAGACAACATAGCTATCAGGTTGACAATTTTCAGTCAAACTAAGGATGGCTGCAGACACAATTCCAATTATTTGATATAAACCAGAGAGTGACTCAGTGACAAATCCAGCTCCACTGTCTCCTTTGCCTGTAAACTCCAAAAAAAAATGTAATTAAGAGTAAAGAACTGATCAAGGCACAGCACAATGGAATACAATTATTCCCAATTTCAATTCATTTTTCCCATTAAGTTGTGGCCCCCTTCAAACTTGATTAACCAAAGTTGATCAAGAGGCAGCACTCTTAATATCTACACTGGCCAAGCCTACTTACAAGCACTCTTACTCAAATCCCCACCACAAAATGTCCTCTTCGATGCAGCCTTAGCAAATCCTCCTGGATGCCACAAGCAGTTCTCTTGAGTCACAGTTGGAATCTGTAAATATCTCAACTTTCCATCAATTCCATCCTCATTCGAGTACGTCCCATACCCAGCAACAAATCCAGTCACTTCAAAAACTTTCTCATCTGGTGTTGGTAGACAAGCTGGCTGGACATACGGTGAGAATTCTACAGAACTGTTTAGCTTAATGATCGCAAGATCAGCATCGAACTTTGTATCATAAGTTGTGTTCCATTCTGGATGGGTTTTTACATCGATGACATCATAAATATCTCCATTGTTGTTTGACGAGTCAACAGCTCCGAGAGTCACTGATATTTGGTTGGGTGAGAGACGAGTAGCTGCTTTGTTTTGAATGCAATGTGCAGCTGAGGAAAATTGTCATGAAAAAAATTAAAAAAAATAATTTTATTGCTTCTCATTATCAACTGACATAAAGTTCAAAGGTTAAGGTCATGAATCTCATCCTCTAAAGTCACTATATTCATGCAGCTATCTCACAACTTACCTGTCAACACATACTGATCGCTAATCAACGTCCCAGAACAGAAATATTGCCTTTGATTTCCATTTTTAAGGTACAATGCAGCAGCCCATGGCCATTGACCATCGTCAGCGACCTTGTCTTTGTGATTTAGATTAACTTCAACTCTAGGCTGAATTCCAGGTATTCCACATTGATTTTGAGAATTAATTGACACAGCAAAGCTTATAAGAAGTGTAAAGAACTTGACGATCATGATGAGACTGAAAAGGTTTTAATTTTTGAGGCTCAGAGGTTGGAATGAGAACAAAAATTACAAAAAAAATAAGAGCGAGAAATCATTATAGACTCAAAATTGGTTCAGACTCTCCATAAAGCTTACTAAGTCTTAAATTGACTTGAAGTCTTGATTCAACAAAATCAGTGTCCCAGAACAAATAAAATTCATCTTTTCGCCATATTTTAAATACACTGCAGCTGCCCATGGCCATTGACTATCTTCAGCTAATTCTCCATTAAAAATCAGACCTGTTGGACCTCCAGAATTGACTTTAGAAATTCCACATTGATCTTGAGTAGCTAAAGACACAGACAAGCTGATGAAGAATATGAACAACTTCATGTTCACGGCAAGACTGACAAATGTGAATGTGAATGACTTACTCTCATCATGTAACAAGCTGTAATAAAGAGAGGAAGAGCTTAAAAAAGAGAATTTTCAGTTCTCAAAGTTGTGACTTTATTTTTTCTTTAATTTTCAAGAACCAAAATTTCAAATGAGTTTTTATATTTAAATTCTTTATCAAAAAATCCAACAGAAATGGTCCTTGTTGTGTCCACAACTTTCCCAATTATATATTTTGTTGGATGCCTCACTCGACCAACATAAAGCTTTGCTGCTCCTTCATATCCACCTTGAACTGCATTAGATGGGAACGTTCCGGTGAACGGAATCCATTTATCTGCAAATAAAGGATTAATATTGGAATTAACATCCCTAAAAGGAAGTTAAATCAACTTACGTGGCTTATTTGTTGTCATTATTTCGATTCCATCGCTAAATTTAAATTCAGTTCCATTGTAAGTTACAGAAAGTGAATTTAGCATTGGATTAAACTTTCCCACAACTACATCTTTGTCAATCTTTCTCCTTGCTACATAAGTCTTCAAATTGTCTTCATTTATGGATATAGCATCTGATGGTATTTGGTCTATTGATGAATTGAACGAAGTCCAGCCAATATCGCTGGAAATAAGACACGATAGATATGGAATTGGGGGTGGTATGAGTGGGATTTAAAGAGATTCGATTCTTAGGAATAAGCGTAGCCAAGTGCTGGATATTCCCAATCACTTACCTCAAAATCAGAATGTCAAAATCATCCTCAAATTCATACTCTTTTGCAAAGTATGGAACATAAATAATTTTCAAGGTATCCGCAATTTTTCCTAACAAATGCTTTCCATCGATCGTTTTACGTCCCACAAAGAGCTTGACAGTTCCTTCATATCCACCCTGAACTGCGTTTCTTGGGAATGTTCCATTAAATGGAATGAATTGATCTAAAAAAATTAAAAATTTGAAGTTAAAAATAAGTATGAGGGACTGTTTACAAATGATGTCTAAATGAGCATATTAGGGGCCGTTCACTTATGACGTCCAAGTGGGGGAGGGGGAGTGCAACAAAAGAGTAATAGAAATTCCAGGAAATCCATTGTTCTTTTTTTAAAATTGAACATTAATTTTGGACGTCATAAGTGAACGACCCCTTGGCTCGAGTGGCCCTTAAAAATCCACAAAACATCATTTATGAACAACATTTTGAATTTTCCTTCTCACATTTTGAATGTGTTGCCAATATTTCAATCTTGTCCCAAAACTGCAACTCCCCTCGAAAGTAAGGCACATAAATTGAGTTCCACAATGGAATGAACTTTCCAATAACCAGATTGCCATCCATCTTCCGTCTTGCTACGTAAGTTCTTGCGCTTCCTTCATCAATATACACCGAGTTTGGTGGTACATTGGCATTTGATATGTTGTGGTGGTTCCAAATCTCATCACTGAAAGGAAAATGATATGGAATTAAGTATATTGTACATGTCAGGCAGAGTTGTCACCTATCGAATTCCTATCAAAGGCAAAAATCTATCCCAGGCATTACCTTTGTATAGGCAGAAATTTTTGCCTTTGCCTAGACATGCCTAGTCAAAGGCAATACCTAGCCAAAGGCATTACCTAGCCAAAGGCACTGCCTTTGTAAGATTAAATCTACTATAGAAATTGCCTTTTGCCTTTAGTCTTACTCGTTGAGGTTTTTTTTTTAAATTTAAAACATCTTTTTTTCTTAATTTGAATTTATTTGAGCATAATAGTGAATCATACCTTCTTTTAAACCAATAATTTGCTACGTCGAAAATTTAAAAAATTTAATTTGTCGTTATCAAAAATTTTGTCGCCTTGGATAAATCAAAATTCGGCGTTTCAGTCATTTGGAGGGGGTCTATAGTTTTTCAATGGTTCAAACAAAAGAAATTTTGCATTATTGTTCAAAAACTCAACGAGTAAGGCTAAAGGTAAAAGGCAATTTCTATAGTAGATTTAATCTTACAAAGGCATTGTCTTTGGCTAGGTATTGCCTTTGGCTAGGTATTGCCTTTGACTAGACACACTTTTTTGCCTTTAGCTAGGCTTGCCTATACCTAGGTGTTGACTAGACAAAGGCAAAAGCTACCATGCTCCGCTGAGGCACCTTTTCAAAGGTACCTATCTGACAACTCTGATGTCAGGTTACGGGTTCGTAAGGAAAATCTAATAATCGGTACTTATGTGACCACAGGAACTGGTTTCTAGGGTTCTTTGAACTTGGCTAGACTTAAGATTTTGATTCTAGAAGAGCGTGCTCCTCCTAAGCTCGTAAAACTGGGTTTTTGCTATTCTGAAGGTGTTGATCAATCATAAAATAATGTTGAAAATCAAACTGTAGCTAATGTAGGACAAACTAGGTTATTTCAAACTTATAATCATCTAAGGACCCTTAAAAAGCAATCCATAAATGCCTCAAGATTGTGTCCTCGAGTTTTGAGGTTATGTCCTTCAAAAATCAAACAATATCAAACCTAATTTCCTTCTCACGATCAATTTCCTTCAATATCCAATCAACAAACATAGGAACATTGGTAAACACAACATAATTGTCTGGTCGGCAATTTTCATCAGGTCTTAACAGCGATGCTGATACAATACCAATAATTTTGAATGATGATGTTGGAGTTCTGACTACAAATCCAGCTCCACTGTCGCCTTTACCTAAAAATATTCCATAATTTATATCAAAATCGATTGAAAATCAGCCACAATAATTCTTACATGCACTTCTGGTCAAGTCACCACCACAAAAGGTCCTGTTTGATGCTATTATAGACAATCCACTTGGATGCCATAAGCAGATTTCTTGAGTCACTGTTGGGATCTTCAAGTACCTCAATTTCCCATCAAGAACATCACTATTGGACACTCCATAGCCGGCAACAAAGCCAGTGACTTCAAACACTTTCTCGTGTGGCTTTGGCAAGCAAATTGGTCGAATTTTATCTGAAAATTCAACTAAACGGTCAAGCTTAATGATCGCTAAGTCAGCATCGTAAGGAGTCCTTGAATCAATGTTCCATTCTGGATGCATCACAGTTTCAATGGCACTTCGAATGACTCCATTGTTATTAGACGAATCAGCTGTTCCAAATGTGACACTCATTATGTCAGTATCAAATCTGGATCGTCCTTTGTCCTGGATGCAGTGAGCAACTGTTGTGAAAATTGAGATATTTATAATTTGTGGTTTGAGGTTAGAAGGAGGTCGTGGGTGAGTTTGAGATTTTGTAAATATTCAAAAAAAATTGAGGAAAAGGGCTGTTAATAAATGACGTCCTGCATTATGGGGATTGGGGTTCTAGAGTCCTGTGACTATTTCTACCATGAGAGGAGAGAGGGTCAAAGAATCTCTTTTCTATGTGACGTTAGTTATGAATAGTCCCCAATAATCATCACGATTTACAACATAAATTCAAGTTGCAATTGTTGTTGAAAGTTCTGAATTGATAAGCATGATCTTAATAAAAAAATGACTTTGAGATTTTATTGATTAAGTCAAGGACTTACTCCCTTATTATGAAGCAGGGTTGCAACAAGCTTGTATGTTGTAGACTGAATAGGGTTTTTTGTACAGAAAGTCAGTGAACTGGCAAAAACCTCGGAAGATGGCTCTACAAAATACCCCCCCCCCCCCCCTCTTAAATTTTCCATAGAAATTTTTATTTTCATTCTCTCTTCAAATTCCTTCCTACGCCCGTGCGTTTTGTCTAGCGCGCTCACTATGCTCCTGCAGTATACTATTAATTTTGTTTAAACAAAACAAGATTGTGCATTTAGTTATTTGCATTTAATGTCTCATTCATATGCTCACACTTACTGACTGGTTTTATTTTATTTGCAACATGAAAGGGGTCGTTTAAAAATGATGTCCATGGATTATTTTCTCCATGAACTAACCCCCTCCTCCTTTTTCCTACCCTTCCTCCTCTTCCCCTTCCCCCTTCGCCCTTCCCCCCTTCCCCCTTCCCCCCTTCCCCCCTTCCCCCCTTCCCCCCTTCCCCCCTTCCCCCCTTCCCCCCTTCCCCCCTTCCCCCCTTCCCCCCTTCCCCCCTTCCCCCCTTCCTCCCTTCCCCCTTCCCCTCCGTTCTGAATTTGTCATTGCAAAAATGATTGAATCAGATTTAAAGACTGTTAAACGGTTTTCATCTGTTTAAGTAGAAGACGTCATTAATGAATAGCCATAAACCAGAAACTACACATGTGTATGAATGTATTACATATGACTGTACATTTACCAAAGCATGTGGATGTAACTTTAGCTTTACATCCAAACTATTTACCTGTAAGAACAGACTGACCGCTTATTAATGTCCCAGAACAAAGAAAATTCCTCTTTTCTCCATATTTTAAATACACTGCAGCTGCCCATGGCCATTGACTATCTTCAGCTAATTCTCCATTAAAAATCAGACCTGTTGGACCTCCAGAATTGACTATAGAAATTCCACATTGATCTTGAGTAGCTAAAGACACAGAAAAGCTGATGAGGAATATGAACAACTTCATGTTCACGGCAAGACTGACAAATGTGAATGTGAATGACTTACTCTGAGTCTTTCTCATCATGTAACAAGCTGTAATAAAGAGAGTAAGAGCTTAAAAAAGAGAATTTTCAGTTCTCAAAGTTGTGACTTTATTTTTTTTTTCAATTTTCAAGAACCAAAATTTCAAATGAATTTTTATATTTAAATTCTTTATCAAAAAATCCAACAGAAATGGTCCTCGTTGTGTCCACAACTTTTCCAATTATATATCTGCCTTGATGCATAACTCGACCAACATAAAGCTTCGATCTAACTTCATATCCACCTTGGACTGCATTAGATGGAAATGTTCCTGTGAATGGAATCCATTTATCTGCAAATAAAGGATCAAGATTGGAACTGACTTCCTTAAAAGCTAGTAAAATCAACTTACGAGGCTTATTTGTTGTCATTAGCTCAATTCCGTCACCAAATCTTTGTTCCTCTCCATTGTAAGTGACATACACTAAACTCCACATTGGGATGTATTTTCCAATAACTAAGTTGTTTCCTATCTTTCTCCTTGCTACATAAGTCTGAACATCACCTTCGTTCATTGAAATGGCATCTGATGGTATCCTGTCCGTGGTTATATTAAATGAGGTCCAGCCATCGTCACTGGAAATGGTAGAATTGAGGTTTAAATTTAATCGTGATTTTTTTTTTCATTTTACAGGTTTTTATTGCAAAAAATCCCAAAACAGAGCAGGATTGACTCCACTGAATACCAATTATTAATGACGTCATTTGTGAACGGCCACTTACCTCAATACCAAAATATCAAAATTGTCTTGAAATTCATGCTCCTTTGAGAAATGTGGAACGTAGATTTTCTTTGATAAATCCACAACTTTTCCAATAATCTGATTGCCATCGATCAGTTTACGTCCCACAAAGAGTTTAGCGGTTCCTTCATATCCACCCTGAACTGCATTTTGAGGAAATGTTCCAGTAAATGGAATCCATTGGTCTGAAAAATGATAAAGAGTTATGCTTCTACTAGCTTTTTATTTATTTTGATGGCCGTACAGATCAATTTTGATCTTTGGCCTCTACTAGCTTTCACTAAACAATAAAAAGCTACATCATAAAGCTAGTTAATCGCAGCTCTAGATCTTCATGGATTAAGGCAGTGGTGGACAACCTTTTTTGAGCCACAGTACATCATGTTGAGCTTTACACAATATCGTACACGTCATATAGTTCGAGGAATATCCCAAAATTTTTAATGTGCCGTGGCACATAGGTTGACCACCACTGGATTAAAGTATAATACTTGCCAGAGGTGCAGACAGCTTAAGTTAAAATATAAAAAGATACAAAACTTTCTAACCTAAGCTGTCCGTCCTCTTGCCTTGCCAATCATCTCACGTTTTTTATTTGTTGCTAAAATTTCAATGTCATCCCAGAACTGTAGCTCTGCTCGGAAGTAAGGCAAGAAAATGGAGTTCCAATCAGGAAGAAACTTTCCAATAATTAGATTTCCATTTGTCTTACGTCTCGCTACATAAGCTCTAACTGTTCCTTCATCAAGATACACAGAGTTTGGAGGTATGTAAGCTGTGGATGGGTTGTAAGCATTCCAGACTTCATTGCTGAAAATAATATTGAAGATTTTAGTCAAGAGCTGGTTTCTTATGTATTTTTTGGTCAAATGGCTACTGGTTTGGCAATAGATCTGGTCTATTGGGCTTCTTTGGGAACTTTGTCTTAAATGCAGTTGATTTTTTCCCTGTTAGCCATTCGTACCGCTTGCAACCAGCCCTAGAGCTCGATCATACTCTAACAATCATTTTCTCACCTTATTTCCTGTTCACGTCCAATTTCTCTCAAGATCCAATCGACAAACAAAGGGACACTCGTAAATACAGCATAACTATTAGCTCTACAATTTTCATCACGTGCCAAAATGGCAGCTGACACGATTCCAATAATCTCATAAGTTGATTTAAAAGACTTAACAACAAATCCAGCTCCACTGTCTCCTTTGCCTAAAAATAATCCATAAAACAGTTCCAAACTAGCCAAGAATCAGCAGCATCAATCCTTACAAGCACTTTTTGTCAAATCACCACCACAGAAGGTCCTTTTTGAAGCAGTTGTTGAGAATCCACTTGGATGCCATAAGCAGTTCTCCTGTGTCACAGTCGGAATCTTCAAGAACCTCAACTTACCATCCAGAACATCACCATTCGATACTCCATAACCAGCTACAAAGCCTTCAATCTCAAACACTTTCTCGTGAGATTTTGGCATGCAAATTGGTCGAATTTTGTCTGAAAATTGAACTGGCTTGTCAAGCTTGATAATTGACAAGTCAGCATCAAATTGTGTCCCATCCGTCGAATCCCAGTCAGGATGAATCTTAGTTTCAACAGCATTTCGAATGACGCCTTGATTGTTTGACGAATCAGCTGTTCCAAGAGTAATGGATATTCGGTTTGCCTCGAATCTCGCATTTCCTTTATTTTGGATGCAGTGAGCGGCTAGAATGAGGAAGAATTTGATTTTATTGCCTTGTTATTGACTGGAAAATCCATTTTAAGTTGGAATCTTGTTGATTGTGATAAGTTTGAATTGTTGGGAATGTCCCATGTTATTGACATACATGTGAAGCTTCTCAGAGAGCCAAGTCGCTCTCTTTTGGTTGTGCATGAGCATGATTAAGTGCAAATGTCTTGCAGTACTCTCATTTTTTAACGGTAAACAAACATGATTTATTGCACAAAACTAGTATTTGATTCCTGAACTTATTGTTGTTGTGACAAGCTAGCTATGGAACTAGTTTTACTGATCTGATCAAACTTGATCATATTGATGCATGACTATTGACTTTTGACTTGTTTATTGTCAAGGGGGTAACAACATGAAGGGAAGTTTATCCAAAAACATGCTCAACTGTGCTGATTTCTTCTTGAAAAGGAAGTTGAGTGAGCAAACTGCAGGCTCTCCCCTTTCCAACAACTAAGCATGCACGCCAATTTGTTTAGTAAACCTCCCAATCAACAGACACAACATAAACACATCAACTCACCAGTAAGCACAAACCGATCACTTATCAACGTCCCAGAACAGAAGTAATTTCGATATTTTCCATCATTAAGGAACAGCGCAACTGCCCATGGCCACTGACTATCTTTAGCTGATTCTCCATTAAAAATCAGACCTGTAGGACGTCCAGAATCGGTTCCAGAAATTCCACATTGGTCTTGACACTTTATAGACACAAAAAGACTAGAGAAGAATATGAACAGTTTCGTGTTCATTGTAAGACTGAAGACTGATGAGCGAAAAGTATTATTTAAAGTATGAATAAGGAAATTGAGAGCGGAAAAGAGTAAGCTTTAAGCTACTCAAAACCAGAAGAGAGTGAATAGTTGCAAAGCTATTGAGAATGATTATAAAAATGAGATTCTTTATTGTTATAATACTCAGCTAAAGATGAGACTGTAAATATTAATATTGTGTATTGATTGATAATTAATAGTGCAGGTTAAGACTTATACATTTAGGCCAGTTCCTTTCTCAAGGCTCTCTGACCACCATTTTGAAGATAACATCTGAGAAAGTCTTCTGTCTCCAAACTGGTCTAGAATTACTCCTCTAGATCTACCCCTAACCTAAAACTAAACCACAACTCTATCTTCTACACTCCTGGGCAGGGGTTCTCAAACTATGCTTCACGAACACAAATCCTAGGTTTGTCAATAAATGCAGCTAATGTATCGCAAAAACATGATTAAGAATAAAATATTCCAAGGCATTTAAAGTTTGAGAAACACTGATCTATGGCAGGGATGGCAAACCTTTGTATTGTGTATATGATGACCAATTACTGGGGCATACGACTTTACCTAACCTATATTAAAATTTTATTCTATTCTTTATTAATCTAAAAAGCAAACCATAGTGACATTCTGTGCGACACACGACTCCAGTGTTTCTTAAACTTTTTCTAAGGCGATACACTGAACTTCTGATCTAGTTTAAATTTAATGTGTCACTATAAATTTCTTGAAAAGTTTGGAAGCATTGCTGGCACAGCAAAGTGCCTTGAACCATAGTTTGAGAAGCACTGCATACTAGTTTCAATATTTTAAAGTTTTAGTCTAAAGTTCAGTTTTTCGCGCTCTGAAAAGTTTAAGAACCACTGTTTAATTGGGTAAAGGTGAATATACAGGCTTCAATTGGCGAAAAAAGTTTGAGAAACACTGGAATAAAGCATAAAAGTATATAAAATTACATAATAAAATCACTAAAAGTCGTAAATTTTGTTGACATCTCAAGATTTTCCATCTCATCCTCGCTAAAGACATAACTTATCAGCTTCATCAAACTCTTCAAAATGTTCTTACGAACTAAGATTTTCTTGGCAACCCCAAAGTAGTCCTGGATGAACTCCTTCAGACGATTCTTGTTGTCTGAAAATATTTCCTTTACAAACATCTCAAATTCTGGATAGACTGGATCGTGGATGAATGAAATGTACTTGAAGATGACTGAATATAGAATTATTATGTCTTCCAGCTCAGTCCATGAGTCCTTGTAGGTTATGTAGAGGTTTTTGTACATTCTGAACAAGTTTACGTCTGTCGACCTGATTGCATGAACCAGAGGATGTAAATCTGATCGATGTTTGTAGAATAGAACCTCCCTGATGATGTCCTTGTCGTAATCCAAGAGTTCCTGAAATACCGACCCAAAATACATCAGCCCTTCCTCATTTGAAGTCTTTGATGCGTAGAATTCCACAAATTTGATGGTTTTATCGATCAAACCTTGCTTGTTTGATTTAAAGATGTCAAAAATCCTTTTAAAAACTCTGTTCAAGATTTTTACATCGACAAACTTGAAGACCTTCAGCTCAATTAGCTTATTGTACACCAATCTTTCATCCTCAATCTTCATATTCTCCTCAACTAAGCTGAGAAGCTTCAGGAAATTCTTATCGAATTTATCATTAAAATTTGCAACTTCGTCATCGCAAACCAACGTCTGCTTACTTTTGTTGAACATCACATGCCAGTTGGAACCGAAACAATACTCAACGAGTTCAATAAACTTCTTAAAGTCATTGTAATCGCTCAGCAAGTCAGTTGTAAGGAACCTCTTGATCATATTGCTTAGTTCATCGACTTGCCAAAGGATCTTGAGGAACATCGAGTTTTTAATCAGAAAGATCGACCATAACTCGAGTGATCTAAGCGACAACTTGCTCTCCTTTTCTTTGAGAATCCCCAAAGCCTCCTTTATGACCAGAGCTTCAGCTTTTGGATGCAACTTTTGCTTGTCACTCTTGACTTCATTCCGCATGAAATTGAGCAAAAAAAGACGGGAAATTTGGAATTTTTTGCTTTCAATTTCCATGACTGAGAGAATTTTAAAGATCTTTGGAAACTCATCAGGCACGATTGTCGAGTCTTGATTGAATAAATTTGATATTATGAACTGTGCCATGTAGAACTGATTGTATGATTCATGTGCAAAATCAAATGAATCACGTTGATCTGGGTCTTGCATTAAGAATTTATATCTTGTGATCCTCTCCGTCGTGTAATTGTGCTTCTCTTTCTCCCAATTCACTTCAATTGACAGGTCCTCAAGCTTAAATCCAAACTTTTCATCATAATGATTCCCAAATGCTGATTTTAAGGCAAATGCTTGATGGAACTTTAACAATTGGACACCAGCCAGTGGATTTTTTTCATCACTTTTGTAATTTTTCTCAGTCTTTCGTCTGATTCTGTCGACGACCTGCTCGAAGATCTCACAAAGGCTAGTGTTGATATTGATTTTAGATCTTATGTATAAAGCTGTGATGTTCTCGATAATTTGTGGATTCTCGATGGTACACAAATGACATAAATCTTCCTCAATTCTGTCTATTAAGGATAGGATCTCCTGTGCAATTGTGAACCTCTGCGATGAGTTGCAGTAATTCAAGCTTTTTAAGGTCTTCTCGATAAATGTTCGCTTTTCCTTCCTGTAAATTGTGATGACTGTCTTGTAAGCCTTAACTTCGAAGATGTCTTCAAGTCTTTTGATATTTTGTGGCTGGATTGAGATCCACAGTTGATGTGTACGCTCTTTTTTGAGGAGAATCAGCATTTTTATGAAGAATTCATAAATCTTTGGGCTGACATCGTCGATAGTGTCAAGCAGCAGGATGACTTTGTTATTATTAAATAATTTTGTGAAGATTTTTACTTCCATTTCTGAGCTTAAGTTTAGAATCTTTTGTAGTAGTTCCGTAATATTCGTAATTGTCAGTTTCAAGGTTTTTCGAACATGCTCCTCAAGTATCTCTTTGTGATCTTTAACTTTGATGTAAGACACCCAAAAGCTTTTATAGCTATCTTTAAGTTTCACAGCCAGATCCTCAAACGTCGCTGTCCTAATCTTCTTATCATGATCAGCAAGAAGGAAGAATTTTTCACTTTCTGTCTCACTTTTGATCTGCATGTAGTTTTTGACATTCTTATTAACTCCCATGTCTTCATCCTGGACCTTCTCATCCATTTCAACATTAAAGTCAACGAACTTCCTTCTTATAATTTCACATTTTGAGTCCGTTGGTTTTTTATCTGAGATTTTTATGGTTTGGTTCTTGATAAGGCAGTCTCTGATTTCACTGGATGTCAGTAGCCTGAGAATCATTCCATCATTACCAAGGAGGCTGTAAAATGTTGTCTCAGCGCCCTAAAATGGTGAGAAAGAATTATTTTAGGCAATTTTTAAAATTAAATGCATGTTCCGTACCTGAAGTATCAGTTTTCCATGCGACACTCGTTCCTTCATCGACTTTGTGAGGCTCTCAAAGTGAATAACCCGGCTGGTGTCATGTAACATCTTCAGCACATTCAAAGTTTCCTCCATTCTCGGCTCAAATGTGTTTTTGTGATACTTAAAAAGCTCCTTAAATTTTCTCTCACTGTCCTGCATCTTCCTTAACTTCTTAGCATTTTCTTGGTCAGTTACTTCATCACAGATCCGGTACTTCATCATTATCTGTACAACACATGCTATTAATTCCGAATGAATCAGTTCCTTTGGCTCACTTAATGCATTGCTGATAAGTTTCTCATATTCTTTGTTCTTTTCACATTCTGTGATGACTTTTTCCATATAGCTTTTTTTGGATGACGAAAAGTTACTGCATGAATATGGATTTGTATGATTCATGAACGTAATCATACATGCTAGTCGACTCAGCTCCTTAATCATCACTCCAATGACTTCAAACTTCTTCACATTGTCCATCAGTTTCTTTGCACCAATATAGATGGTTCCATTACTCAGCATATTTGCTTTTGTTACCAATGAATTAATCTGATCTTTATAAAATCCAATATCCTGCTTAAAGTCACAGAAAATCTTAAGTTTCTTCCATGTTGCAGCAACTTTAAGGATTAATGAGCATTCTGGAATTTCATCAAGGATCTTAAATGCATCTTCAACGCACATCCATTGCTTTTGTGATTGTTGTGGATTAAAATTGACTTTTGTTTTTGATTTAAGGATGAATAAGTGTGCGGTCGGTGATTCACTCAAATTAACGTCAGTCACAATTTCCTCATACAATGGACTTGTGTCTTCATGCAATGCTTTGATCTCGCCAGTTTCGTCACGGTCGAACATGATGCCTTGATTGTTTCTGTCATAAAAATGGCACAAGTGTGGTTCATTGTCGATCTTCTCCTTCAGTTCCTTCAATCTATTTTCACCGAGTAGCTTATGCAGACCTTCACACATATTGATGAACTCTTGGACCTCTGGCGATGCTTTCTTGTACTCAAACCCGACTTTCTTAGCAGGAAATCTTGAATTCAACCTCAACAAACTCATGATGATCTTGTTAGCTTTGCTTCTGCCTTCGTTATCGCTAGTCTCATCTGTAAAGTTGATCCATGCAAATTCTGCAGCATTACGTCCATTTGTGTCTTCACAGTCAACATGAAAGCCGTATTCAAGGAGCTTCTGAACCATTTCACAGTTGTTTTCTTGAACAGCTATCATGAGTAGGTTGCAACCTGATTCATTGCCTAGCTCCTGAATTTTTATCTTTTCTTTGGTGTGGAAGATCTTGTGAACAGCTAAACGAGGGGATAAATTGATTTTTGTGGATTAAATTGTAGGTTAGATTGACTGAAATTGAGTATAGTTCATGAAATACACTAGAGGAGATACCAAGGGATGGGTTTTAGGGTTATAAATGGTAATCTGCTCTAGTTAAACCATTACTTAGAAAGAGAAGATCTATTGGAGGTTCAGCTTCGCTTGTGAATCACAGTAAGCAGTTATTCGTGCTTTGTAGTGTCAATTCTAGAGCAAGTAGCCTTGGTAAGCCCTAAAAGCCAGCTTTTATATATATACAATCTTAGGAGATAGTGATGGAGAAGCCAAAGTCAAAAAGGACACTCATGAGATGCAGTAAGACTTTTATTTTGTATTTAGCACATTTAACAACATATTGCATCATTCCAGCTTAGTCCAAGCTTGGTTCAAGCTTTAGCTATGGAAAATCCTAACCTATAACCCTTATGGAGCTCATCGGCTTCATTTTAAAGCCCAAACTCCTAGAGTATGATAAAAATCCATCAAATCTACTCACCAGACTTCTCAAGCTTCAACTCCTTCATAATAAACCTCCTGCAATATTCAGCCAAACTTCCATCAGAATCCTCAAAGTCATCCAGCTTGTAAACCCTTTCCGAACCTGCATTCTTCCAAAATATATCGCTCCTATACTTCCCCAATGTTGACTCAAAGATGAACATGATTAATGTCTTTTTGTTGAATTTTAATTTTCTGAAGTTTTCATTTAAATTATTATTGAATTTTTCCTCGATCTTCATGATTACACCAATCAGGTTGTCCATTGCGATGAATTCGGATTTAAACCAGATTGACGAGATCATCTCAAGAGCTTTGTCGACAGATGGGATGTTGACTATCTCTATGACATCTGATTTGTTGAGTTCCTTCTCAAAGTTTTTCAACATTTGACGTTGAATCAGATGAAATTGAATTTGGAATGGTGTCTGCATTTTTGACTGGAAATTTAGAATTTATTGAGGATCCAATGGTAAATTATTGATGATATTAATGCAGTGGTGGCTCACTTGTGTGCCACGGCACAAAGGTTGGACATTACTGTATTAATTGATTATTTTCTCTTACTTACTGCTTAATTTTTCAATTTTACAAATTTATAATAAACTCCAACGACAATGAATCTGGATCAAGTCTAAAATTTGACTAAATTTGAAAGATAATTTTATCACATCAAGTGAGCTAAACATTGAATCATGCTTGTCATATGTAAAGTCGAATCATTAGAATGATTCAGAAAGATGCAATGTTCTCTGATTAAGGTTGACATTATTATGAATAATCTGAAATTATGTGAGCTGTACTAAATACACAGATTCATCTGGGGCAGTGGTGGTCAACCTGCAGTGTGCCGTGGCACAGGGGTTTGCCATTACTGCTCTAGATTTTCTAAGAAAATATATTTTTAGGGTAAATGACTTTGAAATTTGCGCAACCTTGAAATTTGCGCACTCGTATGAAAACGAAAATTTTAAAATTATATGTAAAAATGTCACTTCTGTTCAGACGATCAATGGGAAATGTTTGTAGAACACCAGCGCAGATGTTTTTGCATCATTTTTAGTGATATTAAACCATTAGGAAGCTCAATAATTTGCACCCGAAAAATCCCATACAAAAAAAATATTTCTTAAAAATTTGATTTTGGGATGTATGTGATAGATTTAGTTGAGATTTTGGTACCAAAAATGAAGATCTGACGTTGCTTCAAATTATTTTGATGGTGCAAATTCAAAAGGATGAGTAGAACTGCTTTAAAATTCCATTTTAAAAGTTCCCATTTTTGAACCTTGAATTTTGCGCAAAATTTTCTGAAAATTTTGAAATTTGCGCACTTTGTATCGTAGAAATCGACAGAAAATTTTGTCAACATTAATTAATATTTAAATCCAAAAATGAGGATTTTAGAAGGATTGTTGATGAAATGGATATGAGGACATAGGACAAAAATTATGCAAATGATTTCTAAATATTTATTTCAATAAAAACGCCAGCAAAAGTCAAGAAAACCGTCAAAAATGATCAAATTTGAGCACTTCAAGGAAACATCCATGAAGGTCCTGTTTAAGTATGGAAAGTCATCAGTTAATAAAGAATGGAGACAAAAATATGTTTAATGCTTAAAATATTTTCTGTTTATTTGATATGTTATAAATAAATCCTGACATTTAGAAGTGCTTTAAAATTGACATTTGTTTGATATTTGATATGTGAGTTTTGAACTGTTCTTGTCAGGGCTTGAAATAAATTTTCAAGACATGTTTTTCTTGATGTCTCTTCTTGACATGAAATTGAACGAGCTAGCCACATATACACCAACCACAAAATAAAACATTCTTTCTTGTAGAAATTCTTGATCAAAAAGTTCTTAAAAATTTAAATCCATGGCTCCATTTTTTGCTTGAATTTAGAGTTGATGCACCAAATAAATGTAAAGAAAAATGTTTGTTTACACATTTTTCTTTAAAATATGTCAAAGATCGCTACTGAAAAAGTGCGCAAATTTTAAGATTTTTTTGCGCAAATTTCAAAGTTTTCTGCGCAAATTTCAAAGTTCAACTTTAAAAGTCAAATTTCTCTGCATTGACGCAGCAGAGCTTCCTTTACACATATAAAGAAGAAAATATCTTTGATTCCCTGCATTTCAAGACCATTAGTTGGACTCAGTTACAATCCTCCGAAGAGATTGAAGCAAATGAAAATTTCATGTGTGAAAATGCGCAAATTTCAAGGTCATTTACCCTATTTAAACTTTATTTCTTTCACAATTATTTAAATGATCTGATATAAAACTAAGAGGTATATGGTTGGCTGATTGGCTGGTTGGTTTACTGGAAGCACTTTGAGACTTCTAGTGTTTTGCATTTGATTTCTGCCTGTTCATAATGCGGACGAAAAGAGGCCGTTCACTTATGAAGTCCAGGGAACGAGGGGAGATTGGGGAGGGAGCAAATCCATTGCTTTTGTGATTGCTGTGGATTAAAATTGTCTTTTTTTTTTTTGATTTAAGGATGAATAAGTGTGCGGTCGGTGATTCACTCAAATTAACGTCAGTCACAATTTCCTCGTACAATGGACTTGTGTCTTCATGCAATGCGAGGATCTCGCCAGTTTCGTCGCGGTCAAACATGATGCCTTGATTGTTTCTGTCATAAAAATGGCACAAATGTGGTTCATTGTCGATCTTCTCCTTCAGTTTTTTCAAGAAAGAGGGGGGGGGGGGGGGGAATGGGGGGGGGGAGGAATGGGGGGGGGGAGGGGTCAAGAAGAAAAGATCTATAAAAGTTCCTGAAAATCCATCGTTCTCTTTTTGAAAATGACCGTTAATTACAGACAATATAAGTGAACGACTCTTAAAATATTTTTTGTTTTTTAAATCCTTAATAAATTTTAAAAATAGGAATATTTTTGGAATCCCAAGGAACCGTTTTGTGATTTTTTTTTCTTTTATAAGATTATTTGTTTTGTAGCTTCCGGATTTTAATTTTGATTTCTGATTTTACTTGAGCAATGATTTATTGATCTATGCAAGCAAAATGCGAATAATTTACAACAAGACGAACGAACAAACCTCCCATCTACAAGTTAGCCATAAGACTTAAAAGGTTAGGAGATATTGTCGGAAGACCTTATTGAGTTTAGGTGGTTCTAAATATCGATTGCACAATTCTCATTTAATAAAATTTAAAAATTCTATTTAATTTGAAAACAAACTTTTTAAAAAGCTTTGTGGATCGCTTTCATTATTTCCACCATCCTTCAATATTTTAATAACAGTTTCGTGAAAGTTTTGATCAGAATTTTTTATAAAATCCCATAAAAAATTACAAATATTTCTGTAAATTCTCTTACTTGCGATGAATTTTAGCAAATTGAAAGTTTTTTCAAATTCTTCATCCTCAATTCCAAAATAATTGTCAAATAGGAAAGAAAGACAGAATTTAGAAACGAAAAGTTCTGCAAAGCTGACATGAATGAATTTGACATTGTTCTCGTCATCCTTTGAATCCACAAACAAGAGTCCATGACTTTCAATTTCTTCTTCTGTCCAATGTCGTTGTTCACTTTTCCAATTTTTCATGATTGCTAAATCTTCAAGTTGATCTTTATAATCAGCTCCAAACATAACTTTTAAGGCATAAACTTGATAAATATCATCGATTGAGAACCTTTTTTTGTGCCAATTCAGCATTAAATCAATTTTATCATTGAACTTAGTTTCTAATCTGCTGTAAATTGCGTCAAGTGCTTGATATGTATTAAGTGAGTCTTGTGATAATTTGATGATATTTTCAGCATAAAGCTCTGTTATTATTTCAATAGTCAGTGGATTATTGATTTTATGGCTGCTGTGCTCAAGGAAGTCAATGAAATTAATTAAATCTTTAGGAATTTCAGTGTCTAAAGTTCTTAATTTGAAGGATTTATGAGTCATTAAAGTTTGTTTGATTAGTGACTCATTTTCATGCTGTGTCATTGGATATAAATTGTAAATTGCATCAAATTTGATAGATTTTGATAATTTAAGTGCAAGATGATGTCTTGTGGATATCCAAAGTTGATTATTTTTCAAAAATTTAATTATTTTTATCATAAAATCGAGCTTTTCAGCCTTAATTTCATCAAATTCGTCAATCAGCAATATAAATTTGTTTTCTTTGAACATTTTCTTGAAGATTTCGATGCCAAATCTTGATTGTATGTTGAAAACTTCTACGAACAGATTAATAACATCTTCTGCTGTCAACTCAGCTCCTGTATTGCTGTATTTCTCCAAAACTTTAGAATTTTTCCTAATATTCACCAATCCAACCCAAAAATTAGGGAAATTCTTCTTTAATTTCACAGCTAAATCACGAAAAGCTGCTGTTTTTCCAGCTCCAGCTGAACCAATTAGGATGAATAATTTTGAAGCTTCAACTGACATCACTTGTTGATAACTCAATGTTTCTGGTTGGTGGTCATTGAAGCTTGATGTTTGTAGGTTCTCTTGTTTTGTTGGTTCGAAGAAAATTAGATTTTTTATAGTTTGCAGCATGGATGGCTCGTTTTGATGATCTTTGATGTCTTTTTCAACATTGTGGACATCAATTTTTAAAAACTTCCTTTCAATTACATTCTCACACTGTCGCAGTTCCCCAATTTCAATGATTTCATTCCTCAATAAAATATTTTGAATATTCTCGGATGTCAAAAATTTGAGGACATTGGGATCATCGCCAATCATGTCATTCAAGGTTGTTTCTTGCCCTTGAAATATTATTTTTGAAGACAAAATTCTAAGCTTCATCGGTGCTATCAAGTCATCGTATTCAACAGTATTTTCAGGATCATGAAGATATTTTAATGCCTTTTCTACTTCCTTGACGTCTGCTGACTTAAAATAGTTGAAATTGTCAAAGTTTTTGTTGCTTTTGGAATAAAATTTGAAGACTTTTTTGACAACTTGATTTAATTTTTCGTCTTGTGTTGTCTTGTAGCCTTGATGAGCTGGATTTGTGACTTTTCCAGGTTCTATGTTTGCATTTGTATCCAAAAATGTAATTTTAATCACCAAATGACTCAATTTTTGGACAAAATCACATAAAGTTGCCAATTTATTTGAATTGATTAAGTTTTTGGCATTGACATTGATTTTAGCACTTCCATCTGTCTTATCTGCAGCTTTATCCTTGGTACAAACATTCTGTTCCTTAAAATCAAAGTTGATGAACAGCTCCTCACAAGTCGCAGCAATTCTTAATATTTTGGAACAAATTTCATTCTTATTAAGGACATTGTAAGCGTCATTGATTAATTTCCAGCATTCTTGACTTGCCATTGTATTGTTAAGTATTATTGATCTAGAATTAAGCACCAAAATGTGACGACTTAATGCACAATCTATTGATAAATCCAAATCTCCGTAAATATCGCTCAATTTTTCACTCCTATTAATCGATAACACATCCTTAATAGCTTCTATTGAATTAATTTGATTCTTTTTTAAGGCTAGGAACATTGCAGATTCATTAAATCTGTCGTAAAAGTACCGCAAATTGTTGTTTCTGCTTAACAACTTCTGAATTCCACGGACATAATCGTTTTTAATTAATTGATGCATTTCTTCACTCGTGTCAATGAATTTTTTAACAACATCTGGTGCCTTTTCATACTCAAAACCTAGATTTTCTTTTGGAAATTTAGAATTTGCTTTCAAAAGAATTAAAATTTCATTTTCGATACTTATGTCTTTAGAATTGATGAAATTAATCCATAAATGGTCAATGACGTTAAGATTGACGTCATCTTCATGATCAATATCAAAGTTATACTTGAAAAGCTTATCGATGATGTCACTGCGGTTTTTTATGGCTGCATGAATAAACAAGTTTTGCTGTTTGTGATTTCTGAGTTCTTGGATATCAATTGTTGGCTCAATTCTTCTGTCTGGTTGTCCTAAAAACAGTTTATACAATTCCAATTCCTCAGTGGGATCGTTCACTTATGACGTCCGAAATTAACGGTCGTTTTTCAAAAAAGATAAATGGATTTCTAGGAATTTCTATTTTTCTTTTCTTTCTGACCCCCCCCCCCCCCCTGGACGTCATAAGTGAACAGCCCCAGTACAAATTATTTCTTTTTAATACTTACCAAATTTCATAAAGTTTGAATCCGATGGAAGGAAGCTTTGGCAAAATTTTGCTAAAGTCTGATTTGTGTCATTTTTAATACCCAAAAAATTAATTTTATTGCAATCAGAAAATGTCCAAATTTCTTTATAATCTCGTAAAGCTCTTTTGTTTGATTTGACATTTGGTGAAAATTCTTTAATCTGGAATTTTGGTGGATCTGGCAGAACAGTTAATGCATGTCGAACCTGTTCTGTCGACATTCTGCAACTTGCATTGTCATCATCTTCATTTTTATGTTCCTTTTTTTGCTTCTTTGTCTCTTTTTCATTATTTTTTCTCATCATTTCTAACAAAATAAACCAATTAAATGATTTTTTTTGATATTTTTTGCACAACTTTACAAGATTTTCATTTTAATTTTTAATATAACTTTGGTTATTCACTCAAAATATCACTTTCTATTTATAGAAGATAAAGAATAAGGGGTCGTTCACTTATGACGTCCAATATTAACGGTAATTTATTTTTTAAAAAGAACAATTGAATTCCAAGAACTTCTTTTGTTCTTTTCTTGCTGACCCCCCACCCCCCCCCCCCCCCCCCCTCTCCCTCCCTTTGGACGTCATAAGTGAACGGCCCCTAATCCAGGGGCTTTTGACTAAGTTTAAAACATCATTTGTAATTTTTGATTGGAATTCTTTTTTTAAATATTGTTATTTTTTTCTACAATATAACTAAAGTTAGCTGAAAATCTACAATTTTGTGAAATACTTTATTCAAATTGACGGTCAGATTGTACCAAATTCTTACTTCCTTACTTTTTTGGGCTGAGGCGAGGTTTGTTTGAGTGTGACGCCCAGCGAGTCCACCCTCATTAAACAATCAATAGCTACAAAGGTAAAGAGAATATGCAAAGGGTGAATTGTGGCAAAAAGGGTACTCTTTATTATTCAACTTTTAAAGTGTATTTTAATTTGTTTACGTCCAGTCAGGGGCGTAGCCAGGAATTTGAAGAGAGGGGGGACAAAAAATTTATGCGGAAAATTCCGTGGGAAGGGGGGATTTTTATGATTTTTTTCATAAAACTCTTAGCAAAATGAAGAAATTTTTGTTAACGTCGGGGGATTTGTTCCCCAAATCCCCACCCCCCCTTTGGTTACGCGCCTGCGTCCAGTAGATGATAAAAAAAAACCTGTTTGTGTAGTGGAAGTCCAGTTTCGGCCATGGCTTAGCACCTAATGTAAAAACGTTGTTCACCGCTACTTCAATGGTCTCTGCTGAATAGGCTGTCCAACTGCTCTCTTTTTCCCTGGATTATTCCGGTTTTTCGAGAAATTACCCACCAAAAATCCTCAATTTCTTGATTTTTTAAACGTTTTGCTTAAAATAAAAATACAAAAGACGGTATACATATAAAATAAATAATAATTAAATTTTAAAAGAAACAAATTTTGGAATCTTTTACTTATGACGTCCGCAATTAAGGGTCACTTTTCAAAAAAATAGTAGATTTCTAGGAATTTCTATTGTTCTTTTTCTTGCTACCTCCCCCCCTTCTCCCCTCCGCCTGGAAGTCATACGTGAACGGCTAAACTTAGATAAGTTTGATTTTTAAAAATTTGCGCCGCTTAAATATTGGTGTTATACTTTGTTATCTTAATCAATGATAAACGTGTTCATAAATCCACATATTTCAAGATTTCAAAGAAATTTTCAGTAAATTTGTGATTTGTTTTTGTAATACTTGTGAGAAGTGTAAGAATTAAATAATTATAAGAATTGAAATTTAACAAAAATGTTGCCAGTTTAACATAAAAAATTAAGAAAAAGGTTGAAAATAAAAAAAAGTTATTTTTTGATTTGTAAATTTTATTACGTGTACTTATTGGGAGGGTTAGCTGTAAATGATGTCCAATGTTTTCAGATTCGTCAAAAAAAACAAGAGGGTCAAAAGACCCCCAAATTTTTTTTAAGATTCTTACCCATGTGCTAAATTGTGGGGAGGGGAGGTTGTTAGAGGGGTGCAAAATACACTTTCTAAGCCATTGACTGTTATGAGTGGAGGAAGGTTTGAAGAAATAATTGGATGTTATTTGTTTCCTAATCAGTTTCCTGTGGACATCATTTATAGATGACATCTTTAGCTTCATATTTAATATGTTATCAATTAAAAAATTTATATAAATTATTCAAACTTACTAAAACCTCGAAATTTCTTTTTCCTATTCAATTTTAGATAACGCCTAACACCAAAAATGAGTTATTTTTTTTCATCCTTTCAAACTACAAAATCACAATCTTTTTCCAATTTAAAAGATGCCATTGCCTTCCTACACAGAAGTGAAAAAAAACTTTTCTATAATCGTACTTCGTCATCGTACTCAAAAACGTTGATAATCGAAGAAGAGGAACTTGATGAAAATATTGACATTTTATTCAGCAATGCTTCGTTCCCGCATAATTCACTATGGAAGCCAGTTGTCATTGCATTTAAGTCGTTGGTTGGAAAAAAGAAATGTAAAATTTACTGGAAAAATGCTGAAAATAAATATTTTGTACTTGAAATCAATAGTGACAAAGATGAAAACTTTGCAGACTTTTGCATTTATGGAGTAGTAAATGGATTGCACCGTGTTAAATCAGGTTAGTAGAAATTGGGAACGATGCACATATGTTGCATGATAACGTCTCTAAGCTTAATGGAATCTAGGATATCAAGCAAAATAAAGATTAATGTAACAAGTTGAGAGCACTAGCGCAGTTATTGCCAACCCATGTGCCGCAGCACACTAGTATGTCGTGAAAAAAAATCAGAACATACCTCGAACAGCATGTAGTGTGCAGTTTCGGTCATGGCTTACCATCAACGTGTGCCGTAGTTCAAAATAGGTTGGCTCCAACTTGCGTGGAAGCTAAGCCAATTTACTAGCCTGTCCAACTGCGTATTAGCTCTTGGAATGTTTCACTTTTTGACCAAAAACTCGCAATGACAGATGGCCAGCCTACAGATAGCACAAGTCGAGTTATCGATAAAAACCCAACGCTATACCGGTGTGAAGCCGGATTTTAATCAAATCCAATGCCATGCCAGAGTGTCACTGGCTTGGTGCTGGATTTTAAATCGATTAACCGACTTGTGCTTTTCGGTCGATAACCCGTGTGTCCTTACTTTCTTCCTTTGGTCCATGGCTTCGTTCAGATCGTTCAGTGCTTTATTTTCGTGAATGGCACAAGCCTGTCTACTTTAATTATTCTCACAATATCAGCATTTCTATACAGCTGATAAATGTCTGCATTGCCCCTGCATTTGTATAAGTGTCCTTTCTCTTCGGGCCAAAGATTGATCTTAATATCTTCCGCTCAAAGACACCGATTGCGTTCTCATCTGCTAAAGTCATGTTCCATGACTCTGAACCATTCAGCGTTCAACTATAGGGCGTATTAGCGTCTTATGCATTGTCAGTTTGGCATTTTTGGAAATTCTTATCGACGTGCGTATGTCTGATAAAGAAGTATCCACGTTGCACTGCCAATATCCTCGGCTTTATCTCCGTAGACGTATTGAAGTTGCTACTGATAATAGAGCCCAAGTAGACAACATCATTGACCACGTCAAACCTCTTATCACCAATAGCAAGGTGTGAGCTGACAAGATCCTTTGTCCTCTCCGATGCAAAGACCGTCGAGAATTTTGCCTTACCCTCATTCATCTGATATCCGATTTTGTTGGCATCACTTTCCATCATTAGAGTACGCGTAGGTATCAGACCGGATATTCCTTGCAACTGCCCGCAAAACCAAATAACTGAATTGTCTTAGTGAAGATCGTTCAGCTTAGCTCTTACTTAGCCCTCCAAAAGATTCCTTCAAGCGTGATGTTCAATAGCTTCGTGAACAACTTAGTTGACAAATTGTCTAAAAGAATTTTTAAATATTTAATTTTAGATCCCAAAAAGAAGCTGACAACAGTAAAATTGGAGGATTTAAGCGATAGAAATAAATGGAATCTACTGATACTCGCTGTGAAGCAGAACTTACCAAATGTCGTCCAAATACTGCTTGATTATAACTTTGACATCAATCATGAAGATTATAATTGTAATAATGCTATGGATTCTGCCTGGATCAACTATTTAAATCCAAAAGATGATCAAAATAAATACAATAGTTCAAAAATAATGGAATTCCTCCTCAAAGCCAACTCAAAATTTCCAAAAACTAAATTAGGTTTCAAGGCACACAAAGCGCCTGCTAAGGTACGAAACGCATTAAACTTAAACAAAAGTTTAAGAGATTTGATGCAAGCTAAGTCATATGACAACTTAAAGAAAATAATAGAAGAAAATAAACCTTTGCATCACTTTTATGATATTAAAAATAAATCAATTCTTGCGCATGCATACACAACTTATAATCTTGAAGCTATTGAAGCACTAACATTGCTTGAATTAAGATTTGGAGGATGTGAAGTTATTCATGATTATTATACAAAATTAGCAGATAAAGATGCTGTGCTGATCAAGGATCTAAACATTAAAATTGGATACAGGAATCCAGAAGGTCACATTAACATCTTACTAAGAAAGTCTAGAATCGGCAGGAACGATGGTTTTAGCAATGACAAATGGAAATCAATTCATGATGCTTATCAACATTTAAATTCAATTCCTGAATGTTCTGTGATCCTTAAAATTGCATCCATGTGGAAAAAGCTCAAAATTGTCTTCGACTTTTCACATTCATCAACCAGCAACATTGATCCAAAAACTGACGAATTTACTAAAGGTGTAGTTTATGATTCTGGTGCTGTCATCATTGGCGCTAAGTATTTGATGGATGAAAAGTATAGACTTAATGTCCTAGGAACTCTAATTCACGAGCTTTATCATTGTGCCATGCTAGTTACATTTTTTAATAATTATAATCCATATCCAGCTGGTGATTCTGAAGCTAAAGCTAAATATGAGATTATTTTCAATAGAATTAAAGCTTTGTGTGCGAAGGATAAGTATTTTGAGGTAATAATTAGGAACGCATTCTCGAAGAACAACGATAAGAATGAGAAATCTGAGCTGATTGTCAGAACCCTCCAAATTCTGGTCCAATACAGCAATGACGATCGAAAGATTCAATCCAATAAAGAACTGCTTAAAGATTTATTCGACTACCATGAACAAAAAGTCTTACCAGCCTGTGAAGAGGCACTTTTAGTATTGAATAAACTAAATGGCAAAAAAATCAAGTTTAAGGAGCTGACAGCTTCAATGAAGGCTAAAATTCTACACTCGATGATCAACTTTCAAGGAGTTGAGACAACATTTTATGATATTTTTAAACATGATCCACAAAAAGCTAAAAATGTCCTCAACAGTCTTACTATAGACGACATTCGATGCTTTTTATTTGAGGACGATCAGATTTTAGAATTTTTTGACAGCTTGGAAGTTGATGAGATTGTTGAAAGGAGGCTTGTAGACTCCTCCAGAGGCACATTAAAATGTACATTGTTTCCTGAAGTAGCTGCTGATGTGGAGGAATCAAAAACCTTTATTCTTGCTGACAAAGCTGGTGCTGGAAAGACAGCTATGATGAATAAAATTGCGTATGATTTAAAAGCGGCTAATAAGTCACATTTTGTCGCTTTTATTAAATTATCAGATTGCTATGACATTTTAGAACAGCACCAAGCAAAATTGTCAATTATTGACATAAAGGCACTATTAATTGAGATATTCAAAGTTAAAATTGACATAGAAGTAGCCGTCCTCACCTATTTGTACTCAGCATCAAAAATAATTTTTCTATTTGATGGTGTTGATGAGATTTATCCAAATTTGAAGGACATTTTCAGCAAAATTCTAAAACATTTGAAGGAAAACACAAAGAATCAAGTTTGGGTGTCGACACGACCTCATCTTGTACCTCAATTAAAGGATCAACTGCAATGTAAAGTCTATAAATTAGCATCATTATCAAAAGAGGAGAAAGATGAGTTTATAAGCACAAGAATCGACAAATCTGCAGGTTCTAGTCATTTTACAGGTTTAGTCAAAGAGATTGAGAGCAGCACAGAAAGAAGAGTTGACAACTTCTACATGATCGAGTCTATTTACCAGATATTTTGCAGCCACAAAGACATATTGAGCATTAATTCAAGCAATTTTTCAGAGATTTTTGACAAATTAATCCAACTTTATGCTAACAAAGTCGACCAAAAACTCATCCCCGCCAAAAGTATCAAAGGATTCAATCAAGAACAGGTTCATCAAGCTGTTGCTCTAGAAAATGTCTCTCAAAAAGAACTAGCAGCAATGATTCAGGAGATGTGTATCATTAAAAATTGGAAGGCTGCTCAGGAGAAATGGTTGGTTGATGACATCCAGCGCCATGGCATCATCACTGCTGAGTGTGGTGAAAAGTCGACTGAATTCATTTTGGATTTTGTTCACAAAATTTATGCAGAATATTATGTTGCTCAGCATATCCTGAACTTTTTGTACAGTCCAAATTACGGAATCAAAAAAGAGGAATTTGAGAAAGTTTTAAACATTTTGAGATTCATTGCTGGTTGTAAGGATGAGTTTAAGTTTATTCACAAGTTTCTATTGTCGGCTGCTGGGTCTGATGATGCAAATGATGGAATATTTGAAACAATGAAGGAAGTGATTTTTGAGAACATGATAGATCTTCAACGAGATATGAATAATAATCAATATTTGAATGACTTTTGGGCTGAAATTTTATGAATTTAACTTTTATGAATTTCGCTTAAATTATAATTAAATAATTATATAAATTAATTGAATAAATTATAACTTTAAGGGGCCGTTCACTTATGACGTCCAGAGGGGGGGGGGGAGGGGAAGGGGGAATCAGACAGAAAAGAACAATAGAAATTCCTGGAAATCCATTGTTCATTTTTGAAAAGTGACCATTAATTTCGGACGTCATAATTGAACGACCCCTAAGACATAGTGATTATTTTGATTATTAAGTGAAAGTTTTTGATAAATTGTTATCTTATCTTTATTATATTTTCCTCTAAATTAAACTTATTTAAAACAAAAAATTAAAAAAGTCTTTGTGTTATTGATCGAAGGACTTAAGCGCAGTTATGACGCAGCAATCAGTTTTTTATTATTTAATTATTTTGTGTCTTGGTTTGTACGTCCCAAGGATAGGGACGTCATAAGTTTGTTTTTTTGATGAACGTCATAAGTGAACGGCCCTTTGATGATCACAAGTTGATTCCTTAGCCGTTTTTTAAAGAACGAAGACGATTTTTGTGGCTCAACTTGTTTTTTGGTTCTTTTTATAGAAAACAGCCATTTCAAGTATTAGAACTAAACTTTGTATGCTTTACTATGACTTTCTGCAGGGGCGTAGCCAGAAATTTGAAGAGGGGGGGGGGCAAAAAATTTTTTGTATGAAAAAAATTTAGGGGGGGGGGGGCATTTTTTGATTTTTTCATAAAAACCCCAGAAAAATAAAAATTTTCTGTTTACGTTGGGGGATTTGTCGTATTTCAAGTTAGCCGATGCTAAGCCGATCAGCTTAAATTTTGAAAATAAATATTGATTTAAGCCGAAAAAATCGGCTTCGATCTCTGCAATTTTTTGAGAAAAATCTTAAAAATCAATCTGTAATTAAACTTAAATATCTACTGCTCATTTTTTTTTGCTACTAGGACGGTAAGGTACGTTATAGGCACACCATTGTACTATCGCAGGTGTACAACTTACCTTACCAGTTTACAACCTTACCTAGGTTTTGCCTGAGTTTTTTTCTGGATTTTCCTAGAGTTTTTCTTAATATCTTACCAGTGATGTGCTTATTCCTTACCGTACCGTACCAGAAGCGGAGAAATTCGTGCCCAGAAAAATAATAAAATCAAACAAATATTTTTTTATAATAAAATCTTTATTATTAGAAACTTATTAACTTAATTGTATTGCTTTATAAGCTAACATACTTTAAAAAGCTTAATCTTCATATGAATTTTGGACTAGCAGTACTTTTTCATTTATTAACTCAACTGTCAATTCAACATTATCATCGATTTTAAAAATATCTTTAAAAATACTTGGCGAAACTGTCGACCAAAACTTAAAAATCTTAATACAATTTTCGGAATTAAAGATGTCATTACATATTTGTGGCAAATTATCAAGTACCATCAAATCGGAATTAGTTCTTTCAATCTGTAATCGATATGTTGTATAATCAAATATAAATTTATGAATCATTTTAAATTCATCAGCTAAGATAGCAATAAATCTTAAAATTTTAAAAAATCGATTTTGATCATCTTCTTGCATGATTGAATCTTTAAATAAGTACGAAATTAAATATTTAGCAACAAAATAATCGGCAAGAATTTTCTCAATAGAACTAAATGAATTTCTATAAAAATCTTTAAATACTAAATTATTACATTGAACTTCATCAATGGTCATTGAATCTATAATTTTTTTCCATTCTGCTAAACCAGGAATATTTTGTAAAATATCTACAAATTCTCCGTATAATTTATCTTTAAAAATATATTTTAAAGCTAGATATTTGCACTTATCATCCGATTGGTGGTGAAAATGTTTTATCATTTCAAAAACAATATTTTTAATAAGTTTATAAACATTAAAAAATTCTAATTTAAAGTCATTTGGATTTTCCTGATAAAATTTAATCAGCTTTTCAAGTAGAAAATGATTGTCGATATTTAAATCAGTATTTCTGTTTAAATTGTATTTACTAAATAACAATTCATTTATATCATGAATTTCATTCATTGTTAAAGGCACAAACGCATGTAAATCTGTATTTAATGATTCTTTTAAAATTGCAGATTGATGCGACTAAGATGATACTAAGATCATATTAGTTAAATTATCAGCAAAATCTTTGAATATTATGGTAAAAAGATTAATAAATTCATCTGGTAAACTTTCAAATTCATCAAATAAAATTAATATTTTTCCAGATTCATAAAGTTGATAAAATGTTCCAAATTCAATTAACTTGTTTAATTGTAGAATTTGAGTCAAACATTGTGGAATGTTTGATGTATTAAAATTATTTCTGTTCTCAAATAGATTGTCAACCAAATCAGAAATTTTAGCTAAAATCACCCAAGAATTTCTATACTTAATCTTAAGTTTAGCAGCAATTTTATCAATTAACTTGCCAGATATAGGTAAATCGGATAGAATAAAAGGTTTAGACTTTTCTGTTTGCTCAATAATTTGATCAACTATTTTCTCTTCCTCTACTAAATGTTGTTCTGTATTTTTGTTCGCAACTATATCCTGGTCAGGAACATGATCTAAAGGTTTACCAATCTCAAGAATTTCATTGTTTATTATAATTCTTTTAAGATCTTCCACATCAAGAAGAACTCGGAAATTTTCAACAATTTGTTCAAATTCAAGTATAGTCAATTCCCTCCCTTGAAAACGAATGATTTTGTGAATAATATTATTTTGCATATTCACTGTTAAACAATTAAATGCAAATCCATATTTAATATCAGTTCTTGAGCTTGTAATCAGTTTCAAAACTGGCAGAACGTTTTCACATTCTGGAATCACTACATCACTTAAATATTTGAAAACTTTTTTATAATGTTGCTGAATTCTTATCATTTCATTTGAATTGTCGCATTGTATAACAGCCTGCATGGCTGCAGCAATCAATTCCGCTTCTTGATCATCTCGACAGACTTTAAAAACATTTTTGATAGTTCCTTCGATCTTTTGTCTTTCATCGTTCATTAATTTAATGCTGTTGAAAATACTCTTATAGTTTTGCTCAAGTTCTGTGTCATTTCTTGGGTACGGACGGGATTTGTTCATAAAAACTAAGTTAAGAACAAGAAGGCTTAGTTTGTTAAGGATAAATCCAAGAGTTTTGTGCTTATTTGTATTATAAAGTAAAGATTTAGCACCGACATAAAAAGTTCCTGATTGTGGAAACTCTTGATGCACATAAGACTGATCAATTTCATGTCCAAAATTAAATGTAATATTAATCATCATACAAGCAGCAATTTGAAGGACAATAGAAAAATGTTGAATTATGTTGATTGAATTTAATGCATTTAAGACACATTTTACTCCTTTTTTATCAGCTCCAATGATTGTGGACTTTGATAAAATTTGTAAAATATGAACTGGCTGCTCTTCGATGGGGTTATGTACATTTATTCGCATTTGATTATCAATTTTATTTTTGACGACAATTCTTTGCAATCTTAAAATATGCAGCAAGACACTCTCATTATTTCTATCCGTAAAGTACTTCAAATTTGGATACTGAATCACAATTGCTTTAATTTGGTCTGTAAAGTCTATGAAATTTTGAGTTTTTTCATTTCCGCTTTCATAGTTGAAGTCATGGAGAACATTTGGATAATATGAATTGACTTTTAGAAGAATCGTCATTATTTTTTCAGTTTTCCTTAACCTATATTTGCTTTTATCGTTTTGGATATAGTTCAACCATGCATAATCTATTGCTTTTTGTTGTCGTGCATCAACGTAATTTACGTCGACACAATTATTTTGTAAAATATTTTCAACTACTTTAGTATTATTTTTTTTGACAGCTTTAATTAACCTTAAATGACTATTTAAATCGCCTTCATCCATGCTTACATCTGAATCATTCAAAAACTCACCTTCAGATGATTCAGAATCTACAGTGGATATTTCCTTATTTTCAAATAGTTTGTGTATCCATGTTCGTATTGTTGGCTTTATTGTGTCCATATCTCTGATTGTTAATCCATTAATACATTTCTTTTTAAGATAACTGATCTGTTCACTTGATCTCATCGATTTTGAAATATTAGTCCAAAGTAGCTGAACAACATCCAGTGAATTGAATTGAACAGCTTTCATAAGAACATTTTCGTTTTTTTTATCAACATGCTCGGAAAATTGCAATAAATCGTCAAATTTTTTTGAAAATGTTTCCCACAATATTTTGTGTATTTCTATTGATCCGTTGGATATTGCAACAAGTTGAAGTAAGTTTTGATTGTATTGACCCAAAAGTCTTAAAATATTTCTGAACTCATTCCTCGATGTCATTGAATCTAATTTTGATATTATAAATACAAAAATTTCATTTGATCCAAAAGATGCTGCATGATGAATTAGATTGTTGCCTTTTTTGTCGACTTCTTTAATTGCTTGAAGAAATTTTCCTTTTGATCCAAGATTATCTAGTATTAATTTCCACAAATGTTGAAAAACCTCAATATTTGTTGAATATATACTAACAATTTGTAGTAAACTTTGTTCATTGATATCTTTATGCGATAGTATTATATTGTAATCATAGGGATCGAACAATTCTATTAAAATAGAAAATGTAAATTCTACAATTCCAATGTTATCTGATAATACAAGATGATTGAGGTAACTGAAACCACTCGTATCCTTTTCAAGAATCAAGTTCTTTAGTTCTTTTAAATCTTCAAAGCTTTTTACCAAAAGTGTCCATAAAGTCTGATGAACCTCAATTTTAGTGTTAAATGCAGCATAATGCAGGACATTAAATTGATTTTTCGATGATTTCTGACTTTGTTAAATATTTATCGATTGTTTCCAGGAACTTTAACACTTTCGATTGCTCTTTATTGGCTGTCAAGCATATCATGTACATGATATTGCCTTCAAGATTGATGCTTTTGGTTCTGAAGACCTTTCGGATTAACTCTTGGTCAAATTTCGATTCTAATTTGATTACCAAACTCTCAAATATTGAAATGTCAAGTTCTGACTGAACGATTCTAAGCAGAACTTCCTGTTCCTTGATCAAAGTCTTTAAATCTTTAGATTTTAAAAAATTGAACAGAAATTCCTCAAATTTCAAATAAAATTCTGCACTCTTCACTGATTTAATCAACTTTCCAGCAGTTCTAGTCAACAGTTCCTTAACTTTCTCATATTTTCCACTTTTCAGGATATCCACAATCATAACAACAAGGCACTCAAGTTCATTAACATAAAAATCTTCAAGATTATCCATTTTACAAAATTCATTCGCAAATTCCAAGAATTTTTTTCCATGATCAGCTATTAAAGCAGGATCAAGCACAACAGCATCATTCATTATAATTTGAGTTCCACGATAAGCTGGACTTGTCAAAACTTTAACAAAAATCTCCAAACCAATTTTTCCAAGTCGCTTCCGTTTCAACTCCTTAGCGATAAACTCAGCCAAGAAAAATTCACAGAAAGTATTATGCGTGAATGCCAATTTTCCATTTATGATATTCACAACACCACCGGCAATAACTTCTTGGTGTGGCCACTCAGTTCCATCATAGTCAGGAAATAATTTTTCAACCAACTCCGGAAATGTGATTTTTATAGCTAAATATTGGTGAAATTGGTAGAAAGAAAATTCATAAAATTGGCTATTGATGTATGCTGTTTCTCTGATTATTCCTTTTTGTTTTGACTGTCTTTGGTAAATATTTCGAAATAATTTTACATAAATTTTTGATCTTTTGAGATCTTTCACATCCATTACATCCATAGATATATGAGCAATCATATTTAACTATAGAGGCAAACCTACTGAATTGCCGTTAGAAGTTAAAACTTTCCTCGTTACTTGATAAGCTTTTCTACGGTAATTTTGATACATTAGTGACGTCATCAAATTTTCAATTGATTTTAGTTCATTTTTGCCTTTTAAATCCATCAAAGTCCAAGTTTTTGCTATTAAGTCAACACTTTCCATCTCATTCATCATCTCAAGGCCATAAGCACAATCAAGATTTAGTTGTTTTTTCAAATCAACTTCAAGATAGTCTCGCGTTGCAATCCACAGCTGATTTCCGCCATTTTGTTTAAAATTCTGAGCTAACTTTGTGACAAATTCAGCACAATCGGGTGCAATTTCATCGAAACCGTCAAAAAAGATGAGAACATTGCCATCGTTGTAGCATTTTTTGAAGATTTCTAACTCAATTTTAGTTTTTGGTTTAAGAATATTGTCAACAATAAAAGTTGAAAATTCAGGCTCACATTCTTGTGCCTTAAATTCGTTAATCAACTGCTTCAAATCCACATACGTCACCCATTTTGTTGGATATTGTTTTCGGATGGTTTTTGCAATGTTTTTTAATGCCAAAGTTTTGCCATTTCCAGCCTGGTCTGATATTAAAACAAACTTCTCGTTTTTGACTTCAGAAATCAGCTCAGTTTCTGAGAGTTTTTGATTTTCCGCTTGTTTATCTCGCTTGATAAATAATCGCGGAGTATAAATCATTTCTAAATGATTTTCATTAATTTCGTCTTCTAATTCTGTATTTACTGAAATTAATTGCTTGTTCACCAAATTGTTTAAAGTTTGATCATCAATTTTTGAATTTGGTTCTGTTTTTATGCTTAGTAGATCTTTCAATGAGTTTTCTAAATTACCTTGAAAATTTATTTTACATTGAAGCAATAACTCTTGGCTAATTTGTGGCAGGTCATCCCAATCGTAATTGATATTAATTTTTGTCGAATTTTGAAGTATTGAAGATTCTGCAAACTGAATTTCATTTGATGTGACGACGACGTAATTAAAATTCTTATTTTGGAATTTATTTTCTAAATCAACTGGAACTCCTTTTGAACAATCTATAAAAACGTGTAACTTGTTGGTTTTTAAGCAGACGTCGTCAAAAGCATTCAAAAAGTTTTCATCGACTAATTGCTTTGCATCAATAAATAAACAATATGTGTCAATTAAACTCCTGTATTTTTCCTTTGATTGATCAATGATGTCCTTAAGCATTATCGTTGGATTGTTGGTTTTAATTATGACCAATTTGTTATCAGCAAATTCTTCAAAAATCTTTTGAGGCCTAATTTTAAATTTTTGACTTGAAATATTTTGCAATAATTTAGTCATCATGTTCAATTTTATAACATCCTGATTTCTTAATTTATATTCCTTCAAATCAGCTATGATCAATTTGTTCCAAAAATCAAACAGAATTTGGTATTTTCCTTGAAGATCACACAACTTGTCATTGTTATCGCCAAACTCTGTCAAAATTTGCACAGCTCTGGCAATTAATTCTTCATGAAATTTTGATTTGTCATAACATTTATACATTGAGGAAAGGATTCCATTGAAACCGTCATCTGGATCATGCGAGTGTATTGATAACAACCTGTCGACAGTTCTGGCAATTTCATCAAGTTTTTTTTTTATATCGTAGTAAGGCATCACTTGACTATAATAAACTTGTTCCATGACAAAATGACACAATTCGTGAGCTAAAACTCCTTTGATTTTCTGTTCATGTTGTTTATCTGACAGTTTAGCTCCAATAAATATATAATTACCATTTAATCCTGACAAGTCTGGATTTTCGTACTAATTTAAAAAAAAAGCATTAGTAAGTTTAACAGAAAATGTGCAAAGTTACGAAACTTACCAACTTGCTTTCAAAGTTGAAAAAGATCTTTAGATAATTACATGCTGCAGCAACATCAAGCAATTCTGGAACACTTTTGTAAATATCTTCGAACCATTTCCTTATTTTTCCTCTGCATTGCGCTTTTTGTTCTTCGTCATTCTTCAGGATGTGAATGACTGATTTTGCAACCATCAATGAGACTGACTTGTTAGCATTGACGAGTGACAAATCAGTTAACACTTTTTTGGTTAAAACTTCCCGTTTGGATGAATCACTTGTTGATTCCTCAGCAGATAGTTTTCTTTTTGACATCTTGATCTTATCGAAATGCTTGAATTTAAATAGAAAATTGGATAATTAAATTGAATTTTTATAAACATTCTTTTTTTTTTTTAAATTCTTAGTTTTATTGATTTATAAATCATTTTTTAATTGTGCTATGAATTTTTATAATTTTAATTTGTAAAGTTTTTTAATTATTAATATTATTTGCATTACAATAAATTTCAAAAAAATGTTCCCTAATACGGTTTTTGAAAATGCTAATTGAGTTAAATTTCTTAATGTCTTGTGGCACTGTGTTGAAAAGATTAGGACCTCGTATATAAAATGTGTGACTACCTAAGACGGAATTATATTTCCTAGCCACGAAATTTTCACGATGACGCGTTGTATGTTGATGGAATTGACTGGCTGTGTGGATTTGAATGTTGTTTTTAAGTAATTGTTTTGAGATCTTGAAAATTTGTAAGCATGTGCTCACATTACAAAGTGCCGATACTGGTAGAATTTTAACACTATATAGTTCACTTCTACTACAATGCCAGCTTTTTTTTAAAATGACTCTAAGAGCTTTTCGTTGTGTTATTTCAATTGATTGCATTAAATTTTTGTGTAATCGGTGCCCAAATAAAGTTCATATAGTTTAAGTGGCATTGAACGTGAGCATAGTACAACATTATCAAAGTTTTATCAGATAAAAGATAACTAATTCTTTTTAAGGCATAGTTGAATGAAATTATTTTACTTTGTATTGCTTGAATGTGCCATTTGAAGGATAGAGTTTCATCAATTTTAATGCCTAGTATTTGAACTATTTCCACACGCTCGATTGTTATATCTTTGAATTTTATGTTTAAAGCCTGCTCAGTGAAATTTTCGAATCGCATTTTGTTGTGAAAAAGTATGTATTTGGTTTTAGAGATGTTTGGTGCTAGAATGTGAATTTCGAGCCAGTTGCTAATTAGTTTGAGGTCATTTTCAATTTCTTCTTTCAAGATTTGTGAGTTTGGTGCAAAATTTACTATCGACATATCGTCACAGTAAAGCGAAATTTTACCAGATAGTTGAATGTGTCCATCAAGTAGAACGGTGACCTAAAGAGTTGAGTGATGTACTATATATGGGTTTTTTGTGCTATTTTGTGAAAGCAGAAAAACAACCTCTTTGAATTTTGTGAAGATTCCAGGTCCGAGATATGAGCATTTGAAAACGAAACTAGGTCCGATTTTTCACATTCTTACTTTTTCAACTTTATCTCAAGCAAGACTAAACGAAAATTGTTGAAACTTTGCCTTTTTTATGTGCAATTGACCCTTAATCAAATAAACTTAACAAAAATATTTTAGGTTCCATAGTTGTAAAGATATGGCGATTCTAAAATGCAACCTAGTGCTAAATTAGCTATTTTTTTATATTTTTTACTGTAAATCTGGTAAATCTTGATAAAAAGTGATGAAACTTGGCCAGTAATTTGTGCAAATGTTCCTCAATCAAATAAATTTAACAAAAAATTTTTATGTCATATAGTTGTATAGATATAGCCATTTTGCGTTCCAGCCTAGTGCAAAACTAGCTTTTCGTTCTTACATTTTCAACTGTAAATCCGGTAAATTTTGATTAAGAATGTTCAAACTTTGCCAGTAATTTGTGCAATTGGCCCTTAATCAAATAAACTTAACAAAAATATTTTAGGTTCCAAAGCTGTAAAGATATGGCAATTTTATGATTCAACCTAGTACAAAATTAGCTAATACAAGCATAGTAGAATCGCCATATCTTTACAACTATAGAACCTAAAATATTGTTGTTAAGTTTTTTTGATTAAGGGTCAATTGCACAAATTACTGGCCAAGTTTATATACTCTTTATCAAAACTTATGCGATTTACAGTCAAAAATGTAAAATAGTAGCTAATTTTTCCTTAGGTTGAATCATAAAATTGCCATATCTTTACAGCTATGGAACCTAAAATATTTTTGTTAAGTTTATTTGATTAAGGGACAATTGCACAAATTACTGGTCAAGTTTATATACTCTTTATCAAAACTTATACGATTTACAGTCAAAAATGTAAAATTGTAGCTAATTTTGCCTTAGGTTGAATCGTAAAATTGCCATATCTTTACAGCTATGGAACCTAAAATATTTTTGTTAAGTTTATTTGATTAAGGGTCAATTGCACATAAAACAGGCAAAGTTTCAACAATTTTCGTTTAGTCTTGCTTGAGATAAAGTTGAAAAAGTAAGAATGTGAAAAATCGGACCTAGTTTCGTTTTCAAATGCTCATATCTCGGACCTGGAATCTTCACAAAATTCAAAGAGGTTGTTTTTCTGCTTTCACAAAATAGCACAAAAAACCATTATATAGTACATCACTCAACTCTTTAGGTCACCGTTCTACTTGATGGACACTAGTTGAATGCGAAATATAGAATTAACATAAATGTTAAAGAACAGACCAGATAAAACACCACCTTGTGGAGTACCAAAAATTATTGTCATGAAAACTGTTCTTAAACTGTTAACTTACCAAATGTGCTGGATAAATTTTTACACAATATTTTAATAATTGACGCAATTTACTAATTTTTTGTTGATTGAAAATTTTGCAATTTTATAAAATGTCAATAAATTTTTAGAAATTATGCACCAATTTGAATATTTTTGATAATCATTTATTTCACTTGTTCATAAATTCACTGGTTTTGTTCTTTAGAACTTAATTAAGCCTTTTTTTTCGCTAAAATCATAAATTTAAAATTTTTAAAATGAATAGGAAAAAAAGAATGATAACAGTTTAAACATTATCAGATCCGTTAGATTATTTATTTTAAAAGTTTGACTTTATTTGTTTAAATTATTTTTTTAAATCATCTTAAACTTAATCCATAATAAAGAAAAATAATTTTACATTTTTTCCTTTTTTTTTAAAAAAAAAAATATAGTTTTTTGTAAAAAATTGAAATTTCAAACCTTAAATAAATTAACGGTTTATTTATTTTTAAAATGCAAGTTTTGTAAAAACGCAATATTTTTATATTTTATCTTGCATGAGTCATTCAAAATTTATTAAAATTCACCGCAAAAACATTGATGCAAGTTTTTAGAATTTTTTAAAGTTAGGTTTTGAATTTTTATTTTATTAATAAGTTAAAAAATCTTTTTTAAAAAGATTAATTCTTGAAATATAAAATTCATTATTTGAAAGGATAAAAATTAATATTTTTTTGCAATATTGAATAAAATTAATTAATTCAGCAATGGACAATGTGAGTCATTTTTTAATAATTATTTATTAATCCTACGCTTCTTGTATAAATTAATTTACTATTGCTAATTGCTGTCAAGTGCTTAAATCTTGATAACATTATAATAATTATAATTTTGCAATTTAATTTTAATCTTTTCTTGACATTTTATAATCTTTACCTTAACTTTTAGACTAAAAAAGCTCTCACCGATAAGGATCATTCCCTGATTAACATCCTAGCCAGCACCTCCATCAAAATCATTGACAGACACTTGTTGAATGTGAGAAAGAACCAAAATATTAATAAGGAATCAAAAGAAATCTGCAAAGTTCTAAATATCACGTCTGATTTGAATCTTGAAGAAGTTTTGACAATTGCTAAGTCTTTGAATCCTAAAGACTATCCAAAATTGTTTTTATTCATCATAAATGATCAAAATTCATCAAAAACTGAAGCTGGACATGAAAGCATAAAGGAACATCTATTGAAATTTGACGACACTCGTCCACAAGTCCTTCAATTGATATCAGAGGATAAGAACTTGTCCACCATTTTGTACAAAATCAAGCCATCAAGTAAATTTGTGAAAATTGAAGTCAAACAAGATATTGAGACAGTTAAGGACTTCCCATCATTCCTATGTACATTAATAAATGGAAATATTCAACAAGCTGTCTTTGAAGTTATCAACAATCTAGCAACTCTACAAGATTCGCCTCTAATTCTAAGATTCTTAAGAATATTAGACTTTGGTGATGAATTTTTCAGAATTCTCATCTTAAAGTGTGCTGCAAATGGATCAAAGGATGACTTTATAGCTGCTCTAGATGCACCATTTGATGCAAAAGATAAAAATTTGCTTCCGGATGTACAAAAATTCTTATCAACTGCCTTTTATGACGAACAATCCGATGATGAAAACTCAGATGATGATGCAACAATGAAGTCAAGTGATGATTTATCAAATAAGCACCCAAAGTCAGTTCTTCTTACAGCAGTTGAACATAATAACCAGGAAGTCATTAAATATTTGATAAATTCTCGCTTAAATTTGATCCGAAATCTTCCATTCGATCATCAAGTCAGAATATCAACAGTTGCATTTGAAACAGGACAACTTGACATTCTCTGTGACTTGTTGGACATTGCAGACTTTCCATTTCCTGGATATTTTAAGCTTGATGATTCTCAAACCAATGAAAGACTCCTCAAGACTGTAGCTTATCGAGCAGAGCTTTTAGCATGCATTAGAGATGAAGATTTTGAGAAAATTGATGATGTCGCCAAGCAAAATTCAAACCTTAGGATAGCCTACAGCATCAACAACAACTCAGCACTTAAAGAAGCTATAAATTCTAATAAGCTTGGTGTTTATTACTTCCTCAAGACATTTGGATACACTGGAAATGACTGCAATGAATTTATCGAAAAACTGAGTGATAAAGAAAAGAACAAAGCAGTTCGGCAAGCAGCTGTACAGAAGGAAGCCATTTATAGTAATTCTTTAGTCTACGATCAACAAGCAGTCCTAACGCTGTCTTCAAATTCATACATTCATAATAAGACGATAACAAAAGACCAGGAGACAGAATATTTCAAGAAGATCCGCAAATGGTACAAAAATATCAATAAAGTAGCAGCGGATGTTCTTGATGTGGCAGCCACATGTGACAAGTTGAAGATCATTTACGATTTTGAGAGTGAAACTGTGAGTAGATTATTAGTGTTTTAGTTATTTTTGCAGGCAATATTAGGACAACCTACGAGTTGTGGAACAACTGGAAGTTTCCCAAAAATGTATAAGACTTCCGAAAGTGTCAGAAATTTGGGAAGCTTTTGTTTTTAACAGTTTAATGCACAGGATATGATAACAAAATGCGACTGAAGTGAAATTATCGATAACTTTATGCTAAGTATTGGTTTAGTTTCCTTATTTGGAGTTTGTAGAGGAATTTAAGTTCTTTCTTACTATGGGAAAAAGTCTGGAAGCTTCGGGAAGTTTCCTAAGCGTGTATGCCTTGACAACTTAACAAAGTAAGAGTTTGATATAGTCTGGGTCATGACATCCACATACTTACTTACTTACCTCCTTGGCTGGAGCGCACGTGGGCCCATTGCCACGCTTAGAGATCGTCTGAAGACAGCTCTATCCTTAGACACCTTCTGCCAGTTCGGGATATTAAGGACTCTAGCGTCCTTTTCAACACATCCAATCCACGAGATTTTCGATCTTCCTCGTGATCTCTTGCCATCCATAAAGTTATAAAGACATCCACATACTTAGACATAGTCAGACGGATCTGAGCTAATGTACTGCTAGGTTGCTTTTAATACTTAGACTTAGAGTCTTGTTTGTACTTTAAAAATAAGCAACTTAGAACAGGACCACAATTAGTATCTAAAATGGTCTTGAAGCTTTAGCAACGGTTTCTAGTGCAATCTGTGGTTCCCTGCTGACGTCACAACCTTCTAGCCTGACACCAATTAGCCTTAGAAATTAGTTGGAACAAAAATTCTCGAATAGCACAAGTCGGGTAATTGAACAAAAGTCTGGCACCATGCTAGCGTGACTTTGGCATAGAACTGGACTCAAATCGAATTCAACGCCATGCCAGAGTCATCCCAGCTTGGTGCCAGATTTCTAATCGACTCGAACTTCACCTCTTACTTGAGATTTCCCATCCAGTCTAATAAGAATCTTATTGAAAACTTTAAACTTACAAATCCTGCATTAAGTTAATCAATGTTGTCATTTATAGTAAGTTTACTGATAAAATCTCAAACATCTTCTCATTCCAGGTTGAAAATGTTAGCCTTGCAGGACCAAACTCTCCAGGAATCACATTCGTTTCAAACAAGTGGATCTTCATTGGTGCCAAAATATCAGGCCGAGAACGAGAGCTTGAAATCACTACAACATTGGGTCAACAAATATGCTACTTTGTATTACATTTGGTTTATAATAATGGTGGAAGGCCTTACTACAAAGATGATCATCATGTAGCTGAGATATTTGATAATATAGTCAAGTCGATTGATCAGTGGTCAGGACAGACATCAGAAACTATCGATGATGAGTGCTTTAGATTGATTTCATCAGTTTTTACTTCATATTCTCCAAAAGAGTTCCATGCTGAGCTGATTCTTAGAGTTGTCAATATTTTGATTGAATTTCAAGCCGACCAGACATTATCGACTCATTTACAGCAAAAATACAAGAACTTGTTTAGTTTCTGGAATGACTTTGTGGTTCCTGAGCTAAAACTGTATTTAAAAAAGGATCCTAAAGTAGTCTGGCTTAATGGATGCATTAATGTATATTGTAGATACAGAGACATGAAAATTGATCTTTTTGCGCCAAAAGACTTTACAGAAATTTTTAAAAATAAGATTATCATCATATCCACAAATGTCCCAAGATTACTGCTGATTGACATCCATAGACATCTCAAAAGAGTCCATGGCTGCTTGATAGACACAAAAAACATTTTTTTAGACACGAAAGAACTCAAAAGTGATTATGTTCTAAACGAATTTCGGCAAATTTGCAGGCATTATGCAGGCATGAATGTCATTGTTGACTGCTCGAGTGAAAAATTAACCTTAATTGACTTAGCTTTTGCTAATAAAAAGAATAATTTCGTATTTGTGGTGGCTAATGAGACTCAAAAAGATGAGATAGTGAATGTGGCACTAAAAGTATGTGGAATCAATCCACAACTGTTGGAACTAAACTACAATTGGCTGGATTTGAACACAAAAAGTCAAAAAAATCTTTTAAAATATAAAATAAATTTCCAAAATAATGAAAAATTGTCACTTTTGGAGGTTCTTGAAGGTCCAAATGATCGGAATGTTGAGGATATTCGGGAGATGTACAACAGCTTTTCCGAGGTTATTGATGATCAGCTGCTGAACTTTATAATTGATGGTTATAAAGTTGTAGTTGATGGCATTAAGGATGAAGATGAAATGAATGACATAAAGTTCGATTATCTGTTTAAAAATACAAAATTCATCAAAAAGGAGCAGTATGAAGACATCGAGAAGGATAAAGATGCTGAGGTTCCACAAATCACAGCAGATGAGCTGATTAAAATCACAAGAAACAAAAAGTTCGTTTTAATATCAGACAAAACAGGCACTGGCAAGAGTTTTGCACTAAAGAACATTTCAAAACTCTTAAAAGACAAGTACCCGACAAGATGGACGTCCTATATAGAACTAAGACTATTCACAAAAGAAATTAAGAAACAAAAAGTCCAACCCGAACTTTTAACATTTTTAATTGAAAAAGTTTTGAAGCTCAATCTCAATTTTGAGGTTAAAATCTTCCAAAAGCTCTACAAAGACGGCAAAGTTTGCCTTATTTTTGACGAATACGACACAATTGCACCTAATTATGTTGAATTTGTGACTAAATTAATTCAAGAGTTCCAGTTCAATGGCGGGAACCAGATGTTTATTGGCACACGTGACTATTTTGAGGTTAACTTACAACAAAAGTTTCAAATTGATGACATTTTCAAGCTTGGTGACTTTTCAAATGAGAATGGATACGAGTTGATAGCTAAACGTTGGATTCTGATCAGCCACAGAGACCTAACCCCAAAAAACTTTGACGAACTTATCAAAAAGTCCCCAAAAATGGAAATTTATGTGAAAGTTGCTGAAAAAATGATCAAAAAGATTCAAACAATTAACAAACAGTCAAAATTTGTGCCTCGATTCTATCACATGATTTCTGAGGCATTTAAGGATGGCAGACTCGTCAACATTGATGTTGAGGATCCAGCACTGTCACTTAATAGATTCAAAATCTTCAGAACAGTCGGAATAATCTTTTATAAAATTTGGTCACGCGATAAAGGCGAAATCAGAAACGACGCAAACATTTCAACTCAAGGATTTGAGCTGAATTTTTGGCAAATTCATCAATATTTAGCCATCATCATCTTCTTTCCTGAATTACTTGAACAAATCTATCCTTATTATGAGCCAACTGAGTGGATTATTGAGGAAATCATTGCTTGTGGCATGGTGAGCTTTAAGAATGGGAAATATTACTTCCAGAATGTTGATTTACGTGACTTTTTCTTGGCTGAGTTTATCACTAAGGAGTTGAAACGGAAGCGACTTGGAAAAATTGGTTTGGAGATTTTCGTTAAAGTTTTGACAAGTCCAGCTTATCGTGGAACTCAAATTATAATAAATGATGCTGTTGTGCTTGATCCTGCTTTAATAGCTGATCATGGAAAAAAATTCTTGGAATTTGCGAATGAATTTTGTAAAATGGATAATCTTGAAGATTTTTATGTTAATGAACTTGAGTGCCTTGTTGTTATGATTGTGGATATCCTGAAAAGTGGAAAATATGATAAAGTTAAGGAACTGTTGACCAGAACTGCTGGAAAGTTGATTAAATCAGTGAAGAGTGCAGAATTTTATTTGAAATTTGAGGAATTTCTATTCAGTTTTTTAAAATCTAAAGATTTAAAGACTTTGATCAAGGAACAGGAAGTTCTGCTTAGAATCGTTCAGTCAGAACTTGACATTTCAATATTTGAGAGTTTGATAATCAAATTAGAATCGAAATTTGACCAAGAGTTAATCCGAAAGGTCTTCAGAACCAAAAGCATCAATCTTGAAGGCAATATTATGTACATGATGTGCTTGTCAGCCAATAAAGAGCAATCCAAAATGTTAAAGTTCCTGGAAACTATCCAAAAATATTTAATAAATTCAGAAATCATCGAATTAATGACAAATTGCAACCAAAATGAAGAGAACATCCTTCAAGTCTGTGTTCAAACCGATGATGAAGATTTGTTGAAAGTTTTGTGGACTCAGATTGAAAATTCATTAGGTCCACAAATAACCAAAGAGTTTGCATCTAAAAAATCATCGAAAAATCAATTTAATGTCCTGCACTATGCTGCATTTAACACTAAAATTAAGGTTCATCAGACTTTATGGACACTTTTGGTCAAAAGCTTTGAGAATCTAAACGATTTGAAGAACTTGATGCTTGAAATGGATCAAAATGGCTCTAACTTCCTGCAGCTTCTTGTGGCATCAAACAATAATGAAGTAATTGAGTTTCACTTAAAAAACCTGAAAGAAAACTACAGCGAAGCTCAATATCAAGAATTTTTGATGCAAAGAGACTTTTTAGGTTCCAATTTACTTCAAATTGCTGCAAAATCATCAAAAGAAGTCAAAACTCATCAAATGCTGTGGAATAGTCTTCAAGATTTTTACAAATCACACCTCAAGTTCCTTGAATTCCTTAAAGAAAATGACAATAATGGGAACAATGTGCTTCATCTAGCTGCATCGTCTGCATCAAGTGATGTCTTTGAATTTATGATTCAGGAATTAGAAAAAATTGTACCAAAAGATGAAATTAAGAATCTTTTGTGGACATTGAATAATTTTAGTCAAAATCTACTTCAGCTAGCTGTTAAGAACAACAAAACAATCGAACTTCAAGTGTGCTTGTGGAAAATTGTTCAAAAATATTTTGAAAAATCAGAAATTTTTGAATTAATTAAGAATATCGATTTGACTGGGAATAATTTGCTGTCCATTGTGAATCAGTGTAATTTAAAAGAGATTGTTGAATTGTCGTTGAAAGAAATTGAAAGGTTTTCTAATCAAAATTGGTAAGATTATGGGATGACGCAGGGTGAGGTGATCTCAAATCCCTTTTAGTAGCGCCCTTGAAATAAAGAAAGATTTTTATAAAATTAAGCCTTTGTGGCGCGAGTTGTTAAACAACAGAGCGGATATCATTCACCCTTCTGTGTTTAGAGTTCAGGGTTCGATTCCCACCAAATACCGATCAGCTCACGACACTATAAAATTAAAAAAAAAAAAAAACATTACAAAAAACTTCAAAATACAAGAAAAAACAATAAAAACATTTAATAACAAAAACAAAAACAATTGAGTGCGTTCAGAAACTTTTTTTTTTATCAAATCTTATTTTTTTCATATTTAAATCATCAAAAATTATTCAAGTTTCCTTAAAAATATCGTCAAAATATTGTATTCGCAATGAATGCAAAGATTGAAGTCGACATCGAACTCGACAATCATTTAGAAAAATGTCGGTGCTGCTTCCGGATTTTGGAAGAAACTGACAAATTTGTCAATATTGATGAAATTGTTCAGAGAAATTTCTACGATTTGACTCAGATTGAGGTGAGTTTTGGGGGGGTTTGATGAGGTCTATGCAGGGTGCGTTAAGGATGAGGTTCTAATCGAGTTGAACTTGTTTTTCCAAGGCACAAAAGCTGTCAAAATTGACAAATTCTTCAAAAATTTGATTTTTTTGGTCAGTTAAAAAAAATTAATCAATTTTTCCACTTCCAGCTCATCACATCCACAGACTTTTCAGCAAAGATCTGCTCCTTCTGCCAAAATGACCTTCATGTATTCTCAAATTTTCGTACCAGCCTCATTACCAACCAGCTAAAGCTCTACAGCCACATCCAGTCAATTCAGGTACACGACTTTACCAAACCAGACAACAAAAAGTTTCATTTTGAGTCCAGCAATCAATACACAGACTTAAGTCACTCATTTTCATCAAATGTCAAGATTAAGACAGAAAAGGAAGATCCAGAAGACATTTTTGTTGATTGCGAGACGATAATTGAGGAAAAAGCTGAAAGGTCAAGAAAAAGAAGTCAAACTTTAAAGCCCAAAAAGTGCTGTGAGATTTGCGGCTCGTCAGTCAATAATTATCGTCGACATGTCCTTAAAGTCCATCTTCATGTTAAGAATTATTTTTGTGATTTGTGTGGATTTGCGTCATTTTTCAGATGCGACCTGGAACAGCACATGAAAGTTCATGTCAAAAAGTCAATTAAGCAGCAACAGACTTTCTATTGTGAATCATGTGGACTCGAATTTAATAAGAAATTTCATCTTAATGCTCACGTCAGAGCAAAGCACACCGAAAAAGTCAGAAGTCACCTGTGTCACATTTGCAACAAAGCATTTTTCTCAACCGAAAATCTCAAGAAGCACGTCGAGTCACACAACGATAAGGACATGCCATGCGAGTTTTGTGGAAAATTATTCTCGTGCATCAACAATTTGAGGACGCATTTGTATTATCATTCAGATCCAAAGTTTATTTGTGATGTTGAGGGATGTGGAAAGAAGTTTTATATGAGGAAAAGACTGCGGGCGCATATGAAGACTCATGCGAATCAGAAGGATCATGTGTGCACTTACTGCGATAAGAGATACTTTTCTCAGGTGAGAATTTTGCTTTGGTTGATGATGTACTTAGTAGAGATGTTGGGATGGTGTCTGAGATTGCGATTATTAGACAATTCCTGCACACTGGGGAAAAATCCATGGTTAAGCTTGATTAGGAGTAGGTCTCTAGAAGTAGGAAAGTAAACTACGGTGGAAGAGTTCTAGCAATCATGTTTAAGGTAGTAAAGGAGAAAATAAGGATAAGAAAAAAAGGGTGTGATAGGAGAAATAGATAACAATGAGGAGGAAACAAGGAGTAGAAAACAAGAAGTGGGAAATAAGGAGTAGGGAATAAGGAGTGGGAAATAAGGAGCAGGGAACATGGAGTGGGAAATAAGGAGTAGAAAACAATGAGTAGGAAAAAAGAAGTAGAAAACAAGAATTGGGAAATAGGGAGTAGATACAGAGATCGAAGCCAATTTTTTCGGCTTAACTCAATTTTTGATTTTTTTGATAGAAAAAAGCCATTTGACACCCATTTCAAGTATTTAAATTGAACTTTACATGCTTTACTATGATTCTGTGTAATATTTTGTCAGCATGTAGCTATAGTGAGCTCAGAATTTCAATTTAGTCGATGCTAAGCCAATCGGCTTAAATTTCGGCTTAAAATCGGCTAAATTGAAATTCTGAGCTCACTATAGCATATGCTGACAAAATATTACACAGAATCATAGTAAAGCATGTAAAGTTCAATTAAAATACTTGAAATGGGTGTCAAATGGCTTTTTTCTATCAAAAAAATCAAAAATTGAGTTAAGCCGAAAAAATCGGCTTCGATCTCTGAGTAGATAAAAAGGAGTAGAAAATAAGGAATAGAAAACAATGAGCAGGAAACAAGGAGTAGGAAACAAGAAGTGGGAAATAAGGAGTAGAGAACAAGAAGTGGAAAATAAGGAGCAGGAAATAAGAAGTAGGAAACAATGAGTGGGAAGTAAGGAGAAGGAATCAAGGAATAGAGAACAGTGAGCAGGAAACAAGGAGTAGGAAACAAGGAGTAGGATTCAAAGATTAAGGGAGAAAGAGTGGTTATAAAATGGGAACCATTGAGTTTGGGGGAAATATGAACGAATAAAATGAAACGTTTAAAAAGTAGGATCTCCTTATCAAATTGGTTTTAGATACAAAAATTTGATCCACCTTATTGTAAACTTAGCTACATTTACCAATAAATACGATCCAATGAACCTTAATATTAAAAAAATAATAATGTTAATTTATCATCCCAATTTTGTTTAAACACCAGAACGATCTCAACCGACACATTTTCTCAATTCATCAAAAATTGAGATTTTTCTGTGAGGAGCCAGGATGTCATGGTAATTTTTCAAGACGCGAGTACTATAAGAAGCATGCAATGACGCATCATCAGAACATTGGAACCGAAAGGCTTGAACTATTGCTTCAGAAGGTCAGAGATGCAGTGCCAATTCAAAGGGCTCCAAATTAGGAAGGATATGTTGATATTATGTGTTAAAATGTTAAATAAATAAAGTAAAGCTGTCAAAATAAAATTAGAAAAAAAATATTTCATTCTTATCACAAAAAATTAAAATTGTTATCAAAATAATCATTTTTTTCGGGTATAAATTTCTATCTTTGGTTCATTTGATTGTGAAGTTTTGGTTGAGCTGGTTGTGCATTATGGCATTGTCTAAGGTAAATTTGCAGTTGACATACTCTTATTTGCTGCTCTAGTATGCATCTTAACTTTAGCACGTCGATTAATTTAAAGTTTATAACAGTGGTGGTAAACCTTTTTTTCACGGCACACCTTGGTAATAGGCCATGTCCTAAACCGCACGATTCACGAGATTTCTCGTTTTTTTGCTTTACACTAGTGCCCCGCGGCACACAGGTTGGTCATCACTGGATTATTAAGTCTTATATGACTTACTTCTAGACCTTTTGTTTTTCCAATAAGCCTACCTTACATAACAAGTAGAATAGTGAACGACCTTATAAAAGTTAAAGTTTAATAAAAAAAATTGATAAAGTAAAATCAAAAACCGACTCATGGGAAGGGATTATGACAGTTTTGCTATCTTTGGTGTCTAAAATTACAAAATTCCTAAAATAATTTTTATCTACAATCCGTAGATCAATGATAGCAAATGATCACGCGTAGGTTATTTTTGAAAATTTTCTGTGTTTTGAGAGTTTTTGAGATTAATAATCTAATAAGTAGCCTGAATTTTCTCTTGTGGCAATTTAGAAGACCAAAAGGATTCAAGCTTTACCTAAGTCATTAGTTCTTTGTCATATCATTCCAATTAAATCTTCAATTCCATCTAGATTACTTCAGTTATTCGACCTCTTTCGGTTCGTGCTTTCTCAACCTCATCGCGTCTCTTAGGCGAGGAATCTCGTGGACCATCATTTGCCTTATCAGACGATCAACGAGAGTTTCAATCACTTGCTAGAAAGTTTGCACGTGAAGAAATCATCCCAGTTGCTGCAAAGCACGATCAAACTGGCGAATATCCTTGGGATATTGTCAAAAAGGCATGGGAAATTGGTTTGATGAATCATGGAATTCCAGAGGTAAGGAACGGTGCATTAACAACAAATTAATAGCAAAATAATTGATAATCTTAAATAGCATTGCGGTGGACATCCTTTAGGCAACCTTACAACTTGCATTATGGCTGAAGAGTTAGCTTATGGATGCAGTGGTATTCAGACGGCAATGGAAGCATCAGGTAAGCAACTCTATGCCCATATCTCATATAAAGCCATCAAATTAATTGATTGGATGATATAACAATCAGGATACGCAGCTCCAGACAAACAAGATTAAGGATATCCCAAACTTACTTCAAAATCTCATTTTAGGTCTCGGTCAAACGCCAGTTATCCTCTCCGGATCAAAGGAACAACAAAAGAAGTATCTTGGACGTCTTATCGAAGAACCACAAGTTGCTGCTTATTGCGTCACTGAACCATCAGCAGGATCAGATGTAAATGGTGTCAAATCCCGTGCAGTCAAGAAAGGAGATGAATACATTCTCAATGGACAGAAGATGTGGATTACAAATGGTGGAGTTGCCAACTGGTACTTCGTACTCGCTAGAACATCAGAAGATCCAAAAGCACCAGCATCAAAGGCATTTACAGGATTTATTGTTGAACGTGACTGGCCAGGCGTAACTCCAGGTCGAAAGGAGATCAACATGGGACAACGCGCAAGTGACACACGTGGAATCACATTTGAGGATGTCAGAATTCCAAAAGAGAATGTCTTAATTGGCGAAGGTGCTGGATTTAAAATTGCAATGGGAACATTTGACGTGACTAGAGCTCCTGTTGCTGCTGGTGCTACTGGATTAGCACAAAGAGCTTATGATGAAGCACTTAAGTACTCGATGGAAAGAAAGACCTTCGGAGTTCCAATTGCAAATCATCAAGCTGTACAATTTATGTTAGCTGACATGGCAATGGGAGTTGAATTGTCTAGACTAGCTTATTGGAATGCAGCATGGACAATAGATCAAGGCAAACGTAATTCATATGAAGCTTCAATTGCTAAGTGCTTCGCAGCTGATCAAGCTAACAAGATTGCAGCTGATGCTGTACAAATATTTGGTGGAAATGGATTCAATTCAGACTATCCAGTCGAGAAGCTCATGAGAGATGCAAAGATTTATCAGATTTATGAAGGAACATCGCAGATCCAGAGGATGATTATTGCAAGGAATGTTTTTGAACGTGCAAAGCAGATGAATTAAGGAACTGTCTTGTTGATTTAATTAATTTATATGGAATAAAAATTTGCTTAAAAAATTGAAATTATGATTTTTGAATGTTAAGGTAGAGAAAAATGTCAACAGAACCTTATAAAAACAATCAAAAATGAAGCATTGGAATCGTAAACAAAAACATTAAGTTTCACTTTCAATTAAATTTTTATCATGAAAAAACATTTGAAATGTTCCGTAAAATGAGAGAGTAAAGAAAAATTCAGTTTCAACATCGTTTCCGCTTGATTTGTTTCGAATGATATGTTTTGAGTAGCACAAGCTCATTAAGTTGTGTGATTTCAATCGGATTGGTTTATAATTATGGCGTTGTCTAAGGTGAGCTGGAATTATTTTTTTGACTTTGAACTTGAATTCTTTTTGGAGTATTGGCATAAGGGGCCGTTCACTTATGACGTCCAAGAGGGGGGGGGGACAAGAAAAGAATAATAGAAATTCCTAGAAATCCATTGTTTTTGTTTTTGAAAAAAATGACCGTTTATTTCGGACGTCATAAATGAATGATCCCTAATTTAGTTCAAATTTTGATGTTTTAGGCTAGTTTGGTAGATAAAAAAAGAGTTAATGGAGCCTATAAACTTCTTTTAAGGGATATTTCTTAAGTTTGGTAGTGATTTTTGAGAAAACATTGTAAAAACTATGATAAAAATACCCAAAAACCCAAATTTTGTCATTAGTCGGCGATAAAAATATTGCATGAAAAGTATTTTAATATTGGTTGGGGAGAAGCTGGCTGAACGCTGCCTGGAGTCCCTCTCTCACAGTTATAAGTTAAACAACAAAACCCCTAGATCGGACCTGATTTAAATCACAATTTAGGTTATCAGTTTGTAAGATTATATTTTTCATATTTTTTTATCATTGGAATTATGGACTTTGTAGACTTAACATTTTTCAAAAAAAAATATTTTTATGTAGTTTCTGTTTATGCCACAACAATAAGCGACGTGATTTGAACATCATCAACAGACTTAACAGGTTGGACAGGGTGGATTTGATTTGTGAGGTGTGAGCTGAAGTGGAAGAGGGGAACGCTTCGAGTGGTGAGGAGTGGAGGAAGGGGGGGGGGGGGGGGGGGGAGCTGTGGGTTCAAGGTCAATTAATTTGAGAAGAAGGATTGAAATCAAATCATTTAATATAATGCGCAGCCATCCAGCGCCTCAAAAATTGATCAAACGTAACATTAAAATCTGAAATTCTAAATATAACTCGAGACTTAACGCTAGTCTTATGATTAAAATTCGATGTTTTTGGAAAATACTCAAAATATTAATATCTTTAGATAAAATCCAGGTGGAATTGATAAAAACTTTATAAATAGTGAGACAGTTTATTATAAGATCTTTTGTAGTAATGGAAAACTGCACTCTGAACAGCCAGAAAAACTCAAATTTCCTGCAGCATGCTAAAAAATCTCCAAAGTTCAACAACCTCAAATTATCTTCAAAACATACAAATAAATGCAAAATCAGTCTGACACACTTTTTCTTTCAAGATTTCTTCACTCATTCGTCCGCTTTCGGTTCGTGCATTTTCAACATCTTCTCGCTTACTAAACGGTGAATCTCGTGGACCATGGTTTGGACTCTCTGATGAACAAAGAGAACTTCAGTCACTCGCTAGGAAATTTGCACGCGAAGAAATTGCTCCAGTAGCTGCCAAATTTGATCAGTCTGGTGAATATCCATGGGAACTGTTTAAAAAGGCTTGGGAACTTGGATTGACTAATCATGGAATTCCAGAGGTGAGTGAACTGTGGTTTTGAAGCTCAATTTGGTTCAATTGGGTTCAGTTGGGTTCAGTTGGGTTCAATTGGATATCTTAAGGCTTTGCTAAGCTTTTTGGATATTAGTTCTTTGGGATACACCTGAAAAAACCTTGTACAGCATGCCTAGTCGTCAACATTTTGATCTAAAGTCACTCTCATATTACAGCATTGCGGTGGTCACAAGCTTGGTGTTTTCGACAGTTGCTTGATTGTTGAGGAGCTTGCATGGGGCTGTACTGGAATTGAACTTGCGCTTGAAGGAACTGGTAAGACCGAACCATCATCATTGTGAATTAAAAAAATTAATATCCTCCAACAATCTACAGGCTTAGGACAAACCCCAGTCATTCTATTCGGATCACCAGAGCAACAAAAGAAGTATCTCGGACGTCTTGTCGAAGAACCACTTTTAGCAGCTTATTGTGTTACTGAACCAGCCGCAGGCTCTGATGTTGGTGGACTTAAGTGTCGGGCAGTCAAAAAAGGTGATGAATATATCCTCAATGGTCAAAAAATGTGGATTACAAATGCTGGCGTTGCCAACTGGTACTTCGTACTTGCTAGAACATCTGATGATCCAAAAGCACCAGCATCAAAGGCATTTACAGGATTCATTGTTGAACGTGACTGGCCAGGCGTAACTCCAGGACGTAAGGAGATTAACATGGGACAACGCGCAAGTGACACACGTGGAGTGACTTTCGAGGATGTTAGGATACCAAAGGAAAATGTCCTGATTGGTGAAGGTGCTGGATTTAAGATTTCAATGGGAACTTTTGATCTCACTCGTCCACCAACTGCTGCTGGAGCCACTGGATTGGCACAAAGAGCTTATGATGAAGCACTTAAGTACTCAATGGAAAGAAAGACTTTCGGAGTTCCAATTGCCAATCACCAAGCTGTACAATTTATGTTAGCTGACATGGCAATCGGAGTTGAGTTGTCTAGATTAGCTTACTGGCGTGCAGCATGGGAGGTCGACCAAGGCAGAAGAAACTCATATGAAGCTTCAATTGCCAAGTGTTTTGCTGCTGACCAAGCTAACAAGATTGCAGCTGATGCTGTCCAAATCTTTGGTGGAAATGGATTCAATTCAGAGTATCCAGTTGAGAAGCTTATGAGAGACGCAAAGATCTTCCAAATTTATGAAGGAACATCGCAGATCCAAAGAATGATTATCGCTAGAAATGCTTTTGAGAGAGCAAGACAAATGATTTCATAAAATGTGAATTTAAGTGGTTTGAGATGAATGCTTGAATTTAGGAACTACTGAAGCTTGATGGCACGACTTCGAAATAATTCTGTAAAAAAATTGTAAAAATGTTAAATTAAATTTGTGATAAAAATAAGAAATAATAAAAAAATGACTTAATGACATTAACTTCAGTTTTGATTGCTACAAGCTATAAATATCATTAAAACAAAATAATTCATAATCCTAGCCATTAAGTAACAGTTTATATCCATTAATGCGTTTAATCACCAGCATTAAGCAGGGTCCAAAGGTGCAATTTCATAATCTTATCATTAAATACCTCCAAAAATAAACGCAAGTTTCACTTTCATTCTCTTTTAATCCTCTCAATTTGGCTCTCTCATTCTCACAGCTGTTGAGCGGCTCCCAACGTCCAGCAAAACATCAGTCAACAAAGTTTCATTCTCATTCGTACCTAAATCGTCATCAAAAACACATCAAAAATTCATAATTTTTTTTGCTGCACATTTTAAGTTCATTTGATTAAAGAAACACTGATTGGCAAGTCATGGCATTGTCTAAGGTAAGTGTGAAGGATTAATTTTTCGATTTATTGATAACAAAATATTTTTTTAAAAAAAATCCGGTTTTGAAAAAAATATCAAAACATTAAAAAAAATATCCAAAATTACACTTTTTGGAATTAACTTTCTTATCAAGGAAATGTTGAACTAATTAAGATAAAAAAAATAAATTGGCTTAAAAAACTAAGAACTTAATCCAAAGTCCCAAGTTTTATTTTGAATTGACGTTTTGTGTGAGATAAGATTCCGTGTACGAAGCTGATCGCGGCTCAAAGTCCAAGTTTTTTTTTCACTTTTTTTCTTATGTTTTTTTTTTTTGAGTCTTTCGCGTGTTCGCCGATTATGTGAATTAATTTATGAGTAACAATTTGAATAAATATGTAAAAATGTAAACAAGGCTGCCTTTAAATTGGATGTTAAGCTTAGCTTTGAGCAAGTTTCATGGATAATTCTGGAAATTTAAGTAAATGCTTCTCAAAAAGTTGGATTTAATGCGTTAATATCGAAACTTTACCAAAATGTCAGGTACACATCCCACCTACCTGCTCCAAAACTTCAATTTACACTCGAAAAATGAGGAAGTACCTCAATTTCTGGACCAGTAAATGAAAACATTCGATATCCCACCGTTTTAAGCTGTACGCATCGCCATTCAATAGAATCTACTCTAAACATCAATTTTACAATACAAACTACTTGAACCCCAGACCAAATCATACATTAATCCACAAAATTACATCATTCTATTCCAGATTTCATCATTCATTCGACCAGTCTCGGTTCGTGCATTTTCAACTTCATCTCGTCTGCTAAACGGTGAATCTCGTGAGCCATGGTTTGCTCTTTCTGATGAACAAAGAGAACTTCAAGGACTTGCAAGGAAGTTTGCACGTGAAGAGATCGCACCAGCAGCTGCAAAGTATGACAAATCTGGAGAGTATCCATGGGATTTGGTTAAGAAGGCATGGGAGCTTGGATTGATTAATCATCAGATTCCAGAGGTGAGGATTTTGAGGGTTTTATGGATGGATGTTGTTCAGTTGGAGCTTCTGACTTATGTTTTTAAAGCTAGACAGCTCTTGAATGGATTATGTACATGATTCCTGGTTAATAAGTAGACTTAGAGCCGATTGATGACATTTTGTTTGGGATGTTCCCAAAAATTTGACATAAATCTAATAGTTGACTTGAAATCATGTTTATTGTTCCATTAGGAAGTCTTATAGCTTACATAGCATCAGAAAACTGAGTTAGCAGATCTAATGGCTCTCCTTGTGACTGCCAAGTCTCATCAAATGCCCACTTAACAGACATTTAAGATCTTTTAACTTTATTTAATAATTCTCTTAATTTTAGCATTGCGGTGGCCACAAATTGAGCATCTTTACAAGCTGTTTGATGGCTGAGGAGCTTGCATGGGGATGCACTGGTATTCAAACAGCTCTTGAAGCTACAGGTAAGTTACCATATTTTTATTTGTTTGATATTTCATCAAGCACATCGTCAATGATCCAGTTTGAACTCTTTTGATAGATTCTGCTCAAAAATTCTAAGTTTTTCAAGTTACTTCAAGCTTATTCTTCTTTATTGGTGATTCTTAAGCTAAGCTTTGTGGTATATTCACCCAGCTAGTCACCCAGACTTAAGCTGCTTCGTTACACTCAAATTATACACAAATCACTTCTCTAAAGTGCTTTCCATCGCACAGTTCTGACCTTTCTGTCTACTAGATCCTCTTTACAGCTCTTAATCTATCAAACCTCTAAAATTCCCAATTTTATATTCCAGGTCTTGGTCAAACCCCCGTCATTATCGGTGGATCAAAGGAACAGCAAAAGAAGTACCTTGGACGCCTCTTAGAAGAACCACTTTTAGCAGCTTATTGTGTCACTGAACCACATGCTGGATCAGACGTAAATGGCATCAAATCCCGTGCAGTCAAGAAAGGAGATGAATACATCCTCAATGGACAGAAGATGTGGATTACAAATGGTGGAGTAGCCAACTGGTACTTCGTACTCGCTAGAACATCAGAAGATCCAAAAGCACCAGCATCAAAAGCATTTACAGGATTCATTGTTGAACGTGACTGGCCAGGCGTAACTCCAGGTCGTAAGGAGATCAACATGGGACAACGCGCAAGTGACACACGCGGAATCACATTTGAGGATGTCAGAATTCCAAAAGAGAATGTCTTAACTGCTGAAGGCGCTGGATTCAAGATTGCTATGGGAACATTTGATTTGACACGTCCACCAGTTGCTGCTGGTGCTACTGGATTAGCACAAAGAGCTTATGATGAAGCATTGAAGTACTCGATGGAAAGAAAGACTTTCGGAGTTCCAATTGCCAATCACCAAGCTGTACAGTTCATGCTAGCTGACATGGCAATCGGAGTTGAATTGTCTAGATTAGCTTATTGGCGTGCAGCATGGGAGGTCGACCAAGGCAGAAGGAACTCTTATGAAGCTTCAATTGCTAAATGCTTCGCAGCTGATCAAGCAAACAAGATTGCAGCTGATGCTGTCCAAATCTTTGGAGGAAATGGATTTAACACAGACTATCCAGTCGAGAAGCTCATGAGAGATGCAAAGATATTCCAAATCTATGAAGGAACATCACAGATCCAAAGAATGATTATCGCAAGAAGCGCCTTCGAACGTGCAAAGCAAATGAATTAAATTATTTGGTGTGACTTTAGAATCAAGACTTAAATTTTAATTAGGAATTCTTGAGTAAAGAAGACAGTTGATGACCAAGCTACATTTCCTCAATGTCCAAAAATTACCATTTTACCAACAAATTTTTAAAGCATTTTTTTTTAAAATTTACACAATTTTTTGTCTACAACGAAATCAAAAGCTAATTGGATAGATTTTATACAAAATATAATTAGAAACTAAGTACCTTAATTTGAAAGATTTAAAATAAAATAAATTTACAAGCTGAATTATTTTTTATTGAGACTTGGTTGGGACATTAACCTTTTTTTACAGGACAATAACAAATTCGAGTGTCAGTGTTTTGATAAAATCAACTTAAATCACGGATTTTGAAATATAAAATTTAATTTTATTACTTTTTATCTGCCCTAAATCGATATCATGACTTCTAATTTTTTGACCCTAACTTTAATTTTTTATTTGATTTAAAAGTCACCAAAAACTTCAAATTGTCACCAGTTTAATTATTCTAAGCCTCAAAAATGGAAGTCAAACATTTAATTTTGTTGCTCTTCTTCTTAACCGACAATAAATTATCAGAATCTGCAAGCTTCTCAACTGCTGAACATTCAGAAACATCAAGCAGTTCCACGTCCGAGAGTCCTTCACCAATTTCTTCTTCATTAACCAGTGAACCGCAATCTTCAGGATACTCTGGAACTGAACCGACTTCAGAGAGTCCTAGCAGCTCTGACAGCCCTTCACCTAGCTCTGTGTCTGCATCAAGCTGGACTTATGAACCAACTACACAAGAATCACCAAGCAGTTCCACGCCAGGCAGCTCTACAATCCCTCTATCGACATCAATATGGTTCGATACTAGTAAGTAGACTTGTTTTGTATCTTTAGCTGTTCAGCTTATATCTTAATCCCCTAACATCCAAAGAGCATGCTCAGCAGTACCTTTATGGACGAATTATCAAACTTTGATACCCCTGAACATGCCTTTAGTCAGTTTTAGACCAACTTCTCATTAAAACCACTCCAAACTGTCAATTTAAACAGGCTCGCCACCATCATGTCCATCATGTCCTCCAAACTTCACTCCAGGCAAGGATTGTTCATGCATTTGTAAAGTCAATTGCCCTTATCCATTTGCTGTAGACTTTGATACCTGTAAATGCATATGTAATCCAGCAATTGTGTGTCCATCAAACTGTGGATTAGATCCTAACCTGTGCATTTGTCTACCCCCATCATGTCCACCGCCATTCATACAGGATCTAGAAACCAATGAATGTTATTGTGATCAAAGTTATCAAACAAGTTGTTCATACAATCAAAAATGGGATAATCAGACGTGTCATTGTGCCTGTGGAAAGTCAGAAGTTTGCAAGACAGGATTTGTATTTGACAGCAATCTTTGTGGATGTGTCTGCGAGAAGAAAACTTGTGAGGAGAATTTTGTATTCAATAATAATACTTGTTCTTGTGTCTGTGATTCAAGTCATGTAAACAAAAGCTGTCCAAGTGGCTTCATATTCAGTTATGTGACTTGTCAGTGTGAAGTCATCCATAATGCTTATATACCTGATGGATGTTAGAGTGAGGTTTAGTTGTGTCTGAGATGCACAAGAAGATTGAAAGGATGTGATCAGGCTATTGTCAAGTTGAATATTTTGATGATGAAAATAAAATTACTCCAAAAAAATCTAATTGCATTTTAAAAACCTTTGTAAATTGACTTTAAGTCATCCTCTTCTTTTGAATCCACCTATTTCAAGGGCGGATCCATTGGAAGCTTTGGAATCAACATCCTCCGTTCCATTGCCATCACCATATCAATCAAGAATCTATTGACATCACCATTAAATGACTTAACTAGGGAACAATTTTTATTTACTTTTTCTAATCGAGCATTGCAAATGAACTCAAGCATGGCAGAACATGAACCGTGGTTACGGGAATGTGAAGTAGGTTAGACCGGTAAATTAGTAGCTCCCAGGTATCAACTTCTGATAGCAATTCAAAGCTACAATCCTGAATTAAGCTTCATTTGTCTAAATCGTGAGTTTAACTCGTGTTTCGTGATGTTTAAAACCACTTCCTTGAATTCTTCCAGCCATAAAACCTAAGTCATATCAAAACTAATCAGTAGTACTAAGGCAAATCTACAACAATAAGCAGCGATGGTTCCTAAAACTATTTTATTATTAATCTTAATTTCAATTCCGAAAGAAAGCTTAAATCAGGGTTTTAATGTTGGGCCATGCTTAAATCATCAATGTCCTGATTATTATTTTTTAGATAAAAGCACCTGCAAATGTTATTGTGATCGGTATTGCCCAACAGAACCAGGAATTTATCTTGATAGATTTGAATGTGAATGCAAGTGTGCATTGGAATGTCCTGAAAGATTTACACTTGATTCATACGGCTGTAGATGTTATTGTCAGGAAACTGAATGTGTTCGAGGCATACAATTTGATTCTGAAACTTGTAGCTGTCCAAAACCTGATTGTCCTGTAACGGGTTATAGATGTTCACCTGGAATGGTTTATAACTATGGAAATTGCAGCTGTGAATGCGACGATCAACCAAATTGTCAAGGAGGAAGCTTTCAAGTTGATCCTAGCACGTGTAATTGTGTCTGTTCATTAAAGGATTGTGGAGCTGGTTTTGTAGTAGATCAAAAGATTTGTGAATGTGTGAGGATCACAACTCCTGCACCTACAACTACATCAACTATTACTACAACTACTTCAACAGTCACAACCACTTCGACTGTCAAGTTGAGCACATCAAAAGCTCCAGATACCACAATCAGCTCAAATTCTACACTCAAACCAACTCCATCCTCAACATCATGTCCTCCACACTTCATTTACGACCTAGAAACCTGCAAATGCATCTGTGACCCGAACTACAAAGAAAAATGTCAATTCAGCCTCACTTGGGACAGTCAAAAGTGTCAATGTGTCTGTGTTGAAGGTGAAATTTGCAAAACTGGATATGAATTTGACATCACTCGATGTGAATGTTCATGTATTAATAAGAAATGTAAACCTAATTTCATTTTTGATCCTGATAGCTGTGAATGTGTCTGTAAGATGACAGCAGACCATGCAAAATGTGAAAAAGGCTTCGTTTTTAATCCAACAAGTTGTGAATGTGAGAAGGATTTGGATCCTTCGGGATGCTGAAAATATGATTAACAATAATTGAATAAAGGGGCCGTTGACTTATGACGTCCAACATTTAGGGGGGGAGGGGGGTCTTGGATTTTGTGACAGGTCAAACTATGGAAATTTTTTTCTTAGAATTTTTGTGACAGAGGGGGGGGGGGGGGGGGGGAGAGGGGGAGGGGGGGGGGAGGGAGGGAGGGAGGGAGGAGGGTCTAGGATTTTGTGACAGTTCAAACTATGGAAATTTTTTTCTATAGAATTTTTGTGACCGAAGGGGGGGGGGAGAAGGGAAGGGGGGGGGGGGGGTTAAAAACTAGTTTTTTTGATGGACGTCATTAGTGAACGACCCCAACGAGATAATCGTCGTTGGTTATTTGAAAAACAATTAGGTTTAAAGGATAGCGAGAGGAGGGGGAGGGTGGGGAGAAAAGGGTTGGGGGGGGGGACTTTTTGGATTCCTTCAAGAAGTCAGAAAAAATCCTTTTCCTTTTTCCCTGGCTACGCTGACGTCACGGGCAAAGGAATTCTTTTGACAACTTGTGTAAGTTTTGGACATAGTAAGAGGGGAGGTGGGTCAAAAATCTTGTTTTCATGAACGTTATTTATTGACAGTTCCTTTATCCTTTTCTTTATGTTAATGCTGGTTTAATCTACAAGTTGCTTAATACTAAAAACATTCCAACACAAAGCAACAAAAAAATGAAAATTAAAATTAATGTAAAATGTCTTTTTTCATAATCTTTCACTAGTTCCTTAATAAAATCCTTAACTTCTACATTATTTATATTATCAGTCACCGAATATTCATACAAGCTACACTTTTTGTGTCCATTTTTCTTCAAATATTCAATTTGATCGCATTTTTTGACAATTTTTTCTTTAATTTTCGTCCAAGTAAATTCAACAATTTCTCTTGAATTGTGATAAACAGCAATATAAAGGACATTGTCGCCAAGCTTATTTGTATGATTTATAGCTTCATTAATTTGACATTTATTTAAATGTTTATCAATTGACATCCAAATTTGTTCGTGTAACTTTTGTGATTTGTTAAATTTCGCAGATAATTGCAATAAATTTTCATTAAAATGATTTAATTTTGTAAAAAAATAATTAATTTCATCTGATTTTGCAACAATTTCTAGCTCGTTAATCATGAATCCAAAGATTTCAGCTGTTGAGAATTTTGCAGCTATTTGAAAGATATTTTCTTCATTTTCCTTGAGTAGATTTAAGAAGTCTTTGGATGAATCTTGCAAGATGTTCCATAAAAATTTGATAATTTTGATGTTTTTTGACTTGACAATTGAAAATTCAAGAATATTTCTATTTAAATATCCTTTAGATTTGATGATTTTTAGGTATTGGACGTTGTTGAATATTTCTTTGAATTTCTCAAAAGTAAACTTTATAACCTCAAAATTATCATTTGATAAAATACAAAAAGCAAAGTTATTTCCAATTATATTCTCAACTAGCATCAATTTACACAAATCTTCTGTATCTATAGAACTAATATGAGTCCATAACATTCGATGAAACTCAATATCATCACAAAAACTAAGTCTAAACAGCACATTTGAGTCTTTTATTGAAATTTCATCGCTAATGACTCTTTTCATTAAGTTTTGTGAGTCAATAGCTCTAAAAAGTATCACAAATTCCTGTAATTTCGACTCAAATGACATTCTCAACTGACAATCATGAACATTTGAACTGAAATTCAGCAATGCTTGACGAGTTTCATCTTTCAAACTAGTTAAGAGGTAAGATCGATGTGAATGAGATGAAGGATTCATGTAAAATGCTCTAGAACTCTGAATTGCTGTCAAGTCAAGCATTTTAGCTGTCAAATCAAGATCAGTAGCTGTCAAGTCAAGCTTACTAGCTGTTAAATCAAGCTCAGTAGCTGTCAAGTCAAGATTTGTAGTTGTCAAGTCAAGCTTTTTATCTGTCAAGTTAAGCTCACTAGCTGTCAAGTCAAGCTTTGTAGCTGCCAAGTCAAGATTTGTAGCTGTCAAGTCAAGCTCAGTGGCTGTCAAGTCAAGCTCAGGAGCTGTCAAGTCAAGCTCAGGAGCTGTTAAGTCAAGCTTTGTAGCTGTCAAGTCAAGCTCAGTATCTGTCAAGTCAAGCTCAGATGCTGTCAAGTCAAGCTTTGTAGCTGTCAAGTCAAGCTTAGTGGCTGTCAAGTCAATCTCTGTGGCTGTCAAGTCAAGCTTTGTAGCTGTCAAGTCAAGCTCAGTAGCTGTCAAGTCAAGCTCAGAAGCTCTCAAGTCAATCTCAGTAGCTGTCAAGTCAAGATTTGTAGCTGTCAAGTCAATATCAGTAGCTGTCAAGTCAAGCTCAGGAGCTGTCAAGTCAATCTCAGTAGCTGTCAAGTCAAGATTTGTAGCTGTCAAGTCAAGCTCAGGAGCTGTCAAGTCAAGCTCAGGAGCTGTCAAGTCAAGCTCAGGAGCTGTTAAGTCAAGCTTTGTAGCTGTCAAGTTAAGATCAGTATATGTCAAGTCAAGCTCAGATGCTGTCAAGTCAAGCTTTGTAGCTGTCAAGTCAAGCTTTGTAGCTGTCAAGTCAATCTCTGTGGCTGTCAAGTCAAGCTTTGTAGCTGTCAAGTCAAGCTCAGTAGCTGTCAAGTCAAGCTTAGTGGCTGTCAAGTCAATCTCTGTGGCTGTCAAGTCAAGCTTTGTAGCTGTCAAGTCAAGCTCAGTAGCTGTCAAGTCAAGCTCAGAAGCTCTCAAGTCAATCTCAGTAGCTGTCAAGTCAAGATTTGTAGCTGTCAAGTCAATATCAGTAGCTGTCAAGTCAAGCTCAGGAGCTGTCAAGTCAAGCTTTGTAGCTGTCAAGTTAAGATCAGTAGATGTCAAGTGAAGCTTTGTAGCTGTCAAATCAAGATCAGTAGCTGTCAAGTCAAGCTTTGTAGCTGTCAAGTCAAGCTTTGTAGCTGTCAAGTCAAGCTCAGTAGCTGTCAAGTCATGTTTAGTAGCTGTCAAGTCAAGCTTTGTATCTGTCAAGTCAAGCTCAGTAGCTGTCAAGTCAAGATTTGGAGCTGTCAAGTCAATATCAGTAGCTGTCAAGTCAAGCTCAATAGCTGTCAAGTCAAGCTTTGTAGTTGTCAAGTCAAGCTTTTTATCTGTCAAGTTAAGCTCACTAGCTGTCAAGTCAAGCTTTGTAGCTATCAAGTCAAGCTCAGAAGCTCTCAAATCAAGCTTTGTAGCTGTCAAGTCAATCTCTGTGGCTGTCAAGTCAAGCTTTGTAGCTCTCAAATCAAGCTTAGTAGCTGTCAAGTCAAGCTCAGTAGCTGTCAAGTCAAGCTCAGAAGCTCTCAAATCAAGCTCAGTAGCTGTCAAGTCAAGCTCAGTATCTGTCAAGTCAAGCTCAGATGCTGTCAAGTCAAGCTTTGTAGCTGTCAAGTCATGTTCAGTAGCTGTCAAGTCAAGCTTTGTATCTGTCAAATCAAGCTCAGTAGCTGTCAAGTCAAGCTCAGTAGCTGTCAAGTCAAGCTTTGTAGCTGTCAAGTCAATCTCAGTAGCTGTCAAGTCAAGATTTGTAGCTGTCAAGTCAATATCAGTAGCTGTCAAGTCAAGCTCAGTATCTGTCAAGTCAAGATTTGTAGCTGTCAAGTCAAGCTCAGTAGCTGTCAAGTCATGTTTAGTAGCTGTCAAGTCAAGCTTTGTATCTGTCAAGTCAAGCTCAGTAGCTGTCAAGTCAAGATTTGGAGCTGTCAAGTCAATATCAGTAGCTGTCAAGTCAAGCTCAATAGCTGTCAAGTCAAGCTTTGTAGTTGTCAAGTCAAGCTTTTTATCTGTCAAGTTAAGCTCACTAGCTGTCAAGTCAAGCTTTGCATCTGTCAAGTCAAGCTTTGTAGCTGTCAAGTCAAGCTTTGTAGCTGTCAAGTCAAGCTTTGTTGCTGTCAAGTCAAGCTTTTTAGCTATCAAGTCAAGCTTTGTAGCTGTCAAGTCAATCTCAGTAGCTGTCAAGTCAAGATTTGTAGCTGTCAAGTCAATATCAGTAGCTGTCAAGTCAAGCTCAGGAGCTGTCAAGTCAAGCTTTGTAGCTGTCAAGTTAAGATCAGTATATGTCAAGTCAAGCTTAGTAGCTGTCAAGTCAAGCTCAGTAGCTGTCAAGTCAAGCTTTGTAGCTGTGAAGTCAAACTCAGTAGCTCTCAAATCAAGCTTTGTAGCTGTCAAGTCAAGCTTTGTTGCTGTCAAATCAAGCTCAGTATCTGTCAAGTCAAGCTCAGTAGCTGTCAAGTCAAGCTCTGCAGCTGTCAAGTCAAGCTCAGTAGCTCCCAAATCAAGCCTAATGTCCACCAAATCAACCATTACGTCCATCAAATCAGATTCCAAAAAAGAGTCAATTTCCTTCCATGTATAATCAGCAATTGACTTTGAGTTCCTGGCAGCAACAGTACATAAATATTTCTCATTGTCATCAACAAAGGTCATCATTTCTAGAACTTCAGATTTGTGTAAATATTTTCGAATTACTGTCCATAAATATTGTTGGTATTTTAATGAATTGTTAAGCTTAAAGGAATGAAAAAACAAAGTCCAACTTTTGTTGCCGAGAATTTTTCGAATTTCCTCAAAAGTTGTTAACGATTCGAGTTCTTGAAGCATGAATTTGAATATTTCAGATGTTGCTTGATATGATGCAATTTGGAAAAGGTTAAAGCCTAACATGTCAACATGCTGAATAACTTTTAAGAATTCTTGATCAGATTTGCAAGCATTTTTAATAATTTTCCATAATAATTGATGAACTTTGATGTTTTTAGAGTCAAAAGCAGCTGTTTGCAGCAAGTTCATGCCCGATTGATGTTTAGAAAATAATAATTCAAGATATTGATCATTTGTGAATAATTCTTTGAATTTCTCCAATGTGAATTCAACAACAAAATCCGAAGATTGACTGACTTGATGATGAATAAAATTCCCAAAATTTGTGTCTTCTTGTAAAATTAAATCCATCAATTCTTGTCGATTATTAAAAGTTTTTAATAAAAGTTCCCAAAATGTCTCATGGAACTTGATGTCACTACAATAAGCAGCTTCTTGAATTGGACATCGATTTGAGTACTCAACAGCTTTATGAGAAATTAACTTTTTAAATTCATGATGAATTTTTTGAGATTTGTAAATTTCTTCTAATTTAGTCCAAAAAAATTTGATTTTTATTAAATCGCCGGTTCTGATGCAAGCTTGAAAAACATTTCTTGAGCATAATCCAGTTTCTTTTGACAATTTAATGATTTCATCATTATTTAAATATTTCATAATTATTTCAAAAATGTCTTCAAGTGTCTCAACATTGTCAACTTGATGATCAACTTGAATGATTCTTAATAATAAATTATGTTCGTGCTCATTTTTCAATTTTAATTCTTTGTTGATGAATTTTGAGCCGATTTTTTTATCAATTTTATTTAAAAATATTTGAATGTCTTTTGTGGCCAGCGGTGAGCCAAAAATCGATAAAATAATTTTATTACTTGACAAAATTTCAATTAAATCATTCACATTAAAATGCTCAATTATTAAATTTTGGATGTTAATAAATAAACTTGAATTTGTTGTTGCCGACAAAAAGATTTTATTGCTGGCAAATAAAAGTTGCTTAAAAAGTTTTTGATTTTTGCTGTTTTTAAAGATTTTGATGACGAAATTTAAAAGATTTTCTAAGTTTTCAAAGAAAATGTTGACAATACTTTTAGATTCACATAAACTTGCGCAAAACTCATTCGACATTTTACTTTCAATTTTTAAAAAATCAGCTTCATCTGCCAAAGCATCATTAATAAACATTCGAATGACTCCAAAATTTTTGATTGTTAAAAATTCAATGAAATAATTTAAAATTTCAAAACTTAAATTTTCTGATTTTTTAATAATTCTAATAATAAACTTTGCAGCATAATATTCGCGAAATGTTTCATGTGGAAATAGAAAATAGTCACCAACTTTATTAAGCATGCCGCACGCGATAATTTCTTCATCATTCCAATCTAAATCTGACAATTTAAGGTCACCAAATTCAACTTCATCTGGATACAAACTTTTCATAGCCAAAAATTCATGAACATTATGAAAATTGAATGTTTTGTGGCTGCTTTGAATGCATTGATCCTTCCTTAAATCACCTTTTTGATGTGACCATCGCTCATAATGAATATCGACGCATTTTTTGAACATTTTTAACATTGTAAAATCAAATATCAATTTTTTGTCATTAACTGTTATGTCAGCGACCATTTTATAAAATTGAGGATGTCCAATTGTGATTGACTTTTTATCCGCAATTCTTTTAATCAATTCTGTTGCAGAATCTTTATAAATTTCATAATTTTGTGGCTTTTCGTCATGCAAAGCCCAACTTGTCGCTATCAATTTGACTGCTTGTTCTTCTGTAAAGTCATCAAGCTTATAGACAGTATCGAGGCTCAACATTTCTTGTAAATCAACTTCAAAGTAATCTCTTGTTGCTATCCACAGCTGATTTCCGCCATTTTGTTCAAATCTTTGACAAAGTTTGGACACAAATTCAGCACAATCAGGAGAAATTTCATCAAATCCATCAAAAAGAATGCAAACTTTGCCATTTTTGTAAAGTTTTTTGAAGATTTCAGCTTCAAAGTTGTTTCTCGACTTCAGAATCTTGTCAGCTATGAAATTTGCAAACTCTACGTCATCTTTTGTGCCTTTAAAGTCGTTAATGAACTGCTTAAGATCAACATAAGTTGTCCATTTAATTAAATGATGTTTTTTGAGTAGATTTGTGAAGCTTTTGAGCATCCAACTTTTTCCAGATCCAGCTCTGTCTGAGATCAGGACATACTTTTGATTCTTGATCCTTTCGAGGACTTGATTTTGTTGCATTTCCTCACATTTTTCATACTTTTCGGTTTGAAGTTGAATGTTTTGAAATTCAGGCTCACTTGCTGGATGTCTTCTTAATAAGGTTTGACTTAAGAATTGCAAAATATCTTCAAAAAGTGATTTTTGAGTTTGGATTTTCGGCTTTATTGGTTGCCATGAATTGTTTTGTTGCTTTGCTTTCACTTTAGCTTGAATCAAGTTCCTCGATTGATTAAGAATCTCAAAGATCTGATCTTTAATTAAGTTTGGATTAACATTAATTCGCTCATTATTGATCAGTAGATTTAAAAGATTTTCATCAACTAAACTTGACATATCTGACGATTCTTGGTACTCAATAAGTTCAGAAAGTGATAAAAAGTGACAATTTTGAAAGCAGATTTTAACTTTCAACTGCTCATTTTGACTTTCCGTTGCCAAATCCATCCAGTTGAAATTTTTAATAACCTTTTCATGACTCAAATCGCATTGCTCTAAACTTTTACTTAATTCTTTTGAATTCTTTTCCGAATCAACAATAAAAATAATTTTCAAATTTTCTTTCATTTTAAATATTTTAAAATTGAAACTTTTTGAAAAGTTTATCGAACAGTCGATGAAAATCTGAAGATTTCCACGAGATTTTTCCAAAGCTAATTTCAAATTTTTATGAACAAAATTATTTTTCAACATTTGCGTATTTATGAAAATATTTTGAGTTGATAATAAATCAAATGCAGAAGTATTAATAAAATCAAAAATATTAAAAAGCAACATTTTCGGGACATTTGTAGTCACTATGGCCATTTGATGCTTAAATACTTCATCAGCATTAACTCCTTTACGAAAAATAATTTCAGAATATGAAATTTCATTTAAAATTCCAACAAAATCATTCAATAATTTAATATCTTGTCTTTGTTGAATTGAGAAATTTTCAACTTCCGGAATCACGCGATGTCGACAAAAGTTAAATAAAATTTTAAATTTTTCCTCAATTTCAATCATTTTTGCTTGATTATCTCCAAATTGTACTTGTATTTGAACTGGTCGAACTATCAATTCAGCACTGCTATCAACTTTATTATACAACTTAAAAACTGTTGATATAATTCCATCACATTCATCATCATTGTTTATGCTTACTAAGTCTTCTATATAGTTAATAACTTGACAATATTCTTCACGAGTTTGTTTGTCATTTTCATAAAATGGATTGTCTTCGAACTGATAAACAAGTCGCATTACATAATGACAGATTTCATGTGCAATGATTCCTTTAATCTTTTGCTCTCGTCTGTGCCTTTCTGATGATGAATTTTCTGTAAAAATAAGAATTTCTGTATAATAAGAAAAGGTGTCCATAAACCTATTCTTTAAAGCTAAGATGATTGGTCCCTCTCTTTGGCTACACCTCCAGGGGCGTAGCCAGGAATTTAAAGAGGGGGTGGAATTTTTTTTTTGTATGGAAAACTTTTAGGCGGGGGGGGGGGGGGGGGGGGGGAATTTTTCGAGTTTTTCATAAAAAACTCTAGCAAAATTAAGAAGTTTCTCAAGACGAAGGGGGATTCGACCCCAAAATCCACCCCCTGGCTACGCGCCTGTACACCTTTTATCAGAAACAGAGCCGGACAGGTTAAGGGGGACAACAAAAAAACTCATCCTAAGTCAACAGAATTTTCTTCATTTTCCTAAGGCTTTTATCAACAAAAAATCCTATTTCATAATTAAAAATGTTTTTGTCTCCCTTCTTTAAATTCTAAGCTTTATACTTTTACTTAAGCTATGCTTGTGACCAGGCGCGTAATCAGGGGGGGATTTCAGAAACAAATCCCCTCTTCTATTTCAGAAATTTCTTCATTTTACTAGAGTTTTTATGAAAAACTCGAAATATTCAACCTTCCGCCCCCCCTATTTTAAGCATGCCTAGACAAAAAAATGTTACCTATTTCTAGGCAAGCTTTTACAAAGGTAAATTTTGATGCCTTTCCAAAGGCAATGCCTTTAATAGAAAATTGGTTGGTGAAAACTCAGACTCAGAACGATCTCTCTTGCTTTCTTAGCTCTTAAGTTCAGAGCATACACAAGGCAAAGTCAAAGTTGGGTGGTCATTGGATGATTTTTCACTAAATTGTCGTTATTTTAAGTCATTGGTTCTCAAACTGTGAACCGCGACACACTATTCTTTAGTGCAAAATTAAAGCGACCCAAGGTTTTATTTTTTTGTTACTTATGTTCAAAAATGTCCGTTAACTTAAAAAAAGCTTAAAAACTACCAAGGCGTGGAAACTCAGGATTAATCCTGAAAAATCCCTGAGCAAATAAACATGAAAATGTGAAATCCCTTTTAAATCCCGAAATTATTTATCAAATGCATCAGAGATTTAAAAG